TCACTGATGTCCGTAAACAGCTGGGCAAACTGCTGGCAACACTGACGCAGTACCGTGACGTCATTCTGGCAATACTGGACAAACTCCTTCCGAAAGTCAAAGATCCCGCCCTTGTCCGCAAACTCCGCATCGTACCACCGGTCAAAATCTAGCCGGTCCTTCATCTTCATACTGCCGTAGCCGTACTCGTCCTTGGAAGGAAAGGGCACGACGCGGTTCCAGTTGTCGGGCCGATTGAACCGGTGGGGGAAGGTTCCCTTGCTGGCATCATCCAATCCGAAGGTCGCCGGCCACTTAGACAAACTTTGCGGATTGTAGTTATAACTGTCGCGGAAGTGGATGTTGTATGGTGCCGGAACGTCCAACATCAAGATCTTGCCGCCGTTCATGATGACCTTTGGGACGGTGCCGTTCCGCAGCAACCAGTTGAGGATAAAGTATCCATCGGACCCCTACAAAAGTCGGCCGAGTATATAAGAGTTATTTTAAATGAACGGTCTGAATAAATTACCTTAAAATTGTGGGCGATGACGTAATAGCCCTGGTGGTCTTCCTGGAACAGGAATTTGCAAAGGTCATCGGTAACGTCCTTGCCAATTTCGGTCGCAGAGTCCGGGAAAACCCATTCATCGCCTACGCCATTCTGTACAACCTGTCGCAATACCCATGTTACACCATAAAAATTAGGACACAATGGACAACCTACCGCTAGGTTGGGCACAAGGTCGCCGGACGGAGAAACGTAGGTCTCAAAGTCGGAATACAAGAATTTCGCCGAGGAGCACTTGGCCATCCGGTCCAGAGTAAATAGCTTGGGCCGCATGTAGCAGCGAAGCTCCGCGGAAAGATCAAAGACATCACACGTCTTACATTTCGTCTCGCCACAACGGTGAGGATTGTCTGGCTTGCGCTGGGCATTGGAATAAATGCAGCGGCATTGTACGCAGAGCTTAACAGTGTCACAAAGAGCCTTACGCCGATAACAGGGACCTTTCTTTTTACCGAGCTTGTGATAATTGAAGCAATCCTGTCCAGGAAACGTACGATTACAATCCGGACAGACGACGAGATTGTCGGCATCTTGTGGGCAAGTAACACGGAGACACAACGAACACCTCGCACGGCAGCGGTGCTTTACGCGATTATCGTACCCCTTCATGCACTCAAAGCACCAGTAGTTACGCTTAAAGAATGCCGGCAACGACTTCAGCAAATCATAGTGACCATCATGATGCAGCAAAATTATATGCTTCCTATGCTTGTGACCTTTATGGACAATGGCGTTAGCATGGTCAACGCTGACCACAACAATACGATATTCGGAAAGAACCTTCTCGAAGGTCGATACGTCCCTTAGAGTATACGCCCGCTCTGGCAAACCGGCACGCCTGATAAGCTGCTTGGCTAGCTTGGTTATCATTCGCTTACCCTGCCGCAGGCTCCGGAACAGCTTCCTGTTGTTATCGGCCAACGCTTTGCCCATCACCAATGCGCGCGCCATGCAAAGGTCATCATCGCCATTCACAATCGTCACGGACCTCATCCTCTTCAAGCGACGCAAAAGAAGTGCCGGCACATCCTTCACACAACGACCGAAGGGCAGCTCCGTATGCTGGACAAAGATCCGCTATTAAATCAGCCATATCAACATCAGATAATGTGTAATCCATGATTGAAATTTATTAGTAAAACTTCCAAACAAAAACATGCCAACTGAATTTTATTCAGAACCAGTGAGCTTGATATGAAATACTGACAGTGGCTAACATACACAATGGTGTAGCTAGCCGACGCAGTGGCTAACGTACACAATGTTAGAATGCATAATTGTTCACAGTAAAGTCCCACATCTGACACTGCTCACGCACGTAATTAATACTGGCAAAGCATGTAAATGAACAATCAGAATACACAGGCATCAGCTCAAGCAAAATACTGTAGAAACTGGAAGCCTGCAGTTTAGACAGCATCACCGACAACTGCTCCTCCGTTGGTCCAGCGATGTCCATAGAGCGCGCAGCATGGACGGCTTCCATAGCCAGGTATGCTCGGAAGTCCTTCCAAAACTCTTGCGGCAACGCTAAAAAAAAGAAAAATGAATTCAATTCGATTCAGTGAACAATGAACGTAAAAATATGAATACCGAACTTTAATGAACATTGAAGTGAATTTAATGAAAACACTGAACTTTAGTGAACATTGAACTTTATGAACGTTGAACTGAACTTGTCGAAAAATGAAATGAACTTGAATGAACTGGCGACCTTACGTTTGATCCCATGGGAGAAGCCCGGGAAGAGCTGCGGGAGGAGCTCGTACCAGTTCTTGCATCGCAGGCGCTGCAGGGTGGTTTGGCTGATCTTGGGCGTGGCTACGCTGCGATGATTGTCGCCCACGCGCGAAATCCGCAGCTGAAAGTGCTTGCCGAGTTTCAGGGAGATCCAGGCGGCGTGCAGGGTGAGGGAGAACCCCTTTCGAAACATCGGGTCGACGAGTTCGCCCCTCTTGACAGGTGGCGATGCGCGGTGGATCAGGGCGTCGCACTCGGTTGAGAGGAGAAAGCGCAGTACAGCACGCAGCTCCCCCATGGTGATGGCACACCCGGCCTTCTCTTTCCCACGGCAGGTGTGCATGGTCGCGAACTGCGAGACGCCATTCTCACGGTGGATGTTAACCGTCAACGCTCCGCCGTGCGTCAAAGTCACGGTATCCACATTGGCATACATCGATACCGGTCCGCTAGGTCGAACTTGAAGGAACTCGTGCAGCGTTGTCTGCTCACCGAGCGTAAGCTGGGATGGAGGAGCCGGAGGTGCTGGGTCGAACGTTGGCACGAGCTGGCATGGCGGCTGAAACAGGGCAGTATGGCTGGGTTCAGGCACGTGGATCAGGACAGGCTCAGGATCCGCTTCGGCCGACGGCGGCGGGGAGATCGCCTCGTACCGCGGTAGGTACACCTGCTTCCCGCAAAATCTGATCTACGATATCAAATTCAGCGTTAAAGGACGCTACACTTTCATTAAAATTACGGCCCCAGGCCTCCCAATCCATAGGTGAAAGATACTCGGACATTTTAGAAAATACGTCAGATAAAGAAATCGTGCAAGTCAAATATTACAAGTTTGTAAGTGCAGACAAGCGCGAATAATTTGCATGAAGATCGAATTGCATGGATGAACCGGCGAAAGGCTATGCAGTTAAGAAACAAGTTGAATACACTAGCAACTAGCCGGGTAGACTAGCAACTAGATGGGTAAAGTAGCTACGGAGCGTTGCTCTGGCAACGAGTGAGATCGTTTGTGTGTATGCCAATACTATTATCAACAATAAACTGAATAAAGAACTATAATATGTGTATATGAATGCATTTGCGAGAACCTATGATTATTATCTTGTAACGTAAAGCCACACCGTAGCCCACTGGCATTTATTAATTTCATACAACAATGCTGAAAAAAAAACACAAGTAGCGCAAAACAACCAACGAATTACAATTCCGAATCCGCAGAATCTTCGGAGCACGAGTTGCTCACATGATCCATCTCCCAATCCGGATCTACGAATAAAAAGAATTAAAAGCAAATAAATAATAAGTCAGTTCGAAAATCAGGTTTACCTTCTTCCAGCGCCTTGACGGCGGCTGCCATTTCTTCCGAATCCTTGGTCGATTCCTCCTCGAATTCTAGTAAAAATAAGTTTGATTAATAAACTACAGCATTATAAATATTATCACTAATTATTAGCAATAATAAAATCACTACCCGTATCGGAAACGTATAGTTCCCCTTCATCCTCGCTGCTGCTGGAGTCCTCCTGGACGATGTGCCTGGTCACCTGGATGTCGGTGTTGGGAAACAGCAGCTCCAATGCTTCCTGACAGGACGAGCTGCGCGTGATCGGGTTGTACCCGACATCCCGCAGATCCAGTGGCAGGTTTCGGATCGGTCGGAAGTCATCCGCCGACTCAAACAGGTTGTCCGGAAGGTAAAGCTGTCGGAGCGAATGACAGTCGCGGAGGGCCTCCAAGGCCGATCCGGACAGAGCGTTGCCTTCCAGGTACAGCGACTGCAGCGTCGCTTCACCCGGGAGGTTGGCCAGCGATGTTTGGCCACACTTGGCCGCAGTGATGGATCTATATATAAATTTCCTTTTCATTAATTTACGTTTTCCTTCGATTTAGAATTTTAACAGAATTATTGCAATTTTTTAGAAATTATTAACGTAACGGGATCTTACTGGATATTAGTAAATCCGGCGAACAAAGGTGTTGCTGGAATTTCGACCATCTTGATATGGTCAAAATACAGCGTCGACACCGCCGGCGCTAAGGTCTGCAGGTATGCTTCGACCTGGGTGGTGGCATCCTGGAAATGATCGACGGCTGCGGGGTGGACGCGGTTATTATCCATAGCTGTACTATTCAGCAACACGTGAAAAAAGGAAAATTGTGTAGCTGGTAAATTTATTGGAAAAAATGGTATTTATGGAGACAATCCGGCTTTAACATCCTGTATTTATTTGGAAACGATTCGATTTTTAGTTCGATTTCTACTAGTTCGATTTTTATACGCAGCTGCTGTGGATTTGGCATACAACAGTGCCATGTACTTCATCTGCATTCAACGCAGTAGCGTAACAGTTAACGGCATATGCTTACCTACAACAATAAATAACTTTTAGATGTTTTCTCGAGGCGTCTCCGAATTTCTTATAGTTTTTTAGTATCCTTCTGTAACGTAAACTGGTTAATATTTAATGAACAAAAGCGAAACAAAAAGCAACAAAACTCCCCGACAAAAATGGGACTTCCAACGCATTCAAAATCCCAGTCAAAAAAGAAAACCACGTTTTTTTTCAGTGCCAGAAAAAAGAAACAAAGATACCGCACTGCGTAAAGCACATGCATCTTGGCTGCATCTTTATCAGGTGGCAGGTTTATTAGCAAACTGTACATCTTTATGGGTGCTGGGTGCTGCTTCCAATCCCGGTCCGGTGACGGTTCAGGCCGGCGACATATTCCTGTGTCGCACTCCTTCGTCCCTTTGCTCGGGTTTCACCCGGACTGAGCTGGGTGATTTCGGAGCGTCGCCGTCTACTTTCTTTTGGGATCCCAAATCTTTAACCGGTTTTCGATCCGATTTGAGGAAAAACGGCAGTACGAACACCGCCAGAAGCGCCAGGACGTGAAAATGAAAATACAGGGCTCTGCAAGAAAATCACAAGTACTTCTAAGTTCTAGAAAAGCAGGTTACGGTTAAAGACTATGCCGGTACATAAGTAACTAATTGCTATGTTCGTACAAACATTAGTGCCAGCTTATACTTGTAGAAAATGTAGCTGCTCTTGGACGTACTACAAAATTAGAGGTGCAACATTTCATGAAAATTCACAGAACAAGCATTTATTCGCAATTCGGAAAAAAATGTTCCATAAACGATGTTCCTTCGATAAATGATCTTGTTCCATAAACTCACTTGTAAATGATCCAAGAATATCTGAATTCCAAGAGCACGAAAGGGAACGTAACATAGGTTAAGCAGAGGCGTATCGTTAGGAAAGTCATAAAATCATACACAACACGAGAGTTTTTCCATTTCTGAAAGGGTGGACGAAAGAATCGGCGAGCCTGGTGAAAAGAAAACCATGACATTAAAATTAATTATCTTTTATCAAAGCGATGTGTTGTACTTACCCATCTGGCCGCTTCCGTGAACAGCGCTGCGGAAATGAAGGTAACATAGTATCCCGGATAGAAACCTAAACAAAACAGTACATCATACACGTAAATCAATTTCGCATACACGATAGCGTTTAAGAGGAACAGCATGTGATCAATTCTGCTGTTTATCTAGCGAAAAAGCGGACAACGTGTAGGTTGCCATCATAGGCAGGAAACGGGCCCGATCGTAGGCGACATATCGTAACCAGCGGGCAGTACAACTGTTCCATGCGGTCAACGCACTGCGCATATTCTGGTTGAACTGTACGGGCAGAACAAAACAATCAGGATAATTGGGCAACCACCACAGATTAGCGCAAATACACGCACCTCAAACTCGATGATACCCACATTGCTAACCAAATCAAACTTGGGTTTCCCCAGCTCGTCGTATCCATTAAAACCCAAGCCGGAAGCATTGACCACGGCATCCGCTACGATAGGAAAATACCAGTTTGTTTTAGTTATTTAATTGCCGAATTTACATCATAATCAGCATCATGCTCCTCTTTCGAACATACCACCATTTTCTAAAAGAATGCTTTCTGAAAGCAAAAAGTGGATGTAAAATTTTACTGCACTTACAAAGCAGCCACCCCACATAATACTTGAATCTGACAAAGGTAGTCCCGATGAGCAGATAAAACATCAACTGGATCACAGTCAATTTACTCAAACTGCTTTCCTCTGCAAAAACATAATTACACTAGTGCAATTCATCCCCCGAACCAATTGGTAAAATGAATAAGATCAATAAATCACTCATCCTACCAGTCAACAAATCCAAAGGCACACCCGGCACGAGCATGATGTGCAAATAGCAGACGAAACTGCAGCCAGCACTTTCTTTGTCACTGCAGCACATCACGTTCAATCAGACTCCCTCCAAACAAATCAACACATAGAAAAAGATAAAGTATACCCTATCCGGCCACAATGGGGATGGATGGTACTGAGGCGGGGGCAGCATCTCGGCTTCCGTCACCTGCTCCGTGGACTGACTGGCTTTGCTGCCTTCCGACAAGGTCGGCACTTTCTTGACGGCATCCTCCGTTTTCTTGTACGAACTAGGCTCAATACTATTACCCTCGATGAAGTCCATGTATTCATCGTAAAAACAGAAAGGTCCGCATAATAGGGACTGGAAACTGAAGACATAGGAAAGAAACTCCCAGTAATTGGGAGTTCTGCAAACGAAATGTAGAATATAAGGTCCAAGCTTCCAAGCTCCAGCGAACTGCTGCAAAAATGTAGTACCTAATGGCATGACGAGGCTGATCCGGCAGCATGAGTCTAGTGGGATCCTTCCCACCATCTGCGCTTCTCAAAAACATTTTTTTGAATAACAATAAAAAAAGCAAGGAACGAAACAAACCGTGCGCAGCGAAAACATAGGCCGTTATCTTCTGGACAATCACCATCATCGGCCTGTTTAGGGTCACCCTGCTATGTAATATAGAAAAGGAGTTGAAACAAAGGAAATCACTCCGCATGCAAAACGCAAGGAACGCTAAAGAGGATATAAACGGGGTTAGGGGCGTCACAATCAGCCTACACAACAGCAGGGTGCGAAAGTGTTAATCAAGTACACAAATTGCGTAGTGATTAGTGCAGTGTCTACCGCGATACTCAGCGTTAACTATTCACGAAATATGGTTATGCGCATGAAATCAATGAAGTTAGTTTGTAGATTTAGCGGATAAAAAAGCCAGTGTGTGATTAGCACAAAGGATACGTAGAGCATCAACTTCAAAGGAGTATTAGTACTTATTTATTTTCTCAATATGTACAAGGCGAGCTTCACTCAACAAACATTATCAAATGAAGAATTTGCCCCAGTTAACATGGGAAGGGACCGTGCACAAAACACTCATTGCATTACCGCGCATAATCTCCAAACTTAAACGTTGAAACAAAAAACAAGTAGAGCGAAAAGTCTCACATACAAAAGCGATAAAATTACAGTGATCAGTAAGGAATATCGCAGGCCACCATCCAGCGAACTAAAATTCATCGTTGGCCTCGCCTTGAGGCCCCGGATTTTGCTGGCCCCTGTACACGGCAGGGGATTAAATTTCGATCAAAAATTAGCAGTAATAGTTATTTTGATTTTTATTCTTTTTACGTAAACACTATTTACGCAAATTTAGCCATAACTGTTGATACACTACTTGATAGTTAAAATTTAAAAATTAGGAAATAACCATTTTTGTGCACTGACACATACCAGTTCAACTGATCATCCGGATTTGGTTGACACTGTTGCAGCAGCTCAATTTGCTGCCGAAGTCGCGCGATTTCCGCATCTCTTGCCTGCACAGTAAACACACCAATCATTTCAAAACAAATTACACTTCATCCAACCTGCTACCGATAGAGAAGTTTTCCTGAACACAAGCAGCATTACTTCGCATTAAAGCAACACTGATTCTCTGCTTCAGAAACCGAGTGGACTGTTTCTCCTGTGTTCTCAAAAAGTATTTGTTACGAGGAAAATTTTAAATTTTTTTAACGCATCGTCGACACGCAGAGCTGCATTTTAGCGAAGATACGTAAACACTGCAGCACTTAAAGCGGTTATTCCCGTGACGTACCGCAACTTCTCGCTCCCGGGACTCCAAAATATCCAGCAGTTCAGAGCTTTCTTGGTAAGCTTCTTCCAGGTCATACTCCTGATTGACCTTCTGCCGCTTAAGCGTACGATGCGCAACAAATGCCTCCATGGCTCGCTTGGACTGCTCGGCGGGATCCACCGTGGATTTCTGACCCCACGGCTCTGGACGTCGCTGCAGACGACGATACTTGAGGAATATCTCCTTAAGATATTCCTCTACCAGATCTTCAGGAAATAATGGAGCAGTATCCATGTTACTCCAGATAAAATATTTCAAGCCAAAAAAAAAGCAGTGAGATCAGAAACCTACTCCGTTGAGCAAAACAGATAAAACCTCAAAATAAAAACAAAAGTTTTACCGGCGTTGAATTTTTGACTACTAGTCTACTGCTCTAGTTTGTGACAAAGGAGTGCACCAGGCACACAACATTTCTTGTTACAGGGTTTTTTAGGGTTGCGTCTCATTTATAGTTAACTACATGTATACTATATTTACAAGCGAATAAACAACAGCGTTCTGTAATCAGTTCTTTTATTCCATTTTTTAAAAAGAAATTGGACTAATTGTTCTTCACGAACAATAACAAATTGCCCGCCTGACGGCGGCATGCACCACACACACAACAAATAATTTTATGAGAACCATCCAAGAAACCAATAAGTTTACCGCATTTGCATACCGCTCGTTGGAAATTGCCTACAAGAACAGCATTAACAGCTGTAACTTTGGTGATGGTCTGCGGTGCTGCCGGCGCAGCCGTCGTTGGTGCAGGCGTTGCAGATGCTTCCGTCGCACGGACCACCTTCCGCGGGTGCGAAGACTTTCTTGGTCTTTTTCCAGCCGGCGGCTCCGGTGCCAACGGAATCGGTCGAGGCACTCTCTGAGTGGGCTTCCTTGGGTTCTTTTCCGGATGGCAATTCTCTCGCTGATGGCGGTGTAGGCCTCGTCGCACCATTTCATTCTTGCAGACCGGGCAGGTGACGCGATCCATATCGGCATGAACCTCCTTCTTATGACGCCGCATGTCATCCGCGCGTTGAACAAAATTTTTTACACTCCCCGCATTGATGCTTGCCGGGATTCATTGTAAAAAATAGAAATACTGACTAACACAAGTACAACAACTGGCATTTCGAATTACTCACACACACTGATTTGGAATTTGAAGAAGAGCAAGATCGCAGGTGTTTGCACCCGGTACCAACGGTGCCAGTTTCCGTTAGCCACTGGACCAATTACGTAATTTTGAATTTTGAATTTTAATATTCTATTGTTTGGTTTGGGGGGCGGGGCTTATCGCCAACCAGCCAATCACGATTTTTCTTGTCGAATTATCGAAATTATTTTTTCCACACTGGAAACTCATTTTTTAATCGAATTATTAATTCTATTTTTCAAAAACCATGTCACTAAAGATTGAAAGTAGCGGATTCCCATAAGCTAAAAAAGATCTTTGCTGCTCCATATCATAACTATTACTTTACTAATTAGTGGGATCGTTAACTACTGTGATTATTTCTTTTTTGTGGAATAGTTTATGTTTCTAGAAAACCATAAACAGTTCATCCAGATTGCGACTGCACTCAACTTTACCCAGATCACAGGGTGCATTGCCCCGTTGTATTTCTAAACTGCAACGCTGCACCAAAACTGCAACTGTAACTGTAACTACTATTATATTATTGTCAATTACTATTGTAACGTACGGAGCCTGGATGTACCACATTTACACTGTAAAACGAGAAATTAGAAACAGAATTTACAGTAGTACTTTGTATTTCTAAAAGATGCAGCCTGTAACCCTGCATTCAGTATTCTTCGCTATTCCAGAAAAAGATTTTCAAAAACCGTTATGCCATTTCTGCTTCCTATGGCCCCCGTTTGAGTTTTTCACCACACAAATAATTTCCTCCTTTTTGACCATCGACATTTTTTTCCTCTTTTTTACAAAAAAAACATTCCTTCCTTTAATTTTTCCTTCCTCTTTGTGACCCAGAATATTTCTTTCTTTAATTATTCCTGCTTTTGACCAGAAAGCATTTCTTCCTTTATTTATTCCTTCCTCTTTTTGACCTTGGTCAAACCAGGCCAGGGAATAATTTAAATGGGGGATAATAAATTATTTTAATAATTTTCGGAGAGTCAATGAGTCAAAAGGTCGACCGAAGCGAAGAGAAGGTTTTTATGTTAAAAAAAACGGGACTTTCTGCCACGTCGGTCACGCTCAGATACCGTAAATATCGAATTTAAAGCCCCCCACCCCCCAGAATACAAGCTCCGCCCCCGTAATTAGAGCCCACCCCTAAGGTCGTTTGAAAATGGGACTTTATTGGTCAAATCAAAAACGCAATGCTTATAAGCAAGAAAAGGAACACATTAGACTATAACAGAAAAATTTCGTTTAGTTTATCTAGCCCTTCCATCGTGCCCAGCACTGAAGCCGCATTTCCCCGCTGAATTTCGATGGACAAACGCTGTCGCAGAAATTCGTGCGAGCGTGCTTCCCCGGTGTGCTGCTGCAGTCTTTTTCCCAGCTCTTTGATGATGGCGATCGCCGAAGGTCCCCACGGGCCCAGTGTTTCGAAAGCGATCGGGACGAATAGGTAGCGGCCGGTCAGATAGAAATATAGTCCTGCTTTCTTTCCTTCTGCCTGCGCAGCGGCCGCTCCCGCAGTTGTGGAAGTGGCTTTAAGATGCGACAGCGCAACCGTGTCTACACATGTCACGTCCCATGCAAGACACAATCCGCGCTTCCAGGCGAATGTCGTGCAGCCATCCGGGCGGCGTTCGTTTGTGTGAGATGTGCCGCGCGGCTCCAGTTTTGCAGGAACACCAGCGGATACAAAGGCCCTACAAATGATGCTGTTTAACCCGCCGTGGCGCGGATGCCGTCCGGCGGAGAAAACACAGGATAACCCATGGTGCCCGTAACCACCAACGGGTTTGTGGCGACGAAAATTATATGTGCCCCCCCCCCCCCGAAATAGAGGCGCATGGGCTTAATAAATACCGTAAAGCCCATATTAAAAAATGCCAGAAAGCTGGTTTGAAAAATTGAAGCCTCCTTCTAAATACAAGCCCATACCCGTAATTGGAGCCCACCCCCTGAGCGTTTGAAATATTTGTAACCCTGGGCTTCTAATTCGATGATTACGGTAAATTATTGCATAATCAGGCATTTTCACGTTGCTTTACGACATTGATCCGTATACATTAGCGTAAAAGTTGCAGTGCCCCGTTAACAACCGATCTTTTTCAAATTTTGCATGAAAACGCATATGCATGAAGATCGGGTTCTAGTGCATGACCATGTCGTTTCATTCAAATCACTTTCGCGCCGACTGATAACGTCTGGGCAGTAACACCCTTATCTGGTGCAGCGTAACAGCTGTCTTGAAATAGAACATATTTCTTTCAGACACCACAAAAACGGATCTCTGCTGACAAACATTTGTCGGCAAAGGGCTTCTACATTCCCGCTCTTTAAATATAAGGGGAACTCAACTGCTGAGGCCAGCACTCCCTGTACTTGCTGCCGTCAGCCGGCTAAGTTTTACGTTGTGGCTAAACATGGTGCTTATGTACCGCGCCTGATTTAACCGTATGTACTCCCGTAACGTCAAACTCCAGGCGGGTGACGGCATCAAGTACAGGGAGTGCTGGCCTAAGCAGTTAAATTCCCCCTATATGCAAAATATGTTTTGCATTCAGTACTGTTTGAGTGTTTCAATTATAAAGAGGCACAAACGCTCAACTTCATGCATCTTGAAGATAAATTTAATGCATATAAATATGCTATCCACATTATGACCTCAGTTTGCCACTTTGCACTAATTAAACTACGTACATGGCGCTGAAATGTTTAAATTAACGGCGATTACTAAGGAAGGCTGAACAAAAAACAGTGCGTTACAGTTTTGCAGGATCAGTGTTACGATGTTATAATTACAAAGTATAATTATTACACCGATTAATATATTACTACTTTACGGAAAGCACTGGCATATAAATTCCTGTTCTTAACATTAGAAAGATCATGTATTAAATATATGCTGCAGTGCTGCTTATATCCATATGACTTATGAAGCGATGCCATAAATATTAGCGCAACTTGCAATTGCATTTGGGTCTGTACCGTACGTTGTGACCCTGAACAGTTAGTGCTCCTTGAAGATTAGGCTTTTATTCTAATTATGAGGTATTCTAATTTTATATGTCGACAAATATAAAAGTTATTGCAAATTTTCAAATGATAGATTTAGATACGACAAACAAACAAATAGAACAAATCCGTACAGTTTATGTCTGTGTGCGGCAAAATATTACCCGTTACAAAAAGTGCTGATTTAAGGGGTACTGTGAAATGTGAGTCATAATAAACAGTGGGTCATAATAAACTGCATCTGGGTAATTTTCCGGAGCGGACTAACACCAGTTGGAAGTCGGTTAAACTAGAATAATTACAAAGACTAGTCTTTGTACACTATTTAGTTTACGGCTTGTTTTCGTACGCTCTATGGAAAGTCTGTAACCAAAATGTTACACGTTTCTGATTCGCACATTTTAGGGGGGTGGTTTAGCACAGCACAAGCATCAAGTTACACAAAGGAAGATACTGTAAGGGACTATTTATAAACTACGTTCCCGAAAATTCGTTCTGTACGTAGTTCGTGTATGGTACCTAACTATACCGTTAATTACAAATTTTTAGTACACGAATAATACGTAATTTGCACAGCGAGTCCGCGACGGAATGTTTTCGCTGACTGCGAAGCAGACAAGAAAACGCCACTTCGTGTTTTTACATGACAATAACTTCATTACGGTTTTGTGACAACTTCTAAAATTTGGACTGTTCATTGCAGTCTTTACTTAATTATTTCGGATTAACTTCCAGCTAATCAGCTACGAAGGCGAATCGGTGATTTTTGTATGCATATCTCGTGTGTTATCGAAATTGTAATACTACTTCGGGAGAACATGCTACTGTAGTATAATTATTATACGTAGGCTGATAATGCTACTGCTATTAACGCTGCATGGGTTTTATGTTTCATTTACAATAGCTGTAATTAGCGCTGTATTTAGTTAAATTATTTTAAACCTGCACGAAACGAGCATCGACAAATACCTCATATTATTATTTTAGCGAGAAGCCGACACGTGCTTTTTACTTTTAGTTAATGCTGACCTGCTCTATTCTCTATTACTCTGTTCACTGTTGCTATAATGCATCTGTTTTATTCGATTTATTGAGCTTTGTTGCACAGGTTTACAGTCAGTGCATATTAACGTATTATTATACGCAGATCTGGTTACATGCGCACATTACCGGCTTATTATTTAGTACACCTGGTACAATAATTACTGTACATAGTTGTAAAAGAAATAAATTTGATTTTGTTTTGGCCGGAAATGTCTAATAGCGGCTATAATTATCGTCAATTCTTTTGTTCTTTTCAACATTCTTGTTGCTGCAAGTTGTACTCGCAAAAACGTACGGTGCACGCCCGTATTTCATTCTGAATGGGTTGTTGCCAATTAAAATGTTGCAGTTGTACTTGTACATTACTTGCGTTGCATGTAATACGGGGATTCGCTGGACCATATGGGGCATATTTCCGGTCAAGAGTTAAAAGTTATCGAGATATTACAGTACTTTAGCAGTCTTAGGAACACTCAGCATTTTAAGAGTCAGACTCAGCCTTTTAGTACTCAGACTCAGCCTTTCAGTAGTCAGACTCAGCCTTTTAGGGGTCAGACTCAGACTCAGCGCTTCAGCGCGGGCCTTGAACGGCTGCTTCACAGCAACATCAGATCGTTGCAATGTTTATTTATTATTAATATTTTTGACAGAAAGCAGTTGGCGCCGAATATCAATGCCAGATTACTAAATTATGCTGTTACGACTTACGAGGTACCAATGATAACAACAGCTTTCTACATGCAGCTACTACATGCAGCTAAATCTTCTAAGGGTTTTCGTTATAAGTATGATAATAATGCACAACAATGGGTAGCAGATATGTTATCATCGCTGAAAATTTAAACAGCGTTGCTCGTACGTATTGATACATGGTACTTTATTGGTAACATGTATAAACCGTGCTATTAGCGTATGCTTAAAGACAAACGTGATGCACAGTACTGTAGCGGCTCCACCAAGTTATACCACAGCGTCGGTATACCGGAAAAATGCACGTCCAATACACACACGCTAACCGGGCAAAATGCACGGTTCACACTAGCAGTTTGAAATTATGCTTTTTGATAAATTTCAAGAAAGTTTTATGCAGCGGACATCTTTTTGAATATACCGAAAATTAAATCGTAATTCTCAGAGCTCTAATTAGTCTTAATGGCACGTGGACAACGACGGTATACTGATGAAGAGATCAGAGCCTTCATGTTGGGTTATGCTGCCTCCAACATCAGCGCAAGAAGTTACGCAGAGAAGATTGGAGTTCCATGGCAGACGTTTATGTTTTGGAAAAGGTAGATTCCTTGATTTCCTTGTTGAAATTAATCTTTAAAATTTTATTTTCAAAAATAAAAAATACGAATCTGCTTATAGAAGGCTGAAAAGCAACCAGCCCCCAAGAAAGCAGAAGTATGTTTGAAAGCCGCAGCATCGTGACATCGAAGACGACTTGTACGACTTTGTCCTGGCTGAGCGAAAGAGAGGCCTGATTGTTACGCGCATGGAACCAGAAAGAGCTCTGAAATTAGCTGAAGCCAAGGGAGATACGAATTTCAAAGCGTCAAATTGTTGGATGACAAAATTTCTCAAAAGAAGGTGTCTGCGATACCGTGTACCAACGCGTCACGCTCGAAAATCTGTTTTTTTCGGAAGAAGACTTGGTAAATTTAAAAAGTGCTTAATTAGCTGCAAGTTAGAGCTCTGATACAATAATTAAATTTATTTTTCTAAATTAGGAAGAAGAGCTTGAATATTTCTTGCGCTTGCATAACTCGCTCGTTTTGGATCGTACACCTACGGACCAAGTGTTTAATTTCGACCAGACGATGATCCGCCTTGTCTCTCCAAAGCCAAAAACACTTTCGCCTGTTGGAGTGAAAGAAGCAAGTTATTTTAATTTTGTAATACAGTGTTAGCAATTTTTAATGTAATGTGACGATGACACAGAGCTCTGATTTTTGTGCCAATAAAATTGTCGATTTGTTGTGGTTTTGGGGTGCTCCCCCGGAGGCAGTGACGAAGCATTTAAAATCACAGGTGAAATATATGTGTAACTTTGTACAGGTAACCGTAAAGCAACCCCTGGCGAAAAGAGGGCATAACCGTTTCGCTTACGATCCGCGCTGACGGAGGAAAATACCCCGCTGTGGTTGTTTTGAAGGGGGAAAAACGGCACCCTATCCGATGCGATCATGTCCAAGCTGAAAATTCCTGGGAACGTTTTCGTGGAGAGCTCTTACACTACCTGGTGGACCGAGCAAATGGATAATGACTGGATCAAGTATACGTTTCCCCAAGACAACGAAAAACGAGTTCTTGTCCGTGATCAAGCTACTGTCCACAAGAAAGTGTCGTCGGAGCTCCTACTACGAGAACGAAATGTCGAGCAGATATTCATTCCCGCTGGCCGCACCGGAGATTATCAGCCTTTGGACGTGAGTGTCAATAAATCCATGAAAACTCTTTTCCGTAGTGAATATCAAGCGTGGCGTGCGTCACATAACGAAGTGACCAAATCTGGATATCTGAAGAAACCAGGACGTCAGGACTTCATAGACATGATTTCACGCGCCTGGCAGAATGTGACTCCAGACTTGGTTCGGAAGTGATTTTATGCAGCGCAGGTTCTGGAAAGTGATGTCCCCGATGACGAATTTCAGAGCTCTGATTTCTTTGAAGAAAATAAGGAGAACACTTCCGAAAGTAATGATTTCGAAACTGAAAATGTTTGTGAGAAAAGCGACTGTGAAATAGAGATTAGCTTTTTTAGCGACAGTATTTTAGACACTGATGATTCCTGTGACTTACACAACGGTTTACCAGAGTGATTTATGGAATAAAATAAAACTTACAGGCACTTAAAAGTTCAGTTAAATATACTTAAAATTCTAGAGCGCAAGAAAGTGAGTAAATAGAATAATACGGGTAAATAACGTAAATAATACATAAATTTGAAACCGTGCATTTTGCCCGGTTAGCGTGTGTGTATTGGACGTGCATTTTTCCGGTATACCGACGCTGTGGTATAACTTGGTGGAGCCGCTACAGTATTCAATGGCATGTTTAAGTAGACAGCGGAACATGTTGCAGCATATGATAACGCACAGTCAGATGTGTGGAGACATACACTAATCGGAAACCGGTACAGCAGAATTGCTTAAGGGCAATTACACCTTAACGATACAATATTGAATATCGTAACAGTATGCTGTTCTCCCAATTTCCCAAACTAGCAAATTTGGCTTTTGTAGCTTACGTCTTGCACGTTAAACACTATATTGACGTCGTAGTATTGATTTCGCAGCCCTTATTCGACCAATGCCGGTCTAATTTAGATATTTTTGAATTTTTGGTGTTACTGTACAGTGTATATGAAACACATGTAGAACTCGAAACTGCACTGCCAAAATTAAAACAGTCATGATGGATGCATTGGTTCCGGAGACCTACGGCAAGCGTTGCCAGTATCAATACGGCAATACTGACTACATAGGTCGCGGGATGTTTGGTGCTGTGTACAAGGCGCATGTGGTGGAGCGTCAGGATTTTGACGGCGACGCAGTTGTGGCTGTAAAAGTCATTCACTTACACCAGAATTCACAGCTTGCCAACAATCCCCAGAAGTGGAAGCGGGTTCGAAGCCGGCTGCAGCTGCTCCTCTCGTTGAGACATATAAACTTGGTTCCTTACCACAAAGTAACGATTACCGGAGCAACAGGCATTGTCGAATTAATGATGGACTTCTACAGCGGTATGTAGATGCTGGACTTTATGATTATGATTTTTCTGCTTAGGTGTTTGGTTACATACAATGGACGCCAAAATTGTCTTACACTTATGTAATCACAAAACTCGCGCAACCAGGCACTTTTCTGTACTCAAACAGCCAAATTTTTGACTGGCTATCGGCTTGCTGACATTTAAATTTTACACTTGAACCTTGCGCATTTCCCAACGAAAACCATCGACCAATAACTCAAACGAAAGAGAAAAAATTTCAAGAATTTTGATACCAAACAAGGTGTTCTTTATAAGATCTAAGAGATAATCCAGCCATCTAAAGTTTCTCGTAGACATAGCATAGGATTTGCATCCGCGGTTTGGTTTCAGTTTTCACACAGAAATCGTGTGCTTTGTCTACGACAAACTAAAATGGCTCGATTTTCTCTTAGATCTCATGAAGGATGACTCATTTGGTATGGAAATTCTTGAAATTTTTTTGTCTTTCGTTTGAGATATCGCTTCATGGTTTTCGTTGGGAAATGCGCCAGGAACAAGTGTTCGTATTCTTGCGCGTTTTCTGTTTATTGGTCATTTGGTCCTAGCCATTTATTTTTATTGGTCATTCGGTCCCGGACCGAATGTAAGACAATTTTGGCTTCCATTGTATACAAAGTACTAATTGAAAGTACGATTGATTATCAGAACAGCTGAAAGCAGATGTACAATGTAGGGCGTTACTCCCTGTCCACTAGACCAGCTGACCAAACCTTTTTTTTTTTTCAAAGGTGCTTGATTTCATTAAAAGCGGTACCATCACAGTTTCAGAAATAGTTAATCATAAAAACAAAATTTCATTTAATGCTGCCGCTCCTGCCATTGTTCCGAGTACGGAAGCGGCGTTGCCACGCTGAATTTCCAACGACAGGCGTTGCCGAAGAAACTCGTGGGAGCGAGGCTCTCCGGTGTGCTGTTGGAGCCGCTTGCCGATTTCTTTCACTAAAAGGGTAGCGGACTTTTCCCATGGTCCAAGTGTTTCGAAAGCCAGCGGTGCGAAGATGTATCTACCATCTAAATACGCGTAGAATCGCACTTTCTTCTCTTCAGCTTGTGCAGCCGCAGATCCCGCGGTCGTTGATGTTGATCTTAGGTGTGACACAGCAACCGTGTCCACACACGTAACGTCCCATGCCAGACACATCCCGCTTTTCCAGGCAAAAGTGGTGCAACCATCGGGACGTCGATCGGACGTGTGGGACGTTCCCCGAGGTTCCACTTTTGCAGGGATGCCGGCTGACACTAGCGCTCTACAAACGATATTGTTTAAGCCACCATGACGTGCATACCTTAACGGTAGAGTCGACGCATGCGTTGACTACAGTATGCTTTAGTCAAATCCTCAAAGCGATTTGTCCATCTTCACTGAAAAAACCGCTTTGACGCCAAATGTATCGTCCTGACTCACAACTGCTTAGATTTTAAGAGAACGAGGAATCGTTTGTCTGCGGTTTATGTTACAATATGTGGCGTAAGGGGAATACTGCTCTAAATTGTAGCATTAGTCTAACGACAGAAGCTGTTACTTTAGGTGGCGATTTAGCTACGTTCCTGCAGCAGCTAAAAGGAAATGGTGGACTCCTGGAACAAAGAAGTGTCATACGCTTTGCGCAACAAATAACCAGTGGGCTGCATTATCTGCATCAGCAGAATATAATACACGGAGACATTAAGCCAGGTAATATTCTGATTAAATTCTCCGAGAAACACCACGAAATCTTGCTGATTGGAGATTTGGATGACTTGATTCAAATGCACCGCGATGCAACATGTTCTCAGGATATTACACAGCTGCGTGGAACTTCTCGCTATATGTCGCCTGAGATGCTCAGCCGCTTTGCGGAGATGCCGGGGGAAATTCCCGGGCGTAAAACGGATATCTGGAGTCTCGGATGTGTTATTCTGGAATTAGCAAACAGCGCAATGGGCTTGCCGGGAAAATTATTGCAAAACTCCGGCGAGATCGTTGCTGTGGACGGTGTTACCCCGGTGTTCAAATTTATCACCATGATGCTGAATGGAGCACGTCCGTTTATTGACCAAAGCATACCCTCCCTTATGGCTTCATGTGCGGGACGCTGCCTATGTGTTCATAGTAAAGACAGAATTGGTGCCGATAACTTGTTGCTCCAGCTCCTGAACGCAGAGAAAGGAACAACTGTCTCATCTGAAATTGCGGTGCTTCGAATCGACATGCCAGATTTTGCAGCACGATTGACTTGGACAGATATTGACGGTTCAACGGCTCCGGTGTACAAGATGAGCTTGTCCGTACAATTGCTAAATACCGCAACGGTGACACTACGCGCATGGCCGCTCCCTACCGCTTTACGGAACAAACAACTGTGTTATGGTGGTAATAATTTCACAACTCTTGGAAGCGAAATGGTTTGCCAATTTCTGCGCTCCGATGGAACGATCGAAACCATCGTTTGGAATATAATCAGACAATCATGGCGAGCACTGAACTTGAGTCCAAGATATTTCTTCGTATGTCCAGTCGGAATTGGAGAGAAAGTGTACTTTTGGGCAAAAGGAAAAAAGTTTGGTGTGGTCCATGCTACCGAAAACAACATCCATTTACTACCGCTTCCAGATGGCGCTGATCAGTACGTCGTAAAATATACAAGTTTTGCATTAACTGATACAATGTAGGACTAAATGGTCGCATAGCCCCATACCCAGCATTCTGTACGCAAGCGGTGCAGTGCACTTGTACGAAACGGATATTTTGAACTCAGTCGTACAGTGCACTGCGCTGCATTCGTTCTGAATGTGGAGATGTTGGGTATGCGACCATTTTGTCCTAAGCTGTATAACCTATGAGCAGCGAAATGGTTGTGCGCCAGGACTTGACTTGAAACCATCCAGGACTCAGGTGGCCAATGAATATGAATGAGAATCTCGATTTTCTAAACAGTAACAATGTTGCTAACACACGAGTTAAACAGGAAAACCCGACACTAAACGAATTTAACGCATAGTCACAAAAAGCGTCTGTTTATCACAGTCTGTCCGCAATTCGTGAGGCTGTAATTTTTTTCTGCATTCAGAAATACAAAGTAATCTGTGTAACTAATTACTCGGGTTGCTCATTAGGTAAAAAATAAAGTAAATGAATGGCCACCAAAAATTACCCGGTTTGTTACACCAAATTTTTTGAAAATGGCTATCCCCACTTCCGGTCACCAGTAAGTTGTGCTTGCGATTATCAGAAAGGAGAAAAAACACAATCGCAGTCTTAGTATTTCAGTCGTTCGGTCGTATCGCTGGTATGAATATTAAAAAAACCACAACGAAGACAGATAAAATACTAACAGTACTTATCGTGCAGAGTATAGTTCCGCTTCCGAGTAAGCTGCAGCCCATGGTACACTCATGTCGCTACGCTCATGCATTCAAGCTGGTCGGAATAGGAAGTCACGACTCACAACTTAGTAAACAAATCAGACAACATGCTTTAATACTTTATAACCGAAGGCTTCTTTTTCAGCTTAAAGTCCATTTCTGGCGGCTTATCAATGGACAACAAACTAATTTTTTATGTGCTTTGTATCGCTTCTGGATCTACGGAGTCGTTGCGAATAGCGAGTTTCAACATATTAACTTACGACTGGGAATATTTTCCAGGAGAAATTGCAAAACGAACAAATTTTGCTGTTACAACATTGCACAGAAAAATCTACGTACTCGGTGGAGAACCTGCTGACAAGCGGGTGTTGGATTCATGTTTGCGCTTCGATCTGGTTACTCAGTCCTGGGAAACTTTGGGATCTCTGGTGCATAACAGGTTCAATCATGGTGCATTCGTGGTAAATGAGAACATTTATGTTTGTGGCGGGAGAAGAAGCTGGCAGGACTATTATCCATTACTGCAAATGGAACGCTATGACATGGAGAAGAATGTTTGGATAGAAGATAATTTTCAGTCACTGGAAAACAAATGGTTACCATGGTTTACCCAGATTTTAACTAAAAGTTATTACCGCACGGATTGTCTGCCTCTTTTTGATGACCGCTAGGTTTGCATATGAGTAGTGGGATTTTCTCGGCCACCGTTTTTAGCAAGCGTTTGATTTCATAACCTGGCATTCGATTTAAGAAATTGACATATTTTCGACGTATTTGTGTTCACAAACGATTATGCAGTCCATCATGTCTTTGAAAAACAACCAGTTTCCAAGTTTCCCGATACGCAAATATGCGTGTCCCAGACATCTGCATGCAAAGGCCGACCAATGCAGCAAGGTGATCCATTGACATTCGGATACTTAACAATGTTTCCGGTTTTGTATCTCTTGCTGCGCTGACCACAGATGAAAACCCATGATTTTGTGGAGGATTTCCAGAGCCCAAAGCATCATTCAAACGCCAGGGCACATGCGTAGCGTCATCATTTCGCGGTGTCAGATAAGAATAACTATCCAACGGCATTTTCTCCGCCAACATGGCTTGTCTTGTAGCAGGAGGATGACAACCTCCAACGGATACCGTTTGAGAGGGAATCAAAGTGGATTCCACTGGTGCGACACCGTATGATGTCCATGTACTGATCGTTCTCACAGCTCGCACTACAAACGTAATTTCCAGGACAATAAAGAACCCTGCGTAGCCGATAATGGTTGGTCCACCAGAACTATAATGGAATTTCTGTTCCCAGGTTACGATGAGTGCGCCATGAATGATCATACGATTTATACCCACAGACAACATTATGCTGATTACCATGCAGACAATGTAGGTTTTGAGAAATCTTAAACCGGCATTAAGGTGCTTGACTGATAAAAACGGTGCAGTCCGAGCACAACAGCGGCCACACACTCTCCCACAATACTGGTTAAGGTGACCTTTGTTTGTCAGTTATTTCCTGGTCTGATTGTTGCCGATTTTAGCCGTTAGCACTCCCTTGCTTTATTAATACTGTTGCCGCTAGACGAACTTCACCACTTTTAGTCTTAGATCCGGCCGCAGCCTGCCCCTGGCCGGCAAAACGTACCGTATAATATGAGTTTGCCCGGAATGTTAATTCCTACAGCAGTAACAGTAAGGATTTGCTCATTTTGCTGTTAGTGGTTGACGTGGAAGTATTACTTCGAGCATTTTGCAAGCGGCGCATCTCACCAAATTCAAATCGCCGTTGGCCCATGAGGAAAATAATCAGGATTACACTGGGAATGAGGATTAGCAAAAACGTCAAAAGGGGCACCGCAACCTGCAAGGGGAGGACATAACCGATCAGAACATGTTCATTCGTGTCGATTCGTTTACCGACTACAACATTTGTTGATACATACTGTAATATCGCGTAGGTAAAAAAAATTTTACATGCATTCGCTTGGATTTCCATCCTTCTGTGCGAATAGATTAATTTCTGAGGCACCACAAATCATTGCAGAATCAGCTGTATGTTTAAAGCCACGGAGTCTCTACAGTTTTAACTTATGGATAAACCATCATAATACTATAATGATTATTTAAGAAAAATTGTATTGGAAAATTCAGAGAATTCGGATTGCTTAAACGTGACGCTTTCGTACTTTTCACGGAGTGTTATCACTAAACAATGTATTATCCGCTTTCATTATATAATGATCGACCGTAGTCAGCGAGGCCTGTTTTCATGAATGGGGAAACTTTCATTTTTAATTTCGCCGGTTTGTTCACTACATATACCAAACTGTCTGTCGACCGCGATGTAGGCTATAGTAAGCGAATAATTACAGAAAGCATCATACCACTCAATACACCCAAATAGTAAAACACCGCACTTTAAGTGATAGCGACTAAGTGTATGAAGCAATAAGGTTATTGTGGGAAAAAACCTCAGTAGAGGTTTTATATTAAGTTTTTTTTAATATTAACGGAATGTGTGCTCTGGTAAATACGGTACTATACCGAATCGTTGCGACCTGGAGATTTCCGTTTAGGGCGGGAATGCATTTGCTTTTCTCTAGAGCGCAATGAGCCTCATTGCGCTCTAGCCAAATTTGGCATAAACGGCCTTGCAAACAGCCTTGTCAGTTGTCAATCGCTTCCTAGCAAAGTAGCTCGTAGGCTTCGCGCAAAAACTTTCTTTAGCCATCATATTAATAAGGTTTAGTAATATGCAAGGCAGTTCACTGTAAAGAGTAAAAGATTAACTGACCCTGCGGATACAAGACATACCAGACCCTTTCTGTCAACGACATCCCATTCCTGCAGCCAGAGTGGGGAAGAATAAAATGAGCCAGCCGTGCTGTGAAGGTTAAATATGAAAAGATCATAGCGCATTGCAAAACTGGCCATGTGACATGCGAACGATAGAGCAGCGAGAACGACAATAAGGCACCGAGCTGTTACTACCCGCTGCAAGAATGCGAACCGGAAAGGATTCGAAATCACAAGCAGCCGTTCCCAGGAGAACACAACTAAGATCCTGTAAAGCATAAGTAGCAGTAAATGCATTTGAAATTTGAACTGTCGTATGTCGTAAACTGCCAAGGTTTACCAATCAGACAAAGTCATTGACGCGTCAGTAAACCACGGAAGGATGACCGCCGCCCCGCCCGTTAAACCAGGTCGCTCATCCGATAAAAAGTATGCTAACCCAAGCCATCTACAAAAAACTTATCAAAAGTTTCTTAAAATTTCGGTCGGTACAACCTAGTTTATTGCATGGTTAACCTAAGGGAAAGGGAATAGAACAATATTTAAACCATTCCGCAGTGGGTTTAATAAGTCGCTATCCTTTCGTTCGCAGGACACTGCATCCGCCCCGAACGTCCGTATAGCATTCGGGTTGGGATAATGGGATGAATATATTTCAAACGTGCAACAATAATGTTTCTGGCGGACTTACGCTAACAAATCTGCGATTGCTGTACCAATCATCATCACGTATTTACACGAGTTTAAGAGCCACCAAAATGGCGTCAGCCGTAAACAATAGCGCGCGGCTCCTTTGAAGTTCAAAAAAGCCGTCGGATATTTTGCGCGCACCCGGTCTTTTTTGTGGCTCTTAAACTTGTGTAAATACAGTAATGGCATGCCGACGTTCTCCACGTAAACACGCTGCGCGCTAACACTGCCAGATTCAACCCGTTACCCACGGTACATAGGATCAAGAGGAATAAGAACACAGCCCGGCATGCGAGGTACGCATTCCGCAGTTGATTGTCTGTATACCGATATGTGCTAACCGAATTTTCAGCTGAAGTTCTATTCGTCGACCAGTTAGAAAGGCTGGCATTGACGAGATATCCAGACAGAACTGTTACTGCTGTAGCGTTCTGCATGAGAAATCCGGCAGCGCGCATGAGAAGTTAAGGGCAACCTTTCATAATGAAATGATCATAATGCTGATCCTTTGCATGCAGTCATAATATGTGGGCTCTCCGCATATTAAAAGTAAGCGCTAAGTAGAAGCAGGCGTGCAAAAAGCAAAAGCTGTTTTGCGGATGTCTATCGTAGCTATGACTATTTTCTCATATCCAGTTTAGCTGCTAGCGCCTTAACGGTTGTTTTAAGCCCTTTGGCTAAATAGTTCAACTGAACACGGTTATACAGTACCTTGAACGTGAAATTCCTGTCCACGAAATATGTTAGCAAAACCACAATGAAGGTAAAAAAAGCGGCTTTTTTTGTCTGATGCGGAGAAATGCCTGCATCGTTAAAAGAATGCGCCGTAAGTTTAGATTGTAAGTTTTTTATGCAGTAACTGTATACATAGTTACGGCACACTTCAACATGTACTCACAACAGAGACAGCACAGTGTGTACGAACAATGCTGGTATGCGACTATTTTGGATCATAAACCTCATGATAATAAGGTTATCACTGGTTTCGTGGATTCGTAGTTATTCAGTTTGTCCAAAATATTAACCAACAATTTAGCAGACACACCGTTTCCCAAGTCAGGCCCATCTACTATAACGGGACAAAATAGACAGTATTATCAACAATTTTGCTTGCTGGTTGCTGCAATAACACAGCCCTTGACGTTCTAAAAAAAAGGAAAGCGGGTTTCACTTTGGCACAAACATCATGGACCATGATCAATCGACTATAGAGGAAAGCCAACAATCCAAGCCAATTATGGGGATTCCTTAATTTCAGTTACACCGTTTTAGGCTGTTGTCACGGTGTAAAAGTATTGTATCTCTGCAGTACTCGTTCTCGTGCGCGCAGTTAGCGAGCGCGTGTTTCAAACTATTAGCAGAGGAGTAAAATGCAACAACCAAGACCACGTAATCCGCTAACTGTATGCTTGCAAGGTTTTTCTAAGTTTAAATGGCAACAAGTTGCTACTCGTACTTCTTGTACTAGTCATTGAATTGCGTAAAATAGGCATCAACTAAAGAAAATTAATAATAGAATATGCGCACTAGCGCGCTAGCACAATAATGATTTATCACCGCCTGAGCGAAAGCTGCCGTCAAGCTTATCAAGCATCCTGATTACTTATCTTGTTACCAATATAAAATCATGTCGAAGGAGTCGGTTCAATCTTTGATTACGGCACATCGAGATATTCTCGCGCTGCGTATTACCCAACTGTCATAAATTGCAGCATTATGCGTTTTTGATATCTAACAACATTTTAAGAACCAAGTTCTTATCATGACTAACACAGCAGTATCGGACATTTTTGGTAAGCATTGTCACTATCATTATGGAAAGAAAGATTACATCGGGAAAGGCACATTCGGCATGGTCTACAAAGCGAAAGTGGTGGAACGGGGTGATTTTGTTGGAGAAACGACTGTGGCGGTCAAGGTGATATACTTGAATCAAAATCCGGTAAACTCGCGCCTGGGATCCGATCCAGAAGAATCGCAGAAGCTATGCCACAGACTCCAAAGGATTTTGGAACTGCAGCACGATAATTTAGTTCCATATTACAAAATAACTTTGACCAAAACTACCGGCATCGTCGAATTAATGATGGACTACTACAGTGGTATGTACGGGACGCATAAACCAATGAACAAGGAACGCAAAACGATAAAAGACTTAATTGTTACGTAAGGAGCAGCCCAAAAGAACTTAATGTTATTTACAACTCAAATTTCGCTCTTGCAATTTCAGATTTTGCTCCTGCAGCTAAATGATAACTGGCAACTGGAAATTCAAAGTTTCATTAAGCCTGTAGATTGCGGACTTTGCTGTATTAAATACTGTATAATTTCGCCCGTTGACTGCAGGCGGCGACTTAGCCTCTTTCCTTGCAAGAGTTCGAGGAAACCCTGGAGTTCTCCCGGCAGCGACGAGCAGTACTCTTTGCACACCAAATCGCCCACGGACTGGCGTATCTCCATGAAAACAATATCATTCATGGCGACATAAAGCCGGGGAACATCCTGATAAAAAACCCAAATAGCCTACGCGAAATTCTGCAAATTGGGGACTTGGATGACCTGGTGCAAATGCACCGCGAAGCCGGCACATGCTCACTTGATATTACGCATCTACGTACGTGTCGCTACATGTCACCGGAAATGTTGGGGCGGTTCGCTCAGCTGCCAGGTCCGCTCCTGGTCGTATGACCGATATCTGGGGTTTTGGCTGCTTGCTTCTGGAGTCAGCCAATATTGTTGTGTGCCTTCAGGACAAGTGGTTCCTGACAACGGGCCAAATTGTGTTTATGACTAACGCGGTTTCGGAAACCCAGTTCATCAGTATGGTACTCAATGGAGCCCTTCCCTTCGTGGATGAACGCGTGCCATCGAATTTGGCGGAATGTATTCAAGGATGTTTAAGAGCGGTCAGCAGCGAGAGGATCACAGCAATGCGGCTCTTTGATGAACTATTGGACGTTGAAAACGGGGTACCTGGGCGACAGACGACTGACTTTGTTATGATTCATATTGACGAGATGAGTCGTCCGAGTGTTTCGGAAACCAACGAGGACGAAAATTCTGTGATATGTGTACCTGCAAACGGATTATCGATTCATCTTTTGGACACCGGTCATACCGCTTCTGTGACGTTACGAAAGTGGTCGCTGCCGAATGGTTTCAAAAATCAGTATTAAAAAAAAAATTTGTCGACAGTTTTATAGCCTCAGGCAACGAAGTCGTGTGTCAGATTCGGAAATCCGAAGATTTAGTGGACACGGTTGTGTGGAACGTTACAAGGCAGATGTGGCGCTTACTGGATAGTCAGAGCGGGAATTCTAGAGTTATTTTTCGCTGACCTGTGTGCGTGGGAAAAACGGTTTATTTTTGGACTAGGGACACGGAACTTGCGATGGTGGACATTTCCGATGGCAGTATACTCGTCATTTCAAGACCACCAAATGCTGCAGCGTAAGTTACTGCACTTATTTTTTCGTGTATAGCGTGCGGTATGTGTAGAGTGCACAAATGACAAGAAACCCGAGGAAAGCTCGACATCTTAGATATCATATGAATCGTTGAAAACGACCGTAATTATCGAATTTGCACCTCCCTCAATAATAAGGCCTCCCTCCATAATAAGCCTCCTCCCATAACCTGTTTGAAAAATAGCGCCTCCCCCCAAATTTAACGCCCAGGCGGGCGTTATTAAATGCTAAGCGTCACAAAATGATAGATAGAGCGCACATTGCTCCTTATTACTTATAACGTTTTAATGAATACACAGTAGACGGTTACAAAAATAAGGTGGTGTGCTCCAGAATGCTGCAAGCAAGGTTGTGAAATTGCAGATACCGGTATCTACTGCGGTCAGTTGCTGTAGAACAGGATGCACAGTTGTTTGAAAAATAACGGCCGCCTCCGAAAAGTACTGTTTGAAAAATGGTACCACCCCCAGAAATAACGCCCCCTCCCTGAAATAAGCACCCCTTCGCCAGGACGTTTGAACTTTTGCACCCCAGGGGTGCAAATTCGATAATTACGGTAGTCAATGATATATAAGCACTGCTGATTTTCAGGATCCAATCAATTTCTGGCGGGGTGTCAACAAACGACAAATTATTTTATTTGACATGTACTGGTACACCATCGGGTCATGTGTTACGTTTGACCTGCTTCGACATTGCGACGTATGAGTGGGATGATTTCGGAGACTTACCTGACGTAAAGAAAAGGGCTAACTTCGCCATGATTGAACTGCATGGAAATATATATTTGCTGGGTGGCTTGTCAGAGCCGGACAGAACCGTGTTGAGGTCGTGTGCACGATTTAATATGGCAACCTGCTCCTGGGAATCGGTAGGATCCCTGCGACAGCGGCGGTATAAACACTGTGCATTCGTGACGAATGAGCGTTTATACGTATTTGGTGGGAAAAGCCACTGGAAGAACGGGTATCCAGCACTGACCCATATATTTGGTGGACAAGGCCACTGGAGAAATGACTACCCATGCCTGCCGATGGAATACTATGATGTCGGAGAAAATGTTTGGAAGGATGTAAATTATGCATCTTTGGATCAAGCCGGTCTAGCGCCTTTAGACCATTTAACTTGTACAAACTACCGCCGTTCAGTTTGTGTACCATTACAAAATAATTTTTAGTCTGTATTCGTTAACATATTTTTTGTGCATTTATTGGCATTTATTCCGCCCAACGTCCCAACGACACCGTCCATCGTCTTTCTTCCATGACACATTGTAAGCGGCAAGAACATTTAAAGCATGAAAATGTTTTTATCCTTGAAAGAGAAAACTGGGATCAATGAACATACGTCTCGGTATTTTAATTATTATTAATATCGATATATGCTGCCGAAATTTTGCTCATACTAGTTTATATTTGCACCGAAAGATAGCCTTAATGTATTTACCCCGCTAAAACAAAGCGGACAACATAAATAATACTGTATGTTGTTTTAAATATACGTAAGATAAATGGCTTTTCTGATAACTTCCTTTCATTTCTCGCTAACGCGACAGCTATACCGATTAAAGCCGGCATCAGCAAACAAAAGCTAAGTAGGGAATGTGCGTATTAGTGGCAAGCAGACCTGGGCAGTTATGGAAATTTGGCCTATAGTTAGAGTTACGAGTTCAGTGTAGCGCGCGAGTTACGTTACGAGTTACGTTATTCAAACAAACTAGAGTTATGAGTTATAACGCGAGTTACGTTACAATAAAAAATTCATACGTCTTTATTAATCATTTTCAAGTAATCTCTTTAGAGTACCGGTATTACTATTACCAGATTTAAAACACAGATCGTTATTAACTTTGCAAAATAGCTGATTCTCCAAATTCCCATCCGTACAACTAGCACGCCTGGGACTTAACAATGCGCCCGCAACGCTAAAGAGACGCTCAACTGGAGCAGTACTACCGGGCGCCGCTAACATTCGCCTAGAAAGCCTAGCTATACAATCGGGGAAAGTCATTTTTCATGTCTTGCCAAAATCGCAGGACACTCTCGCATTCGCTAACGTCTGCCTGATAGCTGCTGAATTCCTTTTCAACTGAAATCGCTTCCTGATCCTTGATTTACGCACGAACTGACATCCGTGCGTAAATCAATTACCAAAAACTACAGCTTTTTAGCGAAAAGGCCTAGAGCGCCTTTCAAACGACACAGGATAATTGCGAAATACATGTATATCCCAGCTGACAATGTACAGCTTAGGACAAAATGGTCGCATACCCAACATCTCCACATTCAGTACGAATGCAGCGCAGTGCACTGAGTTCAAAATATCCGTTTCGTACAAGTGCACTGCACCGCTTGCGTACAGAATGCTGGGTATGGGGCTATGCGACCATTTAGTCCTACATTGTATGTGTGTAATTCAGTATAACTGCAGTCAGTGCGCTGATATCAGTAGCCGAAAAAACCATGTGGCCAGTGCCTATGGCGGTCGTGGTGTACTACATCAGCTGGAGCTGTTTTGTATGCGCATGGTTGTAGAAGTATCGGAAGTGAGTGCACGCCAAGTCGGAAATAATTTTAATATTTTCTATATTTGTAAATTAATTATTTTATTAGTAACTTGAAACCACCGAGTTACGCTACAGTTACGTTGCGTTAACTTATTTTCGAGTTACGCTAGAGTTAAGTTTCCTTCCTAGCGAGTTACGCTTCAGAGTTACGTTAAAACTCGATAACTCGAAAATAACTCGCGTTAAGTTATGAGTTAAGTTATAACTGCCCAGGTCTGGTGGCAAGTAAAAAAGGTAACCTATCATCACCAAAGCGGAAGTGTTTGATTAGGCATATTAAGCCTTAATTCAACTGCATTTCTTGGTTTATTATGGTATGCGAGGAACTGGCTTTTTCTGATGACATCAGCTGGCGACAAAAGAGTGGTACACGGTACAATTACAATTCATATGTTTAGTGGTTTAGTGCTGTTCGCAATAATCAATCAGAAAATCGACTGCAGTTTATAATTGTGTGTGATTATGTGATTTGTGTCACGATTTCTGTCACGTCTCTTTCCGTTACGGATCCGCGTTTGATGTAGTAATTACTGTAAGAACACTAGTCATGGCTGATACAACTTCGGCCGAGGTTTTTGGTGGGCGTTGCCAATATCACTACAACTGTGATATCATAGTGTGGGACAACTGCCTTATTATATTATACCAAATCCTCATATTTTTTTAATTAATTTCATTTTTGCAGAATACGAAAGATTTGTGGCGGTGTCTTGATCAAAGACAGGATATTTTACGTAGTAGCCAGTTCAGCAGATGTTTCATCAGTTCTGTCATTAAAAAGCTTAATCGGCTTTAATATAATGACGTACAACTGGGAAGATTTTGGAAATTTACCGGATTTTGATCAAAGGACGAATTTCGCCATGGTGGAGCTGCAGGGAAAAATCTACCTGTTGGGTGGGTCGGAGGACGGGAAAGCCGTGATGGGATAGTGTTCGCGATTTGATGTAGCAACACGTTCGTGGAAAAGTTTAGGAGATCTCCTACGGAAACGGTACAATCACTGTGCCTTTATGTTCAATGGGAGCATACATGTATTTGGCGGGAAAAGCTATCTGGAAGACGAGCATCCGTCATTAGTAAACGTAATAAGTAGCTACTGGCGAGATGATTATACACCATTGCCAATAGAAACGTGTGATGCGGAGAAAAATGTGTGGAAAGAAGTCAGTTATGTTGCTCTGGATAGGGACGGTCAAACGCCGATACGCCACCAAGCTTTCTCCAACTACCGTCGCACAATCTCTATACCGCTGCAAAGTACATAGCTACAATACTCCATCGGCTTCTAAACAGCAAGTTGTCGTGTTTACCATGAAAATTTATGTCGATTTGAAATTTTTTTGACTAATCCTCTATCAAGCCGCTGTTGTACTATACCGAGAAAAGCGATGTGCATACGTCATCAGTGCAATGCCGTGCTGTACGCGAGAAAACTGATAACACTTTTGCTGGAAATTATTATTGTGTGACATTGGTGACTGTACTTGTCATGCAATGTTTCCAACATCGTATCCGATTTGCAAATCCGCGTGCGGTAATGATACTGTTGCTGATAGGAAAGGCACAATAGTGCCGACCGATCGTATTAATTGTTTTTAGCGCTATGATTATTATTGATAGGGCGTTATCGATGTCATAATATGCATTCTGCGTAGTTGTCTAACGAATCGGATGAAAAATGCCATCATATTGCTGTCATGCTACCGCGTTTATCAAATTTCATACCCACCAGATTACATGGCTGTTGGCACCAGCATTACTTAACTGCAAGACAGAGCACAAAGCGTAAGCCAACATTGTATTGTACAAAGCACAATGCAAGGCCTCAGCTTAAATCCACAGTATGTCTTCATACGTATGCTGCTCTTTAGTCATAATTATTTGAATTTCGTCACGTGTATGGCATTTTAGAAATTTTATGGCACATTTACACCACCATACTACACTTGTGCTTTTTGATTGCTCCTTGCTCGACTTGATTTCAGTCTTCAGTCAAAAGTATATTAGTACTAAGCAAAATGGAGTGTGCGCAGTTATCGGGTGGTTCCGGCTATCGTTCCGCAGCTGTTTTGGCAACTCAGAATTTAATGCTGGGGGCATTTAACGTATTTGCAGCAACCCTGCCACTGGGTACGTGTGTACTTCTTTGTGCTACTATGGACAAGAAAAAATAATTAATTGTACGACGATCACGGAAAAATAATTTCGCAGGCTCTTTGTGTTAACAAAATAGCACATTTAGGTACGTACAGTAAGTCATGTTTGCGGTAATTTTTTTATGACATACTCCATCGTGCCTTATTAAAACAATCGTAAAAAATTAAAAAAAGTATTAAGTAAAAAAGGTTGTATTAATTTAAATTGTGTTAAGCTTAATTTGTATTAAGCTTATGTATTAATCTTATTATTGTACTAAGCTTGTATTTAGTAAAAAAGCTCTAATCACACGTAAGTTGAAAAGCAAAATTTAGGCGCGTATTGTACTGAGCGGCATGCACAAACAGCATACAGGTAGGACGTTATGAATGTTATAAGCTATTATTTTTTCCCGTTTTTTGTTTGTCATTTTGACGCGGCTTTCTTGCCAAGAATTTTTCAGGAAATATATCTGTTGCTAATTGACGTAAGCAGTTATCAAACGGGTCTGAATAGTGATCTGATGTCCGAGCTGCCTAATCAAAGACTCTTTAATTTTGTCCGCATTTGGTACACCTCGATAGACTGACCGATGCCGCTCCTTGGAAGTAATAATTAATTTCTATTTCAAACACGGTACTTAGAGTGCGGGTTCTACAACGTAATCCTTTATAATGTAGAATAATTAAAGTACCTATGCATTGGTTTTTAATGTTATAATTCGCTAGCGGTGGGAATGGGAGACATTGTACTAACGGCCGTCATCCAAGCGGCATGGATCGTCGTCACCAGCATTGTTGGAGTGTGTGGCTTCTTTTGCGAGCCGACCGCTACTAGTAGCTCTTCACCGTTAATCTCCGCAAGGCATATGACTGCCGGATTACGCTTCCTCAGACTCTATATAGCCTTCCTGATTATCAGCATATCGCTGACTGTAGGCATGGTCACACAGGGCGCTCTCGTGCTGACCTGGCAGCGAAGCCATTCTGATGGTTTCGGTACCGTGGATCCTGGCGGGCCCTTTGCCATCGGTACTGGAGCGTTCTCTGTTATGTGGCTAACCATGCAACTCGTACGTGCTGTGGCGGCTATCAGTGACAGGACATCGCATGGTATCGCACCGGCTGGAGCTGCTCCGGCATCTCCGCAAACGGTCTTTATCGCAGGTTATCATCCGCCGGCTACGCGACAATCCATGCTGGCGGAGATAGCGCCGCCGGACGACTATCCTTATCCGGCTGCACAAACTAATAGCGCCACTCACGGTCTGGAGCGTTTTATTAATGATCACTTGGATCCTGGAAGTTCTCCACAAATTACCGGATACTTTGCTACGAGCCACGCATCAAGAAATATGCCGCCGGGAGCTTTGTTTGCGTATTCGGAAGTTGTCAAGTACTGACAAGTACTAACACCTACCATCGTGTCAGTACTGTGAATATTATAGTTGTACGCGTTTAGAATGATGTCCACAAGTTGGCAATATGCTAGTACAGCACATATTTGGTCGATGCTTTTATGGACCTTAAGGCTGTATAAAAGTCCAGTTCAGCCCGGCGGCACTGGAATCGACGCTAGACATATTGACACTATTTTCTTACATACATGTATTCTTTTTTCTTTTCTTATTTCTTATTTATTGTTTGCTCTACTTAAAGTTAATGGCGTAGATTGATTTACTGTAGCTCGCTTCTGCTTCGCGCTTACGTGGCAGCTCTTGGCGATTAGAAGTGGTATCAGCCGACAAAAGTTTAACAATATGCGCATCAGTGCGGATAATACAAAATGATAACCTATCATAGGATACAGCCAAAGCGGAAGTTGTTGATTGAATTTATAAAAAGTTAATTCAAATGCACAACTTGCGGTATAGACGTATAGTGGTATTCAAAGAACCCCGCTAGTGCTGACGACATCGACTACAAACAGCGGTGCAGTACATAATTATTATTTTTATTATTATTATTATTATAGCAACTACAGTAGCCAAACTCCTTTAAAGGAGACTTTAACCCTAAGGAGAAAACCTTTGAGTGTTTAGGCTATTGGAAAATTTTTTGTTTAATTTTGAAAATTTTATACTTTTTTTGGTTTGATTTTATGAGAAACAGTACTCCATATGACTAGTCAAATAGTGACTTAACGGTGTCAGTAGTCGAAGAAAAAACTTATTGCAGTCCTTCCAGTTTGTAAATGATTTCGCCTTGTGTAGGATTTCATGTTTTAATTCCGAATTTTATCACGTCCTTTCTCAAACTGATTGGCGTTAGTTAGAAATATTACTATTTGTACAAGAATAGTCATGGCCGAAACAACCCCACCCGAGGATTTTGGTAAGTCTTGTCATTATCATTATGAAAAGAACGATTACATTGGAAAAGACACCTTTGGCATGGTGTAGAAAGCGAACGTAGTGCATCGTGGTGATTTTTTGGAGAAACAACTGTGGCGGTTAAAGTGACATACCTAAACCAGAATCCGCTAAACTCGCAACTAGCATCTGATCCGGAAAAATGGCAGAAGCTTCGTAAAAGACGGCAGAGGCTACTGGAGCTACAACATGAGAATTTAGTCCCCTATTACAAAATAACTCCGGCCAGCACTACAGGCATCGTGGAGTTGATGATGGACTATTACAGCGGTAGGGCTTCCCAATCTCGCAATCAATCACTGCCAACCAATAATGTTTTATAAAATTAAAAAAAAATTAATTAAAAAACATGTTTGTTATGTTCTTTTACAGTACTTTCATTAATTTCCGGTGGTGATTTACCTTCGTTCCTTAAGAGAACTAGAGATCAATACGGAATTTTCAAACAGCGACGGGCAATACGCTTTTCACAGCAAATACCCCATGGACTACAGTTTCTCCATGAAAACAGCATTATCCACGGCGATGTAAAACCGGGAAACATTCTAATCAAAAACCCTTAGAGCCCTAATGAATCACTTCAAATCTGGACCTGGAAGATCTCGTAGAAATGCACCGAGAAGCCGGCACATGCTCACCGGATATCACTACTTGCGTGGCTCGTGTCGCCGTATTATTCGGTAGAGGGCTGGTAAGGCCGGTAAAGCCCTAAAAACGCTCATTAGTTGTGTAATGTTAGTGGTGTGATGGTACCGCCAACAGGATGCGCGCTATTACTTAAGTAAATATTGAATTTTGAAGTCCTAAATGCCGGCGGCCATAATTCCCACTGTAAGTAAGTCTCACTATATGCACTACTTCCTTTGCCAAGTTTATAATTTTATTAGTTTTCAACACACTCATATTTAATCAAAAACACTGCATAATTACCAGTAATTATATAACAAAAATCTCGGCCGGTTTATCCGGTTCGTCCAAGCCCCGAGTACTGATGCCGCGTAAACTTCCTTGTAGAACGTTTTAGTACTTCCAATTTTGTTCCTTGGTTCCTTAGCATTTCCAGCTGAACAGATATCAGGCAATATTGAAAAAACGGTACTTAAACCACGTGCTCCTAAATAAAGAAGCGACTTCCGAGGACTGGATAATTTCACAAACTGCCGTCCGTTAGTGGTTGGCCGGCTCATATGAGGAATCTGCTAAAATTTCGTAAGCCTCGAGATGTTTTTTATTGCTAGTTCTAAGCGAGCGCGAAGCGCATTTCTTACTTGGTATGTTGGTGCTCATAAGCAATTAACGTCTTTTGCAGGATCAACATTTTAATGACGCTTCGCGCACTGCACGTGAGTATCCACGTTCCGATTTCTTAAATACTATGTACCGCATGAGCTTCAGAGGGAAGTCTATTAATCGACCACTGCAAAATGGACCTAATCGTGTGCAGAGGCTGCTGTTGTCGCTGTTGGTGCTCAAGGAAGTGCTTCAGCGTCTACATGCCGTTGAACAACAGCGCTGTAGGCGCGTTTGCAGCTTATGGGAAACCCTTCTTACATCCCACGATATGCAGAAATACATACACGTGTCGTGTAAAACTGTAGTTTTCCACCGGGATCTCTGGGCTTTAGTGTGGAGGAATATGTCATGCTTGGTTGTCTAGTCAAACTTGTCACATCCGCTACGCTGGCAGTTTACCTTGTGGGCTTTCAAAGTGTATCGCCCAAAAGTCTTTTGGCTGGGAGATTTTTACTGGGCTACCTGCTACGAAAGCCATTTATTAAGAACCTCTTTCGTCAACTGGGTCAGCTTTTTCGTCAAGCGGCTGACCCTTACGGCAGTAATGGGGCACCTAGTTTCATGATACTATGGATAATGTCGCAAGACTGAGTCCTCCCGTAGTGCACCCTATGAGCCCTATGTGAAAGGTCAACGATGACCTCTACCTATGTGTACCTATGGTGAACGGCTAGGCAACACCTGTGTGACCATGACCTTTATTCGGTAAAACGCTTGCCCACTACAACTACTCTATAGATAAGCATCTAGGCTGCTGCTGAAGTACGGACTGACTGGCTGGCAGTCGGAAGGCCTCCTTATATACGAGGATGGCCGGCTAGGAGGGGGTGGGGCTTCTGTGGTGACTGTGCTCGATGACGGCGGTATGACAGGAAGTGACGTAAGGGTAATGTTATATGATGGAATCGACCGCTGATTGACCTTGACGGTATCACGCATGTCGTGACTCCGTCACAGTAAACTGCAAGATAAGAGATACCTTCCGAACAAGACAGGGAGTGAGAGTTCCTGGGGTGGAAGCGGATATTCCCCACACCGTTATTGATCCGCAAGCAGTTAATGCAGGGTATCTATGTGATTTATTGGAGATGCACCTTATTCCCATTAGAAAATCGGATGTGGACGAAATTTCACGGTAGATCGCGGAATTGGTTGGGAAGAACAACAGACGTGTGAGCGAGATTTGTCAGGTACAGTGTGCATTGTGCAGACGTTCATTGATGAGAAACAATAAATATTCCCTATTCGTGCCCAGTTATAAATCCTCTTTTAGTTCCTTAAATGCGGTTTGTAATTGGAAGCAGTAATCGGTTTCCATCGAGTCGTCCGATCACTATACGATTTGTGTAAGGAGGCTGATGTAATAAAATTTTGTCATACTAGTATGACAAAATTTTATTACATCAGCCTCCTTACACAAATCGTACGTAAATACGTACGTGAAGGTCAGAGCGACATAATTGTTATAACAGTGGTTTCCTGGGGGAAGATTGAGATGAAACAACTTTTATCTGGTTTGCCATAGAAATCTTGATTGGCTGCTTGATTGATCAGGAGGTGAAACTAATACGGTTTTATATTGCTCTTATGTGGATGTTTGCGCTTTAAATGCGATCTTGGGTTCTCGCCACAGAATCGGTTGCTAGCAGTATGCGTTCGTAACTAGTGCCAACAACATTTTTTCGTACAAATAGTTAGGTGTAGGAAGGTGTTTTGATGAGCCGAAACAAAAGCTTACGTCCTTGTCCAGATCCTGAACTACTACCAGAGCCCTAATCCGCGGCCTAAGACAAATTACCGAGAACAATGGTGGATATGGGAGAATACATATTGCCAGCTTGGAGGTCAGCAAACTGTCATGTACAACTTTGTCCGTCTTGAACCGCTGCCGGCAAATGCCACCAGAGATATTTCAGCAAAACGTACTGCCAACCGAAGGATATTAAAAAACACCGTGGAGAGACACTGAACAGATGCTCGAGGATGAAGGAAAAAAATAATAAATTGTTGATTTGCATTGTTAGCTTCTTTTCTTCAGTGTATGGACAAATACGAGTAATAAATTTTGCGTAAATTTTTGTGTTACTGCTAGATTTAGAGACAAAAGGAATTGCTTGTCACAATAATTTTTCATCATCTGTACCGTCTTACTTACTTTAACACAAAGTAAAAGAGAGCGCTTACAGCGTCGATGAGCTTTTTAAATACTGTCCTGATAATTGTGTTCAGGTATGTGCTTTGTGTATGCAGTTAACTGTAGATCGGTTATGTTGTGTTACTTAAAAGCATCGAATCCTTTGAAATGGTACCAGTAAAGCATCTCTCAAAGTTTTGAAAACAAACGCAAACAAAACCGGATCCACAAGCGACTGTAAATTAAACAAAAACGATGATATCCCGTACATTATCGGCTCATCCACGGTGGTGAAACAGTTAATAGAGAAAAACGTGGCATTAGGCACCCAGCAGATCAATATGGACAGGGTCAATAAGCTGGTGACAATAAACGCCCGGTAACGCTCTTTTCGGCCCCTCTTTCGTTCTTCGTCAGTATTGTCGGTTGTCTTGTCGTTTACTGATACATTCTCATTTCTGTTGCGGTACGCCGTTTTTTTCGAAAGGGCAAGCGAGCGATCGTATTTAATCCGCCGTCGGAACCGATGTTTAATCAGTAAATACGGGTAAACAGCGATCACGGACGATATCGGCAAATCATACCCGATAAACTGCATGATAATGTTCCACTCAAGTTGCAGTTCAACGTTTAAACTACACGCGTTATCTTTAAGAGGCGCTCGGAAATACAGAGAATCCCGTATTACTCCAGGTAAACCGAGGAAATGGACGTAAATCCAAAGAACACTGACAGTATGGAAGGAAATTCGTAAATTATGTTGATTCCGGTACGAGACTGGAAAAGTCATGGCCCACAAACGGTTGAAAGTGATTAGCGCGTGTGAGTTAACGGTCATCGCGCCGAGGACGATCAGCGCGTAGATGTACACATCGCAGGCGGTGGGACTCAACGGCCAGGTTTGATAAAGGCCACTGATAACGTCCAACGGATTGCAGAGGATGGAATAAATCAGATTGGCGAATAATAAACTCCCGAGGTACACGTTAAACGGAGTGTGCAGCGATTTGTTTGTGAAGAAGATGAACAACACGTAGCCGTTGAGGAGAATAGCCAGCGGTGTGATAATGGCAGTGCTCGTTGGGCCCAACGTCCACGCGGGAGCCAAAGAAATATTTGAATTATTATTGGATAAGTCCGTATTGTGCATTGTCTAAAGAGGGTAGCAAGGAATTAATTTTCACAATGAACAGCTACATGACGGTGCAGATCTTGATGTTTCTTGTAAGAAAATGTAATACAATCATGATGGTACAGAGAAAGAGCGAAATGTCAAACCACAAGCTGGCAGAGAAATTTGCACACTGCAAATGCGTATGTACACGAACACCTGGTAAGTCGCAGTAACAGAGTAATTATACCGGAAGCCGGGTGCGGAGTATTAATTTTTAAAGGACAGCGCAGAACAGCATGGAACGGGTGTCAGGGAGCACACCGTGTTGTAACCCCGCAACCTTAATTAGGGTGTGTTAAACACTTAAACTGGCATGCGGATGGATTATCATGATTAATTCCAACAAAATGTGCGCCACTGATGACTTCCCATAAATTTTGGGAATTGTGATCAATTGGCCAATAAGAATTATCCAAGTAAACATAAAACGCGTGCCGAAGTTCTGTATTACGAAAATATAAAACTTATATTCGGTAACAGCTATGCCGCCGGTGTATTGACGTATTCTAGTGTTTGTTAGTGCTGGACAGAAAAAGACAGAAGAATACTGAAGCAGTTATTCTGAAGTTACCCTGACAGTGGTAAATATTTGGACGGGCTTTGACTTCAGTCAAAGCAAGTAACTGTGGAGGTTGCCCACGACAAGGTCGCTGCTTGTGATAATATCACCGAAGAGGAGGGTCAATTCCCATAAAACCAGTATTCCCTCCACGGGAGTTAGTTATTGTAGTAAACGGTTTCTTGCCAAAAGTTTTGCGCAGGCTACTGTGACAATCCTACCCCTCGAAACATAATTTTAGAGGCACATACAAAGCTGTGTAATTACGCAGACGATCTCAAACCAAAATCGATTTTAAAATCGAAGATGAGTTATTAATATACATTTAAAACTAGAAAGGAAAAAGATTGCAAGCATATGCAATGGATGCATATTTATAGTATATGGCTTTTATGATGGAAGTTTCATATAGATGAAGAACTTGTCAATCTTCCGCGGCAGGCAATCTACACTTTTTGTTTATCCTAATTTGCTGCATCTCAGCAATAAGATGCTACGAGCACAAATGGTGCAGATGGTCTATCCAGATTTTTCCAAAATTAGTATTCCAGTAGTTTCATTGCATTGCGCAAGAATTCTTTTGCCACGAAGAACACTTCATGTATCAGCTGCATTAAATAATTTTAAAGATCACCGAAAACCTAAACGTGCCAAATTATCAGCAAACGGTGCAAGCAGAGCGTCTCTAAGATTTTTGAAAACAAATGCGAACAATATCGGATCGAACAGCGACTGCAAGTTAAACAAGAACGAAGAGATACCATATAAAATCGGTTCGTCGACGGTTACAAAACTGGTCACCGAAAAGAATGTCACATTGGGCACCCAGCAGATTAAAATCGAAATAGTCAACAGCGTGGTTACAACAAACGCCCGGTAGCGATCATCCAGGCGTTTCATCCAGGCCCACAGTCTATTGACGGTGATGAGGGCGTGCGAGTTGATGGTCACCGCTCCGAGGATCAGCAGGGCGTAGATGTACGCGTCGCAGGCGGCGGAACTGACCTCCTTCTTCAGTACGGAAGACGGGTCTCCCGTACCGGTGTCCCCGGACCTCGAGCCATTCTCATTTCGCGATCTTGCTGCATACCGTGACATCGGAATGGAATTCCCGAACCTCACACGATTTCGCATTTTGTGCTTGAATAATAAATACGGATATGCGACGATAACGAAAACTATGGGTAAATCGTACACCACAAACTGCATCACCAGATTCCATTCAAACTGCGCTGCTACATTCAACAGACAGGGATTGTCGTGCAGCGGTGTCCGAAAGTACAGGGAGTCCCGAATCGCTCCCGGTAAACAGATAACGTGGACGTATATCCAAAGAACGGCAACGCTGGCAAAAGCCGCGTGCAGATTGTGATGATTCCGGTACGAGACAGGAAAGGTCATGGCCCACAGTCTATTGACGGTGATGAGGGCGTGCGAGTTGATGGTCACCGCTCCGAGGATCAGCAGGGCGTAGATGTACGCGTCGCAGGCGGCGGAACTGAGTGGCCAAGTTGGATAGAGGCCGCTGATAACATCCAGCGGATTGCAGATGATGGAGTAAGTTAGGTTGCTGAATAATAGGCTTCCCAGGTAAACGTTGAAAGGACTGTGAAGATGGCGGTTCGCAAGAAATGTATATAAGGCATATCCGTTTAGAATAATGGCTAACGGTGTGATAATTACAGTGCTGGCCGGTGCTAGGGACCATGAAGGCGAAGAAAACGAGGCATTTGTAGCACTGGAATTATTCGCCATTTTTTCTTATACGAGGAACTTTCGGTTTGTGACAGCAGTCTGTAGTAAGGCAAGCTGCGGAATAATTTTTGAACATCATTTCTGCTCTACTTTCTGTTCGACTGGAAGGCAAACGCCTTTATACCATGCTCGTACTGGGTTATGCAATAAAATTATGGCATCTCGAGAATCCATGCAATTCTTCGAAATTTGCGAATATAGACTTTATGGTGCTAAACAAAAGAATTACCTTGTTTCCCGGCATTGATATAAATGAAATGCCGACACGTTTATTGATTGATCAAATGCAAGCGATTATCGAGGCCAGCAAATCGTCAACAATTGGCGCTGACCTTTAGCTTTCATAAACACCTTTAAGCGACTTATCTCAGACTTATGCTGTGTTTTATACCAAGGTTTCTAACAATTTTATTCGTGGTTTGAAAGGTGAAAGGCTTTTCAAAATGCTCACGTGATATTTGGTATCTAAACGATATGCAGTATATCCATCAAATTACAATAATTTTTGGAATAAATTTTGGATCATCAGTTCGCTACAAATACACTCAGACTCCGTGTGCTTCCATAATTTTATTTATCCCAGTTAATTTAGCCGTCTGGTATTCGATAAAATTGCGCACAATTTACATAACATTCATAAAACTGATTTGTCTGATAATTATACAAAACAGCAATTAACTTAAACGGTCTGGTTTAGCATGCGCAGAGTTAGAGCATGATGCGCCATCTGTAACGCTTTAAGATCCTCCACCGTTTTTCTCGAATCTTTGGCTTGGTAGACAAAAATGATGTAGGTGATTGCCAGCCCAAAGAACTAAAAATTTATCAGGACAGTCAGACAAAGAGAACTGGTGACTTATAACAAGAAAATGTATGACAATTAAAAGGCACGGCGAGAACATGAAATTAGATTATTAGACGTACCGCTATGACGTAGTCGGTTGACAGTGCCATTAGACCGTAAACCGTTACAGCGCCGTCTCGTTTGGATGTGTCTCGCTTCAGTAAATTACTCTCGCTGAGCACTGCATCATCCGCATCAGTCAGGTGGACCATCCGTAGTTGCTTTCGGAAAGACTGAGCCTGTCAAGTTTTGTATGAGCGTGATATTTAACTGTACTTCCTAGTATCATTCTTATAAGCGTTTTACGGCCATTGCCGTGTCCTGTTGCCCATGCCTAATAACATTTTTTGTTGTTACCTTTGTTTACGCTTGTATTATGTTTTATGCATTTATGTATCTGCAACCTGTTAAAACGTTCACATTTTTCAAAACGTTTCAATGTTGCAAATCGCTTCCTGCTGAATCTGAGTTCAAAATCATATTCACAAATTTATTGTTATTTTTTAAGCAATTGATTGGCTTACTGCATTATGTAATTTGCAGAATCCGCCGATGCGGATAATCGTGTTGACGAATCCAATGTTACCGAAGAAATAAGTGAAATAGTCCATGCCGCGCATGTATGCCATAGAACGGGCATTGTATTCACTGGCCATCTCCACACTGGGTGTATACATCTCCAGATATGCTCCAAAGACAGCGGCAAAACTGAACATATCTTTTTATACAGCTCATCAGCAGTAGCGGCGCAAAAGTCTCACTAATTGATCCACCAGATTAACCAGCGTCAAATATTTACGAAAGTGTAGCCGAACGACCGGAACACCCTCTTGATTCAGCAGTGCTACATGCAAATCAGCAGCAACACGTCGGAAGGCCATAAGTAAATGCAACGTCAAGATGACGAGAAGCGTTAGCGATAAATATTCGCACGATGTTCCCAAGTAAATACCAAGACTATTGATCACGCTAATCAAAATTCCCGGTATCTTGCATAAGTCGAAGAAATACGGTACGTTCTTTTCCTGGTTCAAATAGCCGGATTCCTGCAGAGCGAGCGTTGTGAGCACGATCCCAAGCAAGCAGAAAATAACGGATGTGATCGTGCAAGCACATAATCCAAGAATTACTCTGCGTATAATTTTCCAGTCCTGTTCGAGGAGAACTGAAGGCAGAAATTTCTGACAATCTTTTACAAACTTAAATATTTTTTTCTGTACTAAAAACATAGCCGCAATAGTAAATGGGCCTTGACCTTTAATCAGTGAACGAAAATAATACGCGACACAAGTGAAATATTCCATGTCTGTGAGGAGCTGCCCGAATTTGACGAAGAAATCGTATTGATCCATGAAAAACAGCATCAAGAGAAAAAATAACACAGATAATGCCCAGGATAATTGAATACATTTGAAATGCATGCTGACATTTGTATCTGAGTCGGATGCCGCCAGTGAAGGCAGATGCAAACCACAAGAGTGCATCCATCTTATATAAAATCTGGGAACCATATCGTATTCGCCGAAGTTGAGTCTGGAACTAGTTAATTTCGCCATCGGTGTGTGGAATAAACGCACAGACTTTCTAACCAACATTTTTTCCGCGGCCATAGTAAAGTCTATAGAAGCGAGGGTTGTGTATGATCGAGCGTTGTGTCTTCTGCATTCCCATGGTGGAATGATTGGTGACAACTTTAGCATAGGCACTTATACAAGTACATATTACACTTATCCATCGTCATAGGACGGAAATCCATTTGCTTGGTTATTTGAAAACAAACAACGCCAACCTTTATTTGCTGTATACAGTATGCGGTTCCTCTGTAAACTATGAGAACACGCGGAGCCGCAACGGACAAACATCAGTAGGAGCTAGGAAGTATGCAAATTATAAGGTTGTCTTGGGACTAACAGAGCGTTTTTATAAAAATATTTATTATTCACAGGAACCGTACCGGATAGCCGTACCGTACCGTACCGTTTATAGCCGTACCGGATAGCAGAGAAAAGTCTTACTTCCTATGTTTAAGTGAGACCTGTTATGTGAGTCATCCTCTGCTAAACATGTACAAAGGGCCTACTCGTTTTATGCAGAGAAAAATTCAAAATCCGAGATAAAAAAATAGTACCTAGCAACGAGGTTAGGGTACTCGTATGCTTCATGGCTAAATAAAATTCTGACGGCCAAAACAGAAACCTTGAGTTTTGCAGACGATGTAAACCGTATAATAAAATCCCCTAAAGCGTACTTAAACTGTTGCGAGACTTCCGTTGAGTATTCGGTGTACAGCAGCTTGGCATGACTTCTGAGAGGATTTCAAGTCCTCAACAGATCTCTGCGAATCGCGGGCTTGGTAGACGAAAATGTAATATGTCATCGCCAACCCAAATGTCTATAATTTGGCAAAATTGTTTATTTATACTTGAGTTCATTCCGGCATGCAACAAAATTCAGCACTAACCGTTACGACGTATTCTTTCGACAGTTCCAGCATGCCGTAAACCGTAACCGCTCCATCCGATATTGTTGTGTTCTGTCCAAAAACGGTAATTTCACGCTTGAGATCATCATTCACCTCCGAAAGATGGATCATCCGTAACCGGTGTCGGAATGACTGCGCCTAAATGCAAAAAATACAACAATTTTAGTTAGAAGTCAGAAGTTTATAGTTTTCTAACATATTTCTCCAGGAGAATCAAATTTTACAGAATGTATCCACGTCCCACACATAGAAGCGAGTACATATTCGTACGATGTAAAACTAAAAAAGGTAACATTAACCGGCCGGCGCGCATTAAAAAATCATTAAGGAAATCAATAAAGGGTGTAAAACGGGAAATTCCCAACGCACATAAATTACCAGACTTGATTTCGAACAGGGAAGCGCTTGCTTACGCAGCGTGATTAACGCGAGGCATCTGCCTATATTATGCTACCGCTTATAGCTGAATAAAGCAATAATATGTTTAAGTTAAGCTTGCACGTATTGTAGCGTAAAGAACTTGGTTTCTTAGCGAAGACTTAATAAACCGCTTTTTCTCATAACAAAGGAGAGGCCTTTTCTTAAAAATTTTGTTATTTCGTTCCGTTAAAAAAAGATATAAAATTCTCAAGCGTACACTTACCGCAGTATGCATTTTGCAGAACACCGCGATTCGGATGATCATGTTGACGAAGCTGACTTGGGCGAAGAAGAATGTAAAAGCGTCCATGCCGCGCATATATGCCACGGAACGCTCGGTATGCTCAGCAGATAACTCCACACTAGTCGTGTACATTTGCAGGTAGGTTCCCACTTGTGCGGCATAGCTGATGAGATCCTTCACACAACTTATTAACAAAATCGGCGAAAATGTCTTGTTTAGGTAATCCACCAGATTCACCAGAATCAAATAATTTCGAAATTCTCCCAGAATCTGTGAAATATTCCCGGCATTTTGCACCACAGCATCAAAATTCAGCGATACCCTCTTGAATGCCACAAAAATATGAAGTGCTATTATTACTAACAGTGTTAACGTCAGGTACTCGCAGGATACGCCGAAATATATTCCAAGGCCATTGAATATCGCAATTAGCAGCGCCGGAAGTTTCAGTTGGTCGAAAAAATATGGAACGTTCTGGTTGCGTTCCAAATAACCGGTTTCTTGTAAAGCGATTGTTGTGAAAATAATTCCGGAGAGGCACAAAATAATAGATACCGTTGTGCATATACAAAGTACGATAAACGCTCGGCGCAGATACTGCCAGTCATATTCGTGCAGAACAGTGGGGAGAAATTGCTGGCAGCGCTGCAACAATTTCGAGACTTTTTTCCGCATAAGAAACATTACGCCAATGGTAAAGGGGCCTTGACCTTTAATCAAGGAACGAAAATCGTATGCCACACAAGTGAAATATTCCATATCTTGCAGCAGTTGCCCGAATTTCACAAAGAAATCATACTGATCGATGGCGAACAGGAGCAACAAAAGCAGCAAAATCACACACGACCAAGTGAAGTGTGCGCGATGAGAGTTTTTACGATCCAGTTTCCCAGAATTTATTGATGCTAACGAAGGTAAAAACAGACCAGAATATTGCATCCATTTGGTGTATAATTTTGGGATAATATGGTGTTCTGAAGAAGCTTTTACTTCACTGGCTAAAGCGTCCATTGCATCCATGGCATCCATCGCTGAATCCATGGAACGGGAATGATTGTAAAGCGTTTTTTTAAGAGAAGATTTATCGTGATCTTCATAAGAGAGTGTAGAGTTGCATAAGCTATTTATACCGGTTATCAAAACAAACATATAGTACCGATCTCTAGTATCGTTTTAGCGCTGGCTGCATTCGGTATCCTAAGTCGGCTAAATTAGCATGATGGTCCTCTGGAGCCCGCCGGGAATACAAAACCAACAACGCATTCCTTGTTTCCGATAGAAGCACTGGTGCAAAGATGGTAGCGGCACATACCGGAACAGCACTAGCAGAAAATAAATTTCATCTCTGGGAAACATGTACAGCACTCGAAAGCAACTGCAGTAAATTAAATTACTGAGGACATTTAAAACCAAAAATCCCATCAACAAGAAATTTTCACATGGAAAAATAATTCAGTGTCAACCCTATATTGGCTCCACAAATCTTCGTCTATTTAATACTATGATGATTTGTAATGAATGAATGACAAAAATGATTTGTAATTGAATCGGTGTAGTACTAATGTCATTATTATAAAAAAGCGCACAGGCCGTACCGAGAGTCGAACTCGGGTCGACGGATTCAAAGTCCGACGTGCTAACCACTACACCATACAGCCGCTTGTTGTGTCCAGTAGATTTGCATTATTTCCCGAAACAGGCATACTTAAACAGACATTTTATGTAAGTCAGCAAAATGCAAGACCCACACGCATGACACTTCACTCGCATTTTCACACCGGAGAATTACATAATAAATAATACTATGAAAGTTTCTGAGTAACTCATAACGCGGATCAGGCCGGCTACTTGAGAAAACCACTTACGCTACTCACATATCGGTTCATTTCCCAATCATTCTGCCAATTTAATATTGTACAGCCTGTGAGGAATACTAGCGGACATTTGCGTAGACATACTTACAGTGGACTGCGAAAAGGTGTTACAACGCGCGTAACCAAGCATTTTTCTGTACTCAGACAGGCAAATTCGTGATTGGCCGTCGGCCTGCTGGTATTAACACTTGCACCTTGCGCATTTTTCACCGAAAACCATCGACCGATATCTCAAACGAAAGAGAAAATTTCAAGAATTTTATACCAAACAAGTGATTTTTTATGAGATCTAAGAGAAAATCGACGCATTTATGTAAAGTTTCTCGTAGACATAGCATAGGATTGAATCCACGGTTTGGATTCAGTTTTCACACGGAAATCGTATGCTTTGTCTACGGCAAACTAAAATGGCTCGAATTTTCTGGTAAATCTCCTGAAGGGTGACGTATTTGGTATCGAAATTTTGAAATTGTTTTCTTTCGTTTGAGATATCGGTTGATGGTTTTCGTTGGGAATGCGTAAGGTGCAAGTGTTCGAATTCTTGCACGTTTCCTGTTTGTTGGTCATTTGGTCTTGGCCATTTATTTGGATTGGTCATTCGGTCGCGGACCGAAAGTAACAGGTTTTCGCAGTCCACTGTAACTATGCTACTACTGGTTAGTCACCAGCAGTTCGACTGGTTAACGCCTCCCGGTCAGCATTGGTGCCCTCAGGTCCACAGGGAGTGGGCTGGTCGCAGTCGATCGATGTGAACATATCACCGCGAACTTACAGTTTATAAAGCGAATCTTGCGCGGCAGAGTCCCATACTTCATCCCGGTCAGCCGCCTTGAGCCGCCTGCCGCATTGTTCGGATGCCAGCCTCTGAACCAGAGTCAGACATACGCACAAATGCAATGCAGTGGAGCAGATAACTGGGAGTGAACGCAGGTTGTGCAAACTTATTTGCCGAATAACGGATGTTACAATAACGTCAGACGAGTATTATTTGTTCGGTTTATGTGTCAGACACTAACAGGTGCAGACGACAATTGTAAGATAATTGTAACGATAGCTTCCGCTACATGCATCTAATATAATTATAACAAATTGCTCAGTTTATGGCCATATGAAGCAACCGTTGTGACAAAACGTCACAATATTACTGGTGCTTTTTCGATACGCATAAAGAAATTTCTCCATTCTGTGATTTTGCATGTATCCGCCAAGTTGATTCTCAATGATAACTTCTACCCCATTTTTATTGGTCAAATTATACTTAATGACCAAATAAGGAACGAAAACTGTAGCAAGAAAAATATTGCGGTATGGCGTCTTCACACAACTTTCTTAATTTTTTCAAAACATCTGTCACTATGCCACATTTCTTCGCTTATCTGTTTTATTTTTTGAGATCTTTTGCTCTGAAGGAAACTTTTTATACCCACCCGAGTCGGGTGTTTCTAAAAGGTGGTCACCACGGTCGTGGTCGTGGTGGGTTGTGGTCGTGGTCGTCAGTGGTCGAGTGTTTAGTAATGTGGTTGTGGTCGACAGTGGTCGAACGTCACCGATTCACTGTTCAGTATTTAATTATCGCACGGGCGATTCATGGGCTACTAACAGACCAATTCATAAAAATTGATAGTTCTGCTTTTCAGTTTATAATGTTGACAGGCTGCAACGTATCCGTGAGCGTTCCAAAAGATCGGTTACTCAAATGCGCTGATGGACGGTATTTTTATTGTGCGCAGGGTTTTTTATTGTTATTTTTCATTTTATTTTTATTGTTTTTATTTTTTTATAGTACGAGTACATGTCAGTTATGTCAAGGAAACTTTTTCTGCACTAAATTTACATGATTACTATAAATAAAAATAATAATGCTTACCCATTGTAAAAATGCCAATACGTAGAGATAAATCTTCTTTATAAATTAATACGCATCGAGCAGTCTGTATTTGTGTAGACACATTTTTAGAGTCACGGTTTGATAGTTTATATAAGGAGAAAATAGTCAAAACTGGGTTATTGTTAGGTAATAACATCATGACAACAGCAGTCCTAATACAAAAATGTTTTTTTGAAAAAAAAAATTTTATTTTTGTAATAAAAGTTTCAAAGCAGGATACTAATGTTAGTTTACAAATGTTAGTCGCGCTAGAATTGGGACATCTGCGTAAAATAAATTTAAGAATATTTTTGTCTCCTTCTCCCTTTTTGAAATTTGAAGTACAAAGGGCGTTACTGTTTTATCTCAAAAGTACCAAGAATAAAAAGAAATTGAAAATTCTAAAAACAATAAGAAAACTATAAATTTCATTCTAATTTTGTGACGGTTGTCTATGCATTGCTAGTGCAGTAATTAAATACTGAACAGTGAATTGGTAACGTTCGACCATCGTCGACCACAACCACATTATCCCACACTCGACCACTGACGACCACGATCACAACCCACCACGACAACGCCCACAGCGACCACGACCACGACCGTGGTGACCACCTTTTAGAAACACCCAACTGAGGCCCTAACGGAGCAGCATTGCTGCTACAGTTTATCAGCGACTGTGAAAACAACGATACACATTACCGTCTCATCACTAGTACTGTAATAACAAAAAATAATAAAGGAACGTAAATCAGTTTCAAAGTTGCTGAAGTTTTCAAGAAAGGGACGGCGCCGGTAACGGCAAAAATTCAATGTTTGCCCATACTTGCGAAATCTGATTTTTATGTAGCTCACTGGTCAGTTTAAATTTTAACCCAAAGAGCAAACCCAATTCTTGCAAAAGCGCCAGCGTGCGGGAGTCTCCAACCACACAGGTAAATGGCCTGGGTCAAAATTGGAACGACACAGAGGGACCATACTGAGTAGTATTTCAGTCCTTGTCGAACGTGCACTCGTTCAAGACCGTCCTGTGTAGGGCCCCTGTACGTAAATAAAGAACTACCGGATGCCTCAAACAGGTGACGATTGAAATTCAGTTGTCACTTTGCTTGTTATACCAAACAGATATGCGCAGTACAATTTAACGACCACATAGGGAAAATCAGCCAATTTTATCACCATTTCGAAGCATATTAGAAGGCCAAACGCAGCAGAGCAGTGAGAGCACACAAAAAAAGGTAGAAGACAGTATCTGAAGGTACATTTTAATACAGTGCTACCAGTGCTACCAGTACAACCGATGGTCATACCTACCTCCTAAACATTTTGTAACAGAAATGCCACCATAACCAGCGAAGCCTTTATCAGGCCGTTTATTGCTAGACTGAATCGAAAAAAATTTCTTTAGGTCCTGTGTACATGTAACTGGTGTAAACATTCGTTTAATGATACCACTACCAGAAAATTTCGAGATACTTTTACGGTATAACGATTTTTTGTACGTACTGTAAATGTATGTTTCTGGAAACCGTTGCCGAACACTTGAAGAACTATTCCCATAAAAATTTTGCAAAAGACTGCCACCTGTTTAAGCAATGCGATATTTCTCGCAATCTTAGTCATCTCGAGTGGTGGACGTGCGGTACGATGTGCCGACCAGCAGAATAAATACTCAAAACGAGATTGCACTCCTGTAGTTCTGTTGTAGCTGGAACCAGGGCCATTTTTCCGCATTTTTTAAGTGGCTCGAATGACGTGCGCTCTTGGGATTGAACGAATGTCAGCGAAACTTTTCCGGCTTCAACTTAATCTATGGAGCGCAATACACTTTCATTACTGGAACTAATGTAACTCGTTTAAACTTTAAACAAACAGGATAACGCCGCTTCCTAATAGCCTGCATATTTCGAGTGTTAATTTTGCCTGTCGGCAGATCGTACCGCACATCAACCACTCGTATTTCGAGAAAAACTGCATTACGTGAATTGGAGGCAAAACTTTTACGGGAATTATTTTCAAGTTTTCGACGAGCGTTTTTATGAAAATGCAGTGATATGCAAAAATTTTGGTATATAACGATGGCAAACAAAATTATGGTAATCACGTTTGTAAAACTTTCGAAGACACTTCAGTGTCATATTCTCTTTTACATCATCTGAAAATGAACTTTTTGGTGGTCGCTGCCGTTTTTCTCATGGCACTTTTGATGGCTCCATACAATCTTTGAGGTAATGTGACCTTTTATTTAAGGCAATATTTTAACACGCTTTCTATGTCACGTGTATTTTGCGCTCTGTTGTGTTTTTATAATTCTGTGTATTTTGCTATTTTTTATTCAACTACATACAGTACAAATTAGTGGTTTATTTTGTCGGCTTTGCTTGTGTTCTTGTACTCTATACATCTGTTTTTGCCAACAACTGAAATTCAGAATCCTTTGTCTGCACCTGGCTTCTGAAAACTGTTAGTTCCAGGCGCCGCACCAAAAGTAGTTTGCAATAACAAGAAAACATGCGATTCCGACAATGACTGCAATAGTGGTTCCGTCTACTGCCGCTGCTACAAGGGTCCACGCCCTTTTACCATGTCGTGGGAACCGACTCGGCCAGAAAAGAGAGGAACATGTAGTCTCACTATCAGCGGGTTAAACTGAAGGAGCAGCTACAGGACAAAAAGATGGTCGTAATTAGAGAAGCATTCTATAAGCAATCAATCACTATATAATTATTTTTCACTTTCTCTTGCGTCGTAATCACTTTCAACCAGGCTTCAGCGATCATAGCGGCGATTGTGCCTGTGAGATAATGGATTCCCGTTTTACTGCATATACCATTATCTGCTCTTCATTTAACAAAATAATACAACAAAATCATAAACCGTTGCCTAATAATTGACATTGTAATAACACGGTTTTTTAATAAATAGATCAGTTCTGTACTTTTGTAGTAAGCTTTCAGTTCTGGGGATAATTCCAGAAACTTCGCAAATGAATCAGAATACATAATAAAAATGCACTGCACGTAGGGAATAAACACAATGTACATTCAGTTCGGCCGCGTTACTATTCGGCCCCACAGAATCGCATCGGCCAACATTCGATTCGGCCAACGCTCATCTCGGCAACTGGACATTTCGGCCATTGCAGGCTTCCTTAGTTTATTAGGTTTTAGTTCTCCTTGTTTACCAGATGTTTATGTGCATTAACTTAGTAATAAGCATGAATGTACAATGTGATAAATAAGCAACCTGCCTATAGAACAAAACATAACAAAACTTACACGAGTGTGAGCGATGCTTCCGGTTTCTGTTCCCGTGACTTACACTCTCACACAATGTACAGAACAGTAATTTCTAACATACGTATCAGGAAGTACCGATCACTTCGTGAGGCGAAACTCAGTTGTACGATATTATGGTTCGTTAACTAAGAAAGAACTCGTTTCCAATAATCCATTGAGCATACGTTGAAGATACATCCAAATACACCCGAAAAAGCGCCGAGCAGCAGTAAATTTGTATAATGGGTGAGAAGGATTACAGTATGTACCAGGTAGACGCTTGCAAATGCAGGATGGTTAAGCAGATGAACTGCCTTTCAACTTTTCGGAGTATTTGCGTCCGAACAGTTTTGTCGAATTTAATGTTTCCCCAAACCAGACACATTTAAGTGAAACCCGGCCGCAACTTTCTTGATGGTAATACGTTGTGAGAATAAAGCCGACTATGCCAAACGCACGTTGCACCATTCAGGCTTTAACACAGAAATTAAAATTCTGGATCACATTTTGTCCATTACAGCAAAGCGTCTTTGGCCTCTCACAGCAAAGCGTCTTTGCGGTTAAACAAGACAATAAGGTACGCTTCTAATCTTTTTTATTTTCCTCTCTTGGTAGGGAATTAGCAACGGTGGTTGCAGTTTCAAAAAGATAATAGAAATATCTGAAAATCAGCATTTTCGCGTATGACTTTTATTAGCCAGCGATACAATTTGGGCGATGGCGGTTCCGGCCTTCTTGGGTTAAGCGATCTGGCGTCCGCACTGGGCTATGGTTCACCTCCAGCGGGCTCCCTTACCTGCTTACGAGGTTGTAGGTCACCATTTTGAACAGACCTGCTTCGCATACCGCCGCGTCTGGTTCGCCGTTGTTTTTCTGGGTCTTTCACGGTTGTCTGCTTTCTCCGGCTGCCTAATCGGGGTTCCACCAGTTGTTTGGGGATGCTGTTTCCATCACGGTGTACGTCCACACACAACATATGGCCACACTGAAAGCTGGCGACAGACATTGTTGCCGGAGAACTGCACGGGTTGATTTGGTTTCGGCAAATCAGTTGCCCTCTTCCACGCCGATCCCTTCACTTGGTTGAATACTCGAGGAATGCGAATGGAGAATCGTATTGCTCTGCTACCATCTAGGGCAGCAGTAGTGCAGTGGCTGGTACCGCAAAGAAAACAGGACCAACACCCGTACACCACACACGATACTGGAACTGAGCTCCGGCACACGTACAACTAATCACTATCAAAAAACGCTACGGCGCTAAAAATTATGCAGCTCACTGCAGCATGGTCTGTAGTCTGTACATAAGTTGCAATCAGTGTAGAATTTTGGGAAAACATGCTGTTCACGGGAAGTAATGGCTGTTGATCGCACAGGCTGTATGACAGTTAAACTAGGCTTAAAGCCCATCATGAGTATTAAGTGAAATATGAATGGTTCATTGACTTCTTAGTTGCAAATTTTACTGCGATATATTTGTGAGAGAATGCGGTTTCGTGTGAGGTTAATATCGATTACCGAAGAACACACTCCGAGGTACCGTACAAGCAGTATTATTAGTATTTCTGCTTTGACGAAGTTTGGTCTTTAATGCTGATTAAATTTGAATATCTGTTCGTTATGCGGAGCAAGTCATGCCCGGCGGGAACTCAGAGCAAACATGGCATTACTTGTTACCAGTGTCCTTGTACCTGCGTCAGGCTGTCTAAAGCGGGTGCAGGGCTAACAGAAGATAAAAAAATATATATTTTTGCCTATCCATGTTTGTAAAGAATAACCAACGGATATCTGCGTCGACATAGCTACTCTAACTAATTATTCACCGTTCACCAGCAGTTCGGTTCATTGATGGAATAGGCTGTCTGGTTAGTGTCTACACCATCGGGTCCATAAGGAATGGGCTGGGCGCAATCTATCGGGACAAACATGTCAGCGGGAACGTACAGTTCGTTGAACGAATGTTGCGCGGCAAACCAAACTTCTCCCTGATCGGCTGACGTCAGCAGTGCCGAGTTTTGTCGGCGCCAATCTCTGAACCAGGCAAAACCACAACTACAGTGCAACTGGAAGAGATAATTTCGCAGTCTTTGGAAAAGTCCACGTGTGACCCTCTATTTCCGGTCCGCTCCGCATGTTGCTCTCTAATAACAACAGACGCAATGATGGAAGACCAGAGAAAGCATTGTTTTCTAGACTGCGTATCGTCGAATTGTACAGGCGAAATTCCCGTAGTCGAATTGAATAGTAAAAATCGGCTTTTCTGATTTCCAGTTCGGAGCAATATGACAGCTGGTACGCCAGCAAGCCGGTCAGTTTAAGTTGGTTCATAAAAGCCGTTGTGCGATGTTGACTACACACCAGTGACTCGTAATAGACGATGTACGAGCGTGCGTAACCCAAATCGGTCGAAATAGCAGTGATGTTGTCCAGCCAGAACAGGCTAAGAGGACGCGGAGGGAGTCGCGCAAGAGCCGCCGATTGACTGCGCAACTCAGATAGACAGTACGATGGGTTCAAACGCTTGCCGGTGAGGTTAGCTTCGGGACACTCGCGTTGTGTAGGCGTGATCAAGGGCGAGCACCGCCAGTCCTGCTGCTGATAATCACATTCAGCCGCGGTCGCTGGTTCCATGGAGAACACCGGAAATGGCGTATTCTCCATTTCGTTCGGGCATCCGTTTTCTGCGTCTACAAGACCAAATCTGCCCAGCGGAATATTTGGTGAGAAGCTAAATTTGAACAGGTTAACATTAACACAAAAACGTTAACATTATCGAAAATTTTCAAATTGATTAATGGGCACCGCGACATTTCGCCGCCGACAACTCGTCGAAGGACTTTTGGTCGCAGACATTTTGCCGCAAGGTCATTTCGCCTTGCGACGCTTCGTCGCCGGACATTTAACCGGCAGGACATTACGCCGCGAGACATTTCGTCGTCCGGCCGTTTCGACGCCGAGACATTTCGCCGCAGGGTTGTTTTGACGAAAAGTCCAATTCAGCAGGAAAAAATTTAAAATACGAAGGCTAAGAACCATAAGAAAGCCCTAAGAATAACCTAAGAAACCTAAGAATGACCTAAAAACCTTAAGAACAACCTAAGAAACCTAAGAAAAACCTAAGAAATCTAAGAATAACCTAAGAATGACATAAGAAACCTAAGAATAACCTAAGAATGACATAAGAAGCCTAAGAATAACCTAAGAGACCTAAGAATAACCTACGAATAACCTAAGAACAGCCTAGGAACGAATAATAAGCCCAAAAGACCAAAAAAATCTCCCGAAAAACCAAAACAACTTGCGCAAATTAAGCGTGTCGAATGGTTTTGCGGCGAAGTGTCCGCGACCAGACGTCTTGCGTCAAAATGTCGCAAGGTCGAAATGTCTCAGTGCTAGTTGTCCCTAACCGAAATGTCCCAGCGTCAAAATGTCCCGCGGCGAAATTTCTTTGCGGCGAAAAGTCGTGCGTCGAATTTAATTGCGGCGAAATGTCACACTCCCAAATGTCCGGGTGCGGATTAATGCCGTGGTCGCTAACAACGTAGTTCCCAAGAGCAGAAAAATTGCTTACCAGATTTCTCGTTGATGGAAAAAGCGTCTTGTGCGAAATCAATGAATTCCGAACCCTCTGGAAACGGATTAGCCGCACAATCAATTGGCAGATACATATCTCTTTTTGTGACGTTATCGTTGTGCCATGAGTTAGTCGGAATATGGAATATTTGACTTCGGTCAACACTGCGCAAAAGCTGATTTTTGCTCCACCACTGCCGGAACCACTCGTATTCGCATCCACAATGCAGCTTTTGTAGATAATTTCTTATATCTTTGCTAAACACTTCCATTTCACTGAAGCCCTTTTCTAAGGAGATGAGTCGTAAGGCTGGTAAGTCAGTGAAAGTGTTCTCTTCCAATGAGCGCAGGGTCGTATTCGCGAAGAGGATCATGCGGAGTTTGATGGACGACCAAAAATCTGTTTTCTTTACAACCATAGCGCGGCAGTTGTGCAGTTCGAAATTCAGCAGGTTCGGGAAGCCTAGCGTGACCAGCTTGCCCGTCGTGCGAGTCGATGCGCAAAAGTACAGGTTCAAGATGATCGTTTGCTGACGGACGGGCGACAGGTTGTCCAAGGTCACTAGTGGGCCATCGGTCAAGTTCACGAAAACCGCCCGTAGCGGTGGCTGCGATAACGACGCAGCCAATTGGCGCATTTCTTGGGCATTGACTTGGTTATTGCAGTTCAGGTGCAGACCATGGTTGAAACTGCAGTTAACCGGGGTTACTTGATCGGATATTACGGTGGAGTTTATAGAGAAATGGTTCGCCCAGAATTCATCTACGCGGAATAAAGAAACAAATAAGACTGCGAAAAGGCCGTAAATCAAATTTCAGAGGAGTGTCGGTTTTTGGCTAACCGTTAATGGAGTATAGGAACGAATAGCTATTCAACGAAAAAGGACGGCAATTTTCAGTGAACTGCAGAGTACACTGATCGCGCGTCATTGGCTCCGCGGAGAAACGTGGAAACGGAGTTGCGGTGGCGGTATAGCGCTGATCGTTCAATGAACCTGCTAGCAAATGTTATCATAGCAATATTTTCCAATTTGATCTGCTTATTTTACTGTGGAGTAATAGGTGCCGCCACATTTATAATATTACCTATTACGCTCAGAAAGACAGAAACAGTATTATGCACAGGTTACGGAGATGCAACCATACAGTACAGCGAATTCGAACGTTGTGGCATTTTTGCCCTACATTCCACCATCAAAAAAATCATTCTACCATCTGTGATTCAACAAACACATTTACCGAAATCCCGCAACTATTATATAAATAAGTTAAAAGAAATTTGACTTACTCTGCTTGGTCATCACAATCGGTTTCCAGAGAAACATACAGGAGACGCAAATCCACAGCCAAGAAGTGCCCATTTGAAAAATTTGGTTTCTATTACCTAGTAACAGCAATTTGCAGTGTTAAGGAATCAGAAAACTTTTGAGCCCCGATGTTGCAAACTTGCAACCCGATTAAGAAATTAATGCAGCTCGATTAATCGAATAATGTGCAGAATTGATCATTCTGTTGATAAATGCGTCGATTGTTCAGCATACCTTCTGTGTCCGCATACCTTTTATCCGAAGAAGGGATACCGGTTTGATTGCCTTTTCAATAAATCACTGATGTTTGACTGACGAAATAAGAAAGAGTTAGTCTGACTAATGTTAACTAAATCCGAAGAGCGGAGGCCTGTTCGGCGGGGTGCCGTTTAACTGTGCTGATTTATTGTTTTGGCATTCTCTGTATTATATCCGGATCGGAACAGTACTGCGCTGTCTTGCGGCGATGCAAATGCTGTCGCGGTTTGTGAGTTTTGTTGAAGCACTTGATATTACAGTTATTTCTGTTATACTGCTAAATACATAATACGCCGAGTTATATCTGACTGCATGTTCATTACTAATTCAATATAAGTACGCCTCCTGCCCAGTTACTGTACTATCGTTTTGTAAACATGCAATTATTTTTTCAAGTGGCATACTACATAATCCGAACATTACTTACTCATTCACTTACCCAGTTACCCATAGCAGGAGTGCTTGTACGAGTACATCACTCAAACGACCGTACGTAGTACGTCATACGTATTGCGCATGGAACGGGACAACAATACATTATGCACTAAACCTTATTTTCCAATCGCGATTATTTTAATAAATACTTTTAATGTCACAAATAACCTTCAGTGCCTGAAAATGAATGATGCACTGGGAATGTTTGTGTACCTACAGTATTGAACTGCTATAGATGCTATAGATATGACAGCAAATCGCTTCAGAATTCGAAGCGTAACTGGCTAGCAGTCGACGGAAAATAAACCCAAAAGCAAGACATTAATATTCGAAGTTTTTGTACCCCCGTGGACAAGATTGTTGCAAACTGCTAAAATTAAAAAAAACACCCCCCATAATTTTGACGTGGTATTTTTTCTACTGCGGTGGTCACATTTGTTTCATGTTTAGCAGAACGAAATGAATATTGATAGGAATATTGCTATAAAATGAAATCAAAAATTCCACCCGCTGCTTTTTTAAAATCAGCTATTGCTTATTAACTCGCAGCGATATTCAGTCCATTCAGTGCGACATTCAGAAAAGCAAAAAAATAGGTCGTACCGAGAGTCGAACTCGGGTCGACGGATTCAGAGTCCGACGTGCTAACCACTACACCATACAACCGTTGTTAACAGGATATTTCTGTTTATCGTAGAAGCATACAAGTTTTGTAAGCTGATAATAAAATCAGCCTGCCGCTTGCAGATAAGCTACACAATACGTCAGGTTACGTAACTTTGAAGTGGCTGACTGACATACAGTCCATTTCACTAAATTTTGGTGCAAACTTACTATACAAGTGAACGTGGTTACATGCGCACTGTGCTTGCTGTGCTACCGCTGCACAGTGCACACTGATTTTTAATCTGACAGTTATATTGTGTGACTGAATGCACAAGCCAAAGCGTTCTCATTTTCCGTTGTCTGTAAGACTGAGTATAAAGTCACTATAAAGGTACTGTAAACCACACCCCTTGTTTTCACCTCTGAACCAAAAAATTGTATGGCTATTTTACCACAGTATTTTGCAGTGTGGCAAAATATTATTACGCTTATGCTTCTGCTAGAGGTGGCAAACCGTATAAAATTTTCGTACGGTTACGTACGGTCCCGTCATAACGGTTTACGACTACGGTACCATTACGGCAGTCATTTTCTATGGCTCTACGGTTACGGTAGTGCTAATTTCTAACCCATTACGGCAAAGTACGGTAAACTACGGCACATTCATTTTTAATTCCATTTCACAAATAGCAGATCATCCACGGTATCAGAATCAAGATTTGTACGTCGACTATTCACAACGTGACCACTTTGGCTAAAAAGCCTCTCTGCTGCAGTGCTACTTGTTGGAACTGTTAAAGTAGAGCGGCAACTGGAAACGTAATGCAGCAAATAGAAACCAGGATACGCTGTAAACTGTAGTCACTGCAGGGTGTGACCGACACTGCGAACACTGCTTAGTTTTGTAACTGCTTACTTCAGGCGGCCATTATTGAAACAGAATTCCGCAGTGCATGTTAACACAGTAACCGCGAATAAGACAATTTCGTGAAAATTTATTTTTTATTGCGATTACCGTAATTGTCCGTAACAAATATCATTCCGGTTACGGTTTTGCCGTACCTTCATTGCTTACGGTTACGTACGGCAACTTTTTTACCGTAATCATTCTTTATACGGATCCTTACGGTTGGACCGTACCGTATACCGTATACGGTGGTACCGGGTACGGTTTGACACCTCTAGCTTCTGCTACATCATTTTGCCACAAAGACAGGGGTAAAATAAAATAGTCACTTCGCAATGGACTGTACGGACTGGACTGTACAGTATGCTGTGTGACTGCAGAGTTGTCGCTAGCAAAGCCGTTCAATAATCCAGTAAGCTGCTTGTAAGACGCTTTTTCCCCTTTTAACAGCAGTTATACCAATAAAGTAACTTAGATAAGCGGCCAGGATTAGAAAAATATTTAGCAGGAAGCGAAACCAACGCAGTTTACGCAGGAATTTTAGCTGGATGAATCTTTGATAAAAAATTAATTAGCGAACCGCTAATACGCCGTCTGGTTAGCATTAACACCATCGGATCCATGCGGAGTCGGCTAGACGCATCGATAGGAACAAACACATCGACCGGGTGGCACAAATCGCTAACATATTATAGGGTATGATGAACCAAACTTCTATCTCCTTCGGGTGGCTCATTAATGCCGTGTTGTTTTCGCGCCAACGCCGAACGCTGTCAAACTCACAGCCACAGTGCAGGAACAGACAATTACGGACGCGCTGATCATACACGTTATCGATAGCGTTCATGGAAATTGTGCAGTTATCTGAAGTTTAATGTTTACAGACTTTCAACGATGCCGGCAGCCATTTCCGTTTGCGCGTCTGAATGGATTCCAAGAGCTGTTAAAGTGCGATTTCACTCACCCTGGCAATTATTTTCTGACGAACGCTTGGTAAAATTGCTTAATATACGTTGATGCCGATTAATAGGTTCTTTCTGGTAGAATTCAATGGGGGCGGAGGCGAAAACAATCCCGGGAGGTGTGTTAATCATTTCATTTGCTAGCATGTGAATGAAGAAATTTGGACGAAAATCAAATATGCTTGTGCAGGATGAGGTAGCCGCTAATGCCAATAACTTCAGAAGACTTCTACCATTAGGCTTTTTATTAAGTGGCAAAAGGCATGCATGCATTAAACAAAACTCGAAAATAACGGAAATGACGCTGAAATGCGACCTTTTTAACTCATGCATTAATATTAGCAGATCGGTTCATTTAGCGAATACACTTTCTGGTTAGCATCAACACCACCCGCTCCATACGGAATAGGCTGCGCGCAGTCAATGGGCACAAACGCATCCGTCGGGAAGAATATTTCGTTGTAAACAAAGTGCCCGACAAACCACACTTCACCCTGATCCACATCGCTTACCAATGCCGTGTTATTCTCTCGCCAGCGCCGAAACCAGGCAAACTCACAGCTACAATGAAGCCGGAACAGGTAGTCACGGATGCGTTGATCGTACACTGCCATGTCCAGGTGTGACCGTGCACTTCGGGTCCAGTACGAAAATAGTCCTCCACTGACAGCATTGCGAGTGAGGGAAGATCCGCAAAAGCATCGACTTCCAAAGTGCGGATGGTGCAGTTGGATAACCTGAATTCCCGTAGCTTGCGCGAATTGTGGAAATCAATCTTTTTGATATCTAAATTAGTGCAGTCGATAAGCCCAAACCCTAGGACATTGACCAGCCTGAGCCGATTTAGTAGATTTGTGGCGCGAGTCAGGTGGCACCACGATATGTCAAAAGTAAGAATGTATGGTCGCACTTGTCCCAGATCGGCGCTTTCGATGGTCAGGTTATCCATCCAGGTCATGGCCAGAGCGCGGGGAGGCAGTTGCGCCAGTATTCCAGATAATCGGTGTAGATCGCGCAAACAGTACGGTGGGTCCAAGAAATTGCCGGTTCTTTCCGGGTGAGGACAGTAGACATAATCGGGCATTATTCTGAGGGATGGACATTGCAAATCCAGCTGCACGAAGTCGCACTCTGCCTGCGTCAGTGGTTCCGTGCAGAACACCGGGGACGTGTCCTCGGCCACTTCATCTCGGCGACAGTTCGAAGAAACCCGCTCATCTATCAGTAAACAAAAGATCCGCCATGTAACTGCAAGATTTAATTAGTGACCGATCCATATCTTAATTTCCTGTACACCAAATGCAACTTCCTCGCGCTTGCAAATAATTTTTTCGTTGCTTTTTGCGCTTTTTAGTAATTAGAAGTTTTCTTTACATCAACTCAAAATTTTATTTGCACGCGCAAATTGCTGTTGTTAAGATTTGGCAACATAAAATGGGCCACGTTTAACTGCGCGTAACGTTAGATGTGTTTCGATGTTCTACCCTATAGAAACTTTGCTGTAAGCAAATAGCTATGAAAACCTTTCTTCAAACCAATTTAATTACAATTTTTCCACAGTTCATAGCAAATTCACAATGTAAAACAACCTTGTAAGAATTAGAAAATACTACAGCAAGACCTTTATTTTGGTTCTGGTTTGCCTGGATACCTGCCTGCCCACATACTCTGTACATTACGTGGCTGTCGCAGTGGCAATTTGTTATCAAGGTATATTTCTCATGAAATGTGCTTTCATCGAAAGCGGGATAACGTAAGTCAGCCCCGCCTTTGATTCTGCCCAAAAGCAGAAAGTCCGGCCAGCTAATAATTGAGGACGAGGCGGGAAGTGCACAAACACACAAATTTATGCATTTCTACAAGTACATACACAGGTTTCAATTACTAGTATTCCAAAGGCCTTAAGAAATTATGTTTTCGCATATGGGTAACAAGTTCAGCTTACACGAAGTTTTGTTGATGGGGAAGGCATTTTGTTCGAAATCAATGGAGCCGGAACCGTTTGGAAAGGGAGAGACTGCACAATCAATCGGCAGAAATACCTTGTCAGCTGTCAACTGCTCATTGTGCCATGAATTACCAGGAATGTTGAAGATTTCTTTCTTATTGGCACTGCGCAGTAAATTACTTCCGCTCCACCACTGCCTGTACCACTCGTATTCACTTCCGCAGTGTAATTTTCGCAGATAATCAATAATGTCTTTACTGAACACTTCCGTTTCGCTGAATCCGTTTTCCAGGGAGATCAGACGCAATGCCGGTAAATCTCTAAAAGTGTCTTTTTCCAGTGTACGTAGTGTGGTGTTAGCAAAAATGATCATCCGCAGTTTGATTGACAATTGAAGCTCGCTTTGTACATATTGAGAAATAAAGTCCATTCATTCATTGACAATCCGAAATCTGCTTTTTGAACAACCGTATCGTAGCAGTTGTGTAGTTCAAAGCTCAGCAGATTCGAGAAGCCCAAGGTGGGCAATTTACCGGTGGTGCGAGCCGAAGTGCAGTTGTACAGGTTCAGTATGATGGTTTGTGCGCGAACCGGCGACAAGTTGTCGAAGGTCACCAATGGACCGTCGGTTAAGTTAACCAAGACCGCCCGCATCGGCGGCTGTGATAGAGACTCGGCCAGTTGTCGGATTTCGTGGGAAGTGACTCCGTCGTTGCAGTGCAGTTGCACACCGTTGGTAAAGGTACAATTCACTTGTCTGAAGATCTCTTGCTCGGGATTGTCCTCGTAGTTATCTGTGCGGATAAAATCAAACAAAAATGAGTACACAATTTGATTAAGTGACAAGGCATGTTGACCATTTTGTACTTAACAGATCGGATAAGCCACGATATTGACGAATCCTTTCACGTAAATCGGACGACAATTTTTTGTGTACTGCACTGCACACTGATCGCGCGTTATCGGCTCCGCGGAAAAATGGGGAACAGGAATCGGCGCTGGAGGAGAATAAGGAAACTTTATTAATAAAAATACAACCATGCTCCTGTACAATATACAGCGGTTATCCAAAAAAAAATCGTTCGTATAGTGTTATGAAAACTTTCGTTACGGTTGTTGTAACGAGTACACGAGCCGGTCGTCTTACTTACTTGTTACGTTGGCGATGGTTGCTTTCCATGAGACAAAACAGAGCACACTAAACAGCGGGATCCATGCGTTCTCCATTGCTGTATTTTTTAGCCACAATAAACAGTTGAAATTAAGGATTCAATACTACCAGGCTGCTCGCGCAGTGGCCAGCCAAAAGAATTTGACGCTTGTAAACGTTATCGATAGTATACATCGAAATTCTGCAACTAGTCGCATGTTTGCAAAGTGTTAATGATGCCTTTTGGCGGTTACTTCCGTCTCCGCGACTTATGCTTTTCCCGGAGCTGATAAACTGCAATTTCACCCACCCTGGCGATTATGTGCTAACGCAGAATTAATTAGTATATTATTAGCCGATCGTGCTGCTTATGCCGTTCGTGGTAGTTTGGCTGATTTTTTTTCTGGTAAAAAGCGTTGGACGCGAATGCGGTAACAGTCTCTGAAACCTGAAGGTGTTTGAGTCATTTCATGAACAAATATCAGGATGTTGAGGTACATGACACGGCCATTTCCATTCTACTGTTACTGCGGGCAGCGATATCGTGTATAATTGCTTACTACAAAGTACTTCCTTCAACTGACGTATTTATACACACTGTGCATCCCAGCACCGAGCCCATCCCGTTGCCACAGTCCAACCTGAAGCAGAGTCGCATAAAAGTTTTGAGATTAAATGTGCTTTAGCCTGTTTTTCAGTTCTTTCTTCTCGCTTTCGAAAAAATGCTCTGCCTTCTATTTTTGGTTGACAGAGTGCTGAAGCGTGGTTCAGTTACGAAGTCCGTAAGCTGTTACTCTTTCGTATTTTTCAACCCCGAAAAACACCGAATATTAGTGTGCATGATACAGTAAACTACTTAATAAATTCAGTTTCCACAACTGTTTGGTTTTGATTGATTTTGATTCCAAAGCCGCTAATGCCAGCAAAGTCATGAAACCGAGTGCGGTACAGTTCTTTAGTCAACCGCAAGTGGTCGTTGGGCACTAAACAAGCTAAGCTAGACGAATGTTTAGAAAACGCAAAAACGGCGTAGCAATGTTAGTTGGTCATTTCACGCAATAAACTATTTAACAGATTGGCTCGTTCAGCGAAAACGCCGTCTGGTTACCTCAACATTATCTGGACTGTTCGGAATGGACTGGGCGCAGTCGATGGGCACAAATGCATCGATCGGGTAGTACAGGTCGTTGAACGAGTACGGCCCAACAGACCACACTTCACCCTGATCCGCTTCCACCACCAGTGCCGTGTTATTTTCGCGCCAGCGTCGAAACCAGTCAAACTCACAGCTGCAGTGCAGTCGGAACAGGTAGTTACGGAGGCGTTGGTCATAAACTGGAATAAACCAGGAATCATCTGTCGGTCGAACACGAAAATATTCCTCCAGTGACAGCAGTCCGAGAGATGAAAGACCCGAGAAGGCGTTAATTTCGAGGGTGCGAATCGTGGAGTTAACCAGCCTGAATTCTCTCAGTTTTGGCGAATGGTGAAAATCGATTTTTTTATATCTAAATTGGTGTTGTCGAAGAGCCCATAATCCAATAAATTGACCAGCCGGAGTTGGTACAGTAGGTTTGCCGTGCGAGGCTTCGAGCAAACCCATTTTATAAAGAAGGCAACGACGTAGGGTCTCACGTAGCCCATGTCGGAGATGCCAATCGTGATGTTATCCATCCAGGTCATGATCAGAGCACGAGGAGGTAGTTGCGCCAGCATCCCGGATAAACGCCGCAAATCGCCCAAGCAGGATGGTGCATACAGCGCTTGATCACTAAAATCCGGGTGTTCACAGTTCACACTGTTAATCGATTGAAGTGATGGGCATCGCAAGTTCAGGAACGAGAGATCGCACTCCGTCTGCGTCGGTCCATCCGTGGATAATGCCGGGAACGTGTCTTGAACCATGCTGTCCGGATGGGTTTTCGGAACTTCCCTCAAATCTATCACAAAAATCGCCAACTGAATTTTATTAGCCAGGTTGTTTTTTCAAAACAGTAGAACATACATAGATTAGTTCCGACCGTCACAATATGTACACACAGCAACGGTCTGTACTTTACCAACACATACGAGCATATGTATAAATATGCAAAATGCATTTTATATACAGTAGCAATTTTTCTGGCATATTGACGTGTAGTTACTAGTTTTTGCATTTCTACACGCTGACACGAAAATTGTTTGTGAGCAATATTCGGCTTGTAAAATGTGGCAGAACAAAGGGAAAAAATGAAAAGCCTTTGAATGCCAAAGCTCTTGATTCTGCGAATATTTGCTGCAACGGGGGAGATAATACTGATTTGATTTCCTCTTGATTTATTTAAATGCTTAGGCTCATTTAATGTATTTATAACATGTACAATCTTTTAATTATTTCAAAAACATGATACATGTCTGATTTTGCTCGAATTCTTCTACATGTATATCTGCGTGAAATAGACATCAAAAAGAGTTTGATTTGAGCTAAAATGATCATCTACTTTTTTGAAACTTTGATCTACTGTAGTAGCCCTGCCTAGATAAGAATCATACGCTTAACCTTTATTGGCTGTTACAACAAACATTCCTTGCTCGGATAACCTCCCGCGCGTATGCCTAAGGCGTGCTCGGCCCGTTTGCTTGCGAGAGTATGCAAATCAGTTGAAATATACAGAAGCGTGCCCTACAAAAACAAGGATGATGATTTGGGAAAACCGGATGCGCTGATTCCCCATGGACGTGTGCGAACTTTCTTTCATTTTCCAGCATTATCTCTTACAATTAATTAGTTTAAAAAATGAAGGGTTGATGGGATAAATTTAAAGGGGGAAGGGGTTTCAGGCATACAAAAAGCCAATAAATTAGCTTACATGTGTCTTCGTTGATGGAGAAGGTGTACTGCGCAAAATCAATGGAGCCGGAACCGTTTGCAAACGGCACTACGGCACAGTCAATCGGCAGGAACACGTCTCTTTTTGCCAAGTCATCATTGTGCCATGACATAATGGGAATACTGAAAATTTGCTTCCTGCCAGCACTCTGCAGCAATCCGTTACTGCTCCACCAGTGCCTGTACCACTCGTATTCGTCTCCACAATGCAGATTGCGGAGATAGTCTATAATGTCCTTGCTGAACACTTCCATTTCGCTGAAGCCCCTCTCCAGAGAGATCAGACGCAGTGCCGGTAAATTCTTTTCCAGCGAGCGCAGCGTGGTGTTAGCAAAAAATGCCAAACATTATCATCCGTAGTTTAATTGACGACCAGAAATCAGCTTTCTTAACAACCATATCGTAGCAGTTCGAAGTTCAGGAGGTTTGGTATGTTTGTAGTTCGAAGTTCAGGAGGTTTGGCATGTTCAGCCTAACCAGCTTGCCGGTGGTGCGAGATGATGTGCAGTAGTACAAGTCAGTATGATGGTTTGTTCGCGAACGGCAGACAGGTTTTCGAAGGTCACCAACGGGCCGTCGGTTAAATTGACCAAAACCGCTGTCAGAGTGCTGTGCATATAGCACAGGATAGTGGCACATACGCCTCACCATCATTGGATCGGCTCACCATTTTGCCATTCTGCGCACATGCTGAAGCATGTTTTGCCATTCGGGTGCCAGCATCGGAACCGTTAACATCGTTTCCTAGCTTTCCTTGGTTTTCATGCCCTTTTTCTCACCTTTAGAGATTTGTTTTTGATGCTGATTAGCATTTATTTCTTTGAAATAAAAGCGATTATTTCGAGGAGATGTTGTTCCCGTTGTCATTTCTCTGTACAGCGTAGACGCTTCTCCGAGATGGTGGAGATGCCTTAAGATCCTCGTCATTCCCTCTAGTTTGCACTCAACAGCGTTCACTCACAAACGCTGTAACACGGAAGTTTCCTCTTCTTCAGTGGAGACCCCGGGTCACCAGCGATAGCCCACAACAACCAGCAGCAGAAGAACCCGTACAGAAGCAAGGAGCGTCGCTGGTTCGGAAGGCACGCGGCCGCCAGCACGGAGAAGAACCGCGGATTGCGTACAAACAGTGGTAGGCAATAAACCAGTGGTTGTTGCGCATACTCTACGGGATTAATTCCTAGCAGATAATACCGAAGTGGGATTATTTCCCTGACTTATTTTAATTTTCCTTTTACGGGTTTAAGGAAGATATCGAGACGATTGTCTCTAACATATTAGAGTTGTCTGAGGAGGAAGTTGTTTGTGATCTGGTACTGAAATGAAGAACGTTTTGGTTATTGTGGTCGACGGTAAAACCGTCAAAATAATCGTGACAGAAATTCAAACCGTCTATCTAGACGATATTCTTTTGTAGTGGAACGATTGTTCCGAATTGATAAGTTATTAATTTGAAGAAATGCAGACGACATTTAACAGGACGATCGTTCTGGCAAGAGTTTCCTTGTGGTGCTAGTGCTGACGAACTAGCTGATTTTATCAGTGGCAGCAAATCGCAAAGCGAAACAATAGGAGATAGCCGAGCAGGCTATTTATAGCCGCCCAGGCCAAGACTAGTTGCAGACTGCAAAGCAGCGATACATTGAAACGCATTGACCTACAATGCAGTGCATAGTGTATACAGTGAAAAGACCTATTTCGAAATAAGTCTAGAATTTAATTCTGAATTCTATCGTCTGAGTTTTGACGGCATAATGCCCGTAAATCGTTCACCAGTAAGGAAACAACCAGCTATCGATAGACTGAAGCAGGGCGTCGAAGACGTCCTAAAATCAGCCAGTAAGGCATTAAAAGGAATAACCGATGATCCAGCAAAGGCTGGCACGAGTGAAGCTACACAACAAGACAAAGTCACCCGTAGTAAAACGAATCAGTTGAAAGGGACAGGCGTGGAAGTTACCCACAAAGTCCTCGAAGATAAACCTCGTAAACCGAGGAAAGCAACCGTAATGGATCAGGGAGATAATCTCCTTGATACACCATTAATGCAGCCACCGGAACAGTTGTTTTTCCGGCCGCTAACTCCCGAGAAAAGCCGACAGGTTAATCCCGATAATCGGGAAGAAGTACAGGCACCTGTGCCAGAGCGATCCGATAGCACTACCGAATCAACGGCCACAACAGGGTCGTTTTCTCAAGTGAGCGAAAGCGAGCTGAATAATTTCTCAGTTTAAAATCCTATTTACCGAAAATCCGGAGGAATTCCTCCTACAGTTTATTCTACCGGACACGGATCCAGCAAAGTTCTGGTTTTTCTGCCGTGCCGCGTGCGCTATGCAGCGTAAGATAGCTCCCATGAAAATCACATGGGACACCATCTCTATCGGATGGGGATTAAAAAAGTATATTCTGGTTATCCTATCCGCGTTAATGGGCAACTGCCACGCTCACCATTACGCCCGGACATATCGTCAGGCCGAGCAGAACCGCCGATTAAAAAGTTACGTTAATCGTATGGGAGAGCCTCTTAGTGAGGAACAACAGGCGAAGGTCCTTAACGATCTTTTGCACGTAATGCAAGTCGATGGACTTAAAACCGAAGCTATCCATAATGGACATTATGATGGGATCTATGATCTCGTTAAAAGATTTGCGGAGCGTCAGGGGAAGCGCAAAGTCGCTCCGAATTCACCCGATACTCCAATAGCGAGTCAGACATTACAACCAGATCCGAAGAAAACAGTAGTGTCAATGGACACAACAGAACCTGAGGAAACGCCGGATACAGCTAATGCTGCAACCGTAATCGCAGCTAACACTGCAACCGCAGCGCCAACTGCGAATACTCAATCTGCAGTGATCACTGCGCCGTCTAGCGGAATTCCGCAAACAGAAGTTGTGGCGTCAGTGGAAGCACTGACGATCGCGGAAACCCTGCCGGCATTGGAGCAGCAACCCGCCGCAGAGGCGGACGATGAAATGACGGGACCAGAACCGTCAATAAGGAATAATTTCCTTTTTCCGACGAGACAAGCCCTTCGAGACCGGCAATTGGAGCTGGAGGCGATGGGACAGAACGAAACCTTCACCGACGTGGACCATTTAATCTTTGCGGTCCATATACCGGATAACGAAACTGACCCACTTTACTACCCGGGTGGAAACGATGAAGTGGACTTGCTGGAGGATAGCACCGAAGTTAAGGCTACGTCTGCCGTATTGAGCGACGCTCTTAACGCATTAAATGGAGAATTGCAGGTTAAACCGCCGTAAAAGCATTAAATGCACCAATTGCCGTATTGTACTAAGTACTGCTAAAATTAAATCGCCGTAATGCACAACGAATTGCAGACTTAATTTTATTGAAATCGCCGTATTGTACTATGAGTACACAACTTCATATTAATCGCCGTAGTGCGCAATGAGTCGCAAAATTAACATTGTTAAATCGCCGTACAGTACAACGAGTACAAAACGAAAAGGCCGTAACGCCCAACGAGTGCACCAGATTGAATTCATTTCAATCCTTACAAAATGAATCGCCGTAGATGCACAAATCAGTGCATAATACTTGGTTAAAGAACTGCCGTAGTGCATTAATTGCAGGAAAACGGATAAATCAAATCGCCGTAGATGCACTATGTTGCACATATGTCGTGGATCGACGCTACAAAGCGTATAATTGGAGGAAAACTCCGGAATGGAACCTGCAAAACTAACACGGATTAACGTGTGCGATTTTGGAAATAACCGGAATGGGAATTTAACGGATTCTGTTACGAGTATAAACTCGTTTTGATTAAATTTACGCCGCATTTTGCCGCGTCTTGTTCTCACTAACTGTGATGAAATAATTGGCACATTTTTTTCTCATTATGATGAAATAATTGGCACATTTTTTTTCTCATTATGTTGCATATAAGATGCGTTTTTTCATTTCTCATTCCTGTTTTGAGCCTCAAGGGGCTTCGGCATCCCGTCCCGTGGCATGTCAGAGTGCTGTGCATATAGCACAGGATAGTGGCACATACGCCTCACCATCATTGGATCGGCTCACCATTTTGCCATTCTGCGCACATGCTGAAGCATGTTTTGCCATTCGGGTGCCAGCATCGGAACCGTTAACATCGTTTCCTAGCTTTCCTTGGTTTTCATGCCCTTTTTCTCACCTTTAGAGATTTGTTTTGATGCTGATTAGCATTTATTTCTTTGAAATAAAAGCGATTATTTCGAGGAGATGTTGTTCCCGTTGTCATTTCTCTGTACAGCGTAGACGCTTCTCCGAGACCGCCCTCAGCGGTCGCTGCGATAAGGACCCGGCTAGTTGTTGGATTTCATGGGATGTAGCTTGGGCGCTGCAGTGCAGTTGCATACCGTGAGTGAAGGTGCAATTGTCTTTTGTGTAAAGATCCAGTACACCAGCGCCCTCTGGATAGATATCTGTGTCTGTGTGGGACGAAACATACACATAAAACTGGAGCGTGCATACTATTGACCTACTGAAAGGAAGAAACACTTCTCTGACTGTTTTGAAAACCGTCTCTCAAGTAGCCTCTCACGACTTCCACATTAGACGGACGACAATTTTCCGTGAACTGCAAAGCGCATTGACGGCGCGTTATGGGTTCCGTGGCAAATCGGGGAAGCGGAACCGCGCTTGCAAAATATTTCGGATTCTTTGCTTTCACTAGCGAATAAAATCAAACAAGACGTAAATAACGGTAATGTCGGTAAGAACCATTTGGTGGTTAAGAAGTGCTATTATTGGAATTTCCATGAAGCAACAAAAAGAACGCTAAATATAAGTGCCCATGAACGTAACATATCATTGCTGTGGAGTCCAACCGTAATGATCCCCTGGAAACTAACAAACCAATGAATACAGCGCTTCCAAGATGCTTACTCAACGGTTAAACAAGAGAAGTATAATGCATGCAAGCGCTCCTAGTGGTATAAGTGGAAATTATTCATCGAGTCGCAGGCTGAGAATTGTTAAAATTAATAATCATGCCCTCTGGGAGTCGCTTCTGTTCCGGCATCTAAATCGTTTCAAGGAACTGCTAAATTGCTGTTTCACTCACCCTGGCGATCAACTATTTACGAGCGTTTGGCAGCAGTATTTAGTATGTATAAACCGATCGCAGTATTAATTCGAAAATTGCCATTTAAGATAGCCCAGCTGGTATCGGTTTCTCTGGTAAAAAGCAACGAACGTAAAGCAGTCGCCAGAAGGCATACAGAGTATATCAATAAGTTCATGAACAACCACGTACATGGTGCCGGGTAAGATGTATGGCATGAGGCGTGGCAATTTCTGTTTTATTTATTAGGTGACCAGGCGGTTACCTTTCGTTGTCTCACTTGCCTGCACGAGCTAGGTGACAAGACGTCGCATAACATTTCGACGGGGACACTTGTTATAGATGCGAGCTGGTCGTAAGAAACGTAAAATTAGGATGTTACAGGTATAACTTTGGTTGCCTGTATCATACCCGTCACCTGACCTTGGCTGACATAATCGTAAATAGGACCTTGCGCGCAGCTCATCCCTTTCCGAACCGATGCTGTGTCAGTAGAAATTTCAAAAGTTATTGTTACCATAGCTTGTTATTCCCGCTTTTTAACCATTTAATTGCTGGATTATATAGCCAGGCCCTAACATTATCTTTGTCCGAGTACAGACACCGACTACGCTACGGCAGACAAGTAACCAAACCTCGTTAAGCTCAATTAGGGTTCTGTACGATACGAAAAGTGCGGGACTGCCATACTGTTGGCTAAACAGGCATAAAGTTTCATTATGCGCGTGACACTGAGTACAGATAATCCAAACCAGTGAACACTTTCGAACAGAAAACAGTATTAAAAATTAATGCATCAGTATTAAATAAAACAGAGTAACTCACTTCCTAGTTATTTCGATGGTTCTTATCTCTGTTGTACAACACAAAGAGTCGAACTCGGTTAGAGAGATTTCTGGACGACATGCTTACCACTAAACCACACAACGGTTGTTTTTGACCTGCCCATTGCCATTTATTCTGAAGCAGTGAGTTTTGGTAAGCCGCCATGGTAATCAGCAAGCCAAAAATTTGCAAAATATATATATTTGCAGGTCGAATAACTGTTGCCTAACTAAGTTTCTTACGATGCCGGTGCTTCCGAGAGTTTTTTTAACCGTCTGAAACACGGTATTCCGGCTCTAACAGCAGTTAGTACGCTCTGAACATTCAAACTGGAAAAATATTTTGCAGAAAACTGGATTAACGCATTAATATTAACTGAATGATTCCACGCCGTGGCAGTATTTAGCAAATCGGTTCATGCAGCGAATATGCCGTCTGGTTAGCATCAACACCATCGGGTTCATATGGAATCGGCTGGGCGCAATCGATAGGCACAAATGCATCAATCGGAAAATACAAACCGTTATACGCGTACGGCATGATCCACCACACGTCACCCTCATCCGCTTCGCTCATCAGTGCTGTATTGCTTGCGCGCCAGCGTCGGTACCAGGCAAACTCGCAGCTGCAATGCAGTCGGAACAGATAACTGCGGATGCGTTGGTCGTAGGCTGGAGTGAACCAAGAGTGATCCACGATTTCCGGTCCGGTGTGAAAATGACCCTCTAATGACAGCAGTTCGAGAGATGGGAGATCCGAGAAAGTATTGATTTCAAGGCTGCGAATCGTGCAGTTGTACAACTGGATATCACGTAGTTTTCGTGAATAGTGAAAATCAGCCTTTTTAATTTCCAAATCAGTGCAGTCGCTCAGCCCATACTCTAATAAATTAACTAGCCGGTGTCGGTGCGGCAAACTCGTCGTGCGACGCTGCGAGCACCCCCAGGTTATTTGCAAGCCAAATATGTATGGTCGCACGCGTTCCAGATCGGCACGTTCGATCGGGATGTTATCTGTCCAGTACATGAACAGAGGACGCGGAGGTAGGCGCACCAGTAGAGCGGTTAGGCGGTGGAAATCGCGCAGGCAGGACGATACGTTAAACGTAGTGCTGTTTGTATCGGGATTTGGACACCTGCGTGGTGTAACCGCTATAAGCGATTGACATTGCACATCCAATAAACAGAGTTCGCGCTCGGCATCATTCGGCGGTTCCATGGAAACAACCGGGAACGTGTCGTCGTCCAAAACGTCTCGGTGGCCGCTTAAAGGTTCTTCTAGATCTACAGAGTACAGAAAAATGAACAAATATCTAGTATATAGAATAGTATGTTAATTTATCGAAAAAGATCTGATTTAGTCATTAATTTATTCACAGTCTGCTGCTTGCATAGGCGAGCATAACTATAAAAAATTTCCGCGCATTTTGAAAAGGTTTATGATAATAGTTAATGTCTGTGCTACTCGTATCTTTGCGGACAGGAAGTGACATGTAAAAGTTTTAGCTGGGGATTGGAAGACTGTCGACTGTGCACCTGGGGCAGCCGCGCTTGCCGGTTTCCTTCACCTGCTAGTGCGTGCCAGTTGACAACACCGAAATGAAGGCTACGCAATCAGCGATGAACTCTGGTGATAGAGTGCGGAAAGCAGTGCTCTTACGCCCCATTAATAACAATTAAAAATGCCTAACTGGACATTTATGGAACCCTGTCAGTAGACTAAACTCGTAAACGTAATACTCGCCAGCGCGCCTAAGGTAAGGCTGCGGAAATTAGGTCTATTATTGAACAAGACGTTCAAATACGATTTAGTGCAAAAAAGGACAACGTTTCCGGAAATTTGGCTGGAAAAGGATAAATCGGCTGAGTGTGGTTTTACGGTCAAATTCTACAGCTGGATAATATGTTGCCTGACCTTTACCCATACCGGACTCTCAAAGGCTTTTTTAGCCGAACAGCACACTTTATTAGGCCAGAAAGTTGGAAAACGAAGGCAAAACGGATTCGAGACTGCGCAACCACTCAAATTCTTGAGCATGGATAATAAGCTCTCTTTTTCGATATATATAAAACTATTCAGCTTACCGGTGTTGTCGTTGATGGAGAAGGCGTACTGCGTGAAGTCAATGGAGCCAGAACCGTTTGGAAAAATTACTGCTGCACAGTCGATAGGCAAATATACGGCGCTTGCTGCGAGCTCTTCATTGTACCATGCATTATTTGGAATATTGAATATTTCTTTTCTGTTGGCACTGTGCAGCAGCCCATTACTGCTCCACCACTGCCTAAACCATTTGTGTTCTCCTCCGCAGTGTAAATGGTGTAGGTATTCTCTAACGTTCTTGTTGAACACTTCCATTTCGCTGAATCCCTTTTCCAGGGAGAGAAGGCGCAGTGCCGGTAAATCGGTAAAGGTGTCCGTCTCAAGTAAGCGCAGTGTAGTGTTAGCAAAAAGGATCATCCGCAGTTTAATTGACGACCAGAAATCAGCTCTCTTAACGACCATATCGTAGCAGTTGTGCAGTTCGAAATTCAGCAGATTCGGCATGTCCAGCTTGACCAACTTGCCCGTGGTGCGCGCCGAAACGCAGTCGTACAGGTTCAAAATGACGGTTTGTTCACGAATCGGCGACAGGTTTTCAAAGGTAACCAATGGACCGTCAGTTAGATTAACCAAGACCGCCCTCACCGGCGGCTGGGAGAGGGACACGGCAAGTTTTTGAATCTCGCGGTGGGTGACTTGGTCACTACAGTGCAGCTGCACACCGTGGGTGAAGGTGCAGTTATCTTTGGTGTAAAGATCCATCGTGCCGACGCCTTCCGGAAGGATATCTGTGTAAGATATGACATATCTATGAGTGATTTAGTCTAGAACAAACCACGTAACCGAGGTAAAAATGATTCCACTTAACAGTTTTGAAAACCGTCCCTCAAATAGCTTTTAACGATTTCCACGTAAGATGGACGACAATTTTCTGTGAATTGCAAAGCACACTGACGGCGCATAATTGGTTCCGGGGCGAAACGAGGAAATGGAACTGCGCTGGCTGAGTACCGCGGAGCCATCTTCTCTGGAATTTTAGAATATTTTCATAAGTTATGCGACACCGTAACTATGGAATTTAATGTTCCATCGCAGTGCAAGCTCTTCACTTCCGACCCCGTTACAATTCCTCCCAAAACTGACGCCAATGAGTGCACGCAAAAAGTCGGCAGGCTTAAATTTTCGATTTCATATAGCATTCTTCCATAGAAGTACCGTCACTAGCATAAACAACGGTGTGTATTTTAGGCAGATGCGTGCATGCACATTCTTTCTGTGCAAACAATTTATCGAGTCGCGGTTCGAAACACGAGATATCTATTCATTTAATTAAATAATTACGTATAGGAAGTTCGTTATAACATGCCAGGAAAGGTATTTACAAATATATTACCTTCCCTGGTATATACATGCGGATATTTCCATGCCCTCAAAGAGCCGTTCGAAATATTTAGGATTTTCAACTTCAAACTCGCTAATACAGTGAATAAAAATTTATTGATTACGTCAGAACTCAAAAGCGGTCATATGCGCGGCATTTACTGCTAATAGAAATGGTGTTTCAGCTACTACATAGTAACAATTATTACGCACATTTTGGTGCATAATAAAAGTGTAAAAACTGGGCATTTTACTCACTTGCGGTGCTCGCGACAGCCATTCTCCTTGAAAAAGCGCAAAGCACGCTAAACAGCAAAATCCGTAGGGTTGTCATTGTTATAAAATTGCCGCAGTAACCAGTTCGAAGTTCGAATTAACGTTCCGACGAATGTAAAGCAAGCGAATTGCTTGCACAATGGTTTGATACATGAAGTGTAATGCAGGCAGCTATAAATGTCGCATGTGGTTCTGCAGCTAGTCGCGCGATCTCCGATTGCAAAGTATGCCTTCTAGCGGCTATATCCGTTTCCGCTTCTTAAGTGTTTCCAGGAGCCGGTAGCGTGCGATTTCTTTCACCCTGATGACTGCCTGCTTAACAGCGTTTGGAACAATTAATTTTGTATGTTATAAACAACCGATAGTGCTAACGATGCCATAGTTGTCACCTAAGATTCGAAGCTGATATCCGCTTTTCTGGTAAAAAGCAACGGACTCAAAATCGCCAGGAGATACGTATGAATAATTTCATGAGTAAGCACGTGCATGGAGTGAAGTTGTGAACTACTGTATGGCAAGAAGCAGCGATTGCTTCGATTTCAGCAGTTATGTGACCAAGCTTTATCTTTAGTGGCTTTACTTGCTTGAATCGCGTCTGGATTACGTGACAGGTCGTCGCGGGTATTGCGTCGGGGACGAGTCCTTTCGAGGACATTCGGTCGGTACTAGAACGCTTCGTTGTACGGAGATTTCGTTGTAGAAGGTTTGGTTGAGGTAACAAGTGGAAGCAGAGATACTTGTTGCCACACGGAGACATTTCACCGCGTGCACTTATCAGGACTTATCATTGTATCTACTGTATGTTTTCAGTAATCGAGATTATAAAAAAATCCAATTTACTAAAAAGAAGCTACTAATAAACTTACAGAGCAGTGGTCGCTTCGGAGGCATGGTATTGCTGACTGCTGCCCAGGTGGTGGTGTGTAACCGACCAAAACGTCCGGACGACCAAGACGTCCGGACGTTTTGGTCGGTTACAGTCGTGTTTGTCCAATGTCACCTGGGCGTTTTATGGCGCTTTAATTCTTGTGTGATAGGGTTAACCTTAATTTCGATGCTCCGAGTAAATGTTAAGATCAACAGAGAATAAGACGGGCTAGTTACCGAAATGACTGAATTGTTTTTGAAAAATTAACAAAATCGACGAAGGGAATGGAAGCAGAGATACGAAGAGTAGCAGTTCAACGTCGCCGTAAATGAAAAAATCGAGACTAGAAACTACAATTCGTAACAGTCAGTTCAGTGAATAACGAATATCGACAACATTTTCAACAGGACAAAAAATTATTTACCATGTTTGTCGTGGCACCAGTACACAGAAAAACACGCAGTTACAATACGATGCCATGGTTTAAGAGTTATTCGTATAGTGTTTGGTGGTAATTAAGACTGTCACAAAGACATGCCTCAACATCCTCGACAGCGCACGTATAGTATATGTCACCGAAAAAAATATAGTCATAGGTCAATACTTCGAGAGCCCTTGTTGAAGAGCATTTATAATAGAAGCTACGGTGGAAAGGTAACATTTGTAGAAATATTGCACAGAGAAGCCGCGAACGTGTTAAAGCATCTTCCGGCACAGGAAAAGGGGCTTTCACGGGCTACTTGACAGCAGTCGTGGAGCACCTGGCATTCGCTACCCCACCAGCAGCCTGAAAGATACCCTTTAATCAGAATGCTTACAACGGGATATTAGGCATGCACACGTACTAGTGGATGCTAGGCCCGCTACAAGCCATGAAACTGTCTAAGCTGATCCGGAAAATAGCTCTGGTTTCTACGGAAAAATTTATTCAAAGCCGCACCTTTTGATTTTAAGCTGGTCGTTTAAACATTTGGTGGATTCTGGTAGATAGAGAAAGTTTGGCGGTCAGAACCATATAAGGTTTGGTTTGGTTTGGAAAATCATACTCGACGCTGAGAAAAAAACAGGTGTCAAGCAAGCCCAACGGAAGTGGGCGGCCGATGTGGGCCACCAACAACATTTTAGCGGCACGAAGACAACGATGTCCACAATCACAATTTGGCCAGTCGTATGGGCACGACTCGTGCCGCAAGAGAGAAATCGCGCATTTCGATGGCATGTCATTACATCAAAAACGGTAGACATTATAATGATCAAATTCGGTCGCGTTTGGCATCATTCGAGGAAAAAATCCTACAGGTAATGGTGCTGTCAAAAGTTTGAAAAGTCTGCTAAGTTGTAATGTGCAGTAAATGATTCTCGTGGATGACTGTACGCATCTCATTGTGCCGACGCTTGCACGAGTTGGTCGTTTTGTGGACAGGCTTGTATTGCAGAGCGGCACTGAATGTACGAAAGTGTCTGCCAGGTGCATTTTTATTTTCGAACTTGTACAGACACAAGCAATGCCCTTTACAGTTAAAGTAATATCTGCAATAATTCGAAACAAGTAAAATAATTTTTCCAGCTTTGTAGAATAAGTAACAGTTCCTAAAACAGAAGCCGCATTTTCGCGTTGAATTTTCACACTAATACGTTGCGACCAAAAATTCGTTAGCTCGCGCTTCTCTTGTTTGATCTGTGGTACTCGTATGTTGGCCACAGATTGACTTAACAGACGGGTACTAGCGCCGGAACTTCCTTTAGTTCCGCAAGGCCCTGGTTGGTAAGCGTACGATCAGTGGGCTCCGAATACTAGCGTCTCTTTCGATCTTCTGCGTCAACTTGCTGCACATCCCGCTGCTTCTGATGAGCAGGCGATGTATGTCAGGGAAGGAAGCAAAGCAGTTCAACTTCGCCGTAAACAAAAATAGCTCCACTAAAAGCTACAGCCAATAAAAGTACACACTACTACACAGTACGGTAAATATCGACAGTACCAAAATTAGCTCACAAAATTACTTATGTGTGACGTAGCATTAGGACACAGAAAAAAACACCCTGTGACAACTGCTGTCACGTTTACGAATTAGTCGTACAATGTGCGCCGGTAAGACATGCCTCGACGTCATCGGCTTGTACTTCGCTTCTTTTGGCTTTGTTCTGGGTGGTACAGCATTTCCGAACGGACCGGACGAACTGATAGTACAACCATAAGGTCAGGATGCTCAGCAGTAACAAGATACCCGGGAACTGATATCTCTCAGGCAGGAAGAATTCCATGATGGTCTGAGGTAGAATCGTGAGAAGCGCGAACATCGCCAGCATGCTTCCTGCGTAATACATGCCGCTGATTAACGGCTCGCAACAGCATTCGTCATCATCCTGCGTGCTCACTCTGAACCAAAAAAAGTTGAATTAAACTAGTAGACCCCGCGCAAACTGTGCGGAATAAATTGGCGATAAATTGTTATTTACGAAAACTACAAAGGACAAACCCATGAATACAAAACACAAATTTAGTTTTATTGAGCGGAGCGTATAATAATAATAATAATATAGTTTCACTGGCAGAGACAGACAGTATTTGCCATGTACAGATACCGTACCTATTTGGTTGACTACTTATCATAACTTATGTCGTAAATTATTCTTTATTTTGGCCATAGTTCACTGACATATTAATAGGAGTTAAAATGTATCACAGTTTACTAATTAAATGTTTAAGAAATTAAATGTTTACGCATTGAGAAAACATTGTCGCGTTCCGCTGACTTCAGATTTAACCTTAAATTAGACCCGAAAAATTTGGCAGTTTCCAGGAATACATGTTATATGCCTTTTTTTGCAATTATAAAACAAAGTTTTTAAGCTTCTCCCAAATCAATCAGCAGCATATGCTGGTCAGTTGTCAAGAACTACAAATAAGAAAAACTCCATATTACTGCCTTACTGGAATTTTTATATCCTTATTACAGTACTTCTACTGGTTCAGATACCATTGTGAGCTTTGTTGAATTTTAGCCAGTGCGTTGTGATCGACAAAACAATCCAGTGATACGACGGTACGACCACCGATGTTAACCTTTAGACCACTTAGAATAAAAATACTTTTCGGTGTCCAGTTTCCTCCAGTCCTACTGCTTACACACCAAAACAATTTAAATTTGATGAAGTTCAAAATTTCGTTGTATTCTTCGGTGAATTTTTTATCAATAATTAACGTCGACAACTTTACAATTAGCGCAGTGTCTTGGTTGCGACCACCGCTTGCAGATAGGCGTCGCCTGTGCCTCCGCTTTCCGTTACGTGCTTATAAAATTTTCCCGTGTTTTTTAGTTCTGACCCTTGATGGGAGATGATCTGACGGATTGCTTTATAGCTGGCGGAAAGATAGGTAGATGAGAAAGCGGATAACTTCGATTTTTGAATCTTCTGTTTGTTTTAAATTTTTTAATGCTAAAAATGCGTTTTTTGTTTTAATAAAACCGTTTTTCTACGTTCCTTAGTCTTTCGGAAAATATTTTAACCTCCCTTCCCTGCACCTGCGGACATTTAAAACACGCGCTCCTTACTTCAGTCGCCGGAAAAGACTTGTGCCGCCTTCCCTCCCTCCCCTCCCCCGGCGGTGGTTAGACTCGAACCCTAGTCCGTACGCCCGGCGGGACTGGGACTCGTTGTTTTGCTCAAGCAGTCCACATCATTTCCAGTCGAACACCAAAATTCCCGAAATCGACTTTCAGTCTCTCACAAAATAATATGTGTACTGGCGATTTCCAAAAGAATGTTTATTGGCACGTCAGCACGATATTACCAAAGCCAACCGCCCTGTGGAAGCAGTTTCAATTAAATCTAATCAACCCGTTGCGAAAGGCAACTACTTTATCTTTGGAATTTGAGTCGTTCCCACTTTCCTGTCTTTCCAGAAGATTTCGCATATTCAGTTTTTAAGAAACATCACTTTCAAAGCCTACATTTTTTAAAAACTGACTCTTAATAAAAATTTTATGAACTAAAGGCAATCGGATAAATAATGGACACCAAAGTTCCATCAAGTGTGGTCTGTGTAGATGAATGCTTTTCCTATGCTGTTCATGACGGTGGTGGTGTGGGTGGGTTTGCAGTGGTGGGTTCTCCACTTTTCCCATAGACTTTGTATGTAAAGATCTTTTAAGATTTCCTCTGAAACTTCGCATACTTTCAAAAAACTGACTGGTTTCTGCAAATCTGCAAACTAACGGCTATTAAATGACATATAGACATCAAAGTTTGGTTCAGTGGCTCGCTCAAAAAAAGGGAGACAGAAATGGAATTCCCTAAGGCTTATTTTATTAATATATAGGATGTTTTCTACTGCAAAACTTCGTGTGATGGGACAGCTGACTTACGAGGCGGAAGCGGCGCTTCTAGCTGCAGAGTTTTTCTTAGAACATGGTTCACAGAAGCAGTTGATGTACAGGCAAATTACGTATATTGCCGCCGCTGTGTACGGGATAAGACTGACGACGGTGAGTGTTCCGGTCCATACTGAAAACAGTATGCCGGTAGCTGCTGGTACATCCGCGATACCGTAATCCGCTGGGTCGGTGCCGTTTAGGAAGGTGCGTATATTCATCCAGTACGATAATTTCGCCGCTTGGTAGTTCAACACCTAAAAATTCACATACAGTCTTGATCAGTTCACCTTGGACAATATTTTTGACTTACATCATGCCAATAAAACCCTGTTCGACTGCTACCATCGTACTCTGTACAACATTATTCAATTGCTGATCACTCCGTTCTCAACCTTTCTCTTGTTTCGCTTCCCACGCTCTCCCATAAGCAGGAGTTTGAAAAAACTTTGCGATTTGTCCCCCGCATCATAATTGTACAAAGTCCAAAGAGATTACATAAAACAAATGTATGTACACCTACAGAGTACTTCCTGGATGCGCTGCATACGAAGTGATTGCGGAGACAACAAAAATGCCATTTTGTGCGCTATTGTGTGGAAAGCAGCAGCAGCACTTTACAAAGAAATAGTAAGAGCGCTTGGATCGTAATTACTTTGCAATAAATTAAAAAAAGCCAAGATTAACCAGAAAGCCAAAAACACTCCGTTTCCCCATTGCCCGTAAACGCAGTTGGCGGATTAAAAAACGTCACCGCAAAAAATGTTGTACAGAGTTAAAGGGTGTGTGAAAGTTAATTTCGAGAAAAAGGTTAATAAAGGTCACCGAGTCGCGAGTGGACCCTTAATTAAATTTACCGTTTTGTTTGCAGATTGATTCACAGAGTGTGTGCTAGAAACCGACCCTGGAAGTACCAGGGGGAACGCCGTGCCTACGATGGCAATCATGTTCATGACCATGCCACACGATCCAAGATAGAGGAGCGCCGCGCTCATAAAGAAATGTATTCGGGACGACGGCATCCGCTTTTCCTGCTGAGGGGCGTTGGCACTGGGGTCGCTTTTTGCTTGCGCTGACTCATCGTTAACTGGGTCGTCCACAATGATCTGAATGCCGAGCTTTCTGTCAGGATACATAAATAGAAATTACATGGTATAAACGTCTGGAGTTCGAGCAAAATAGCGGTTCATGGAGCAAGTGTCCAAAATTATAATTTTTTTGATTACTGTAATATATCCATAATCCACCCAATATACGACATCTGCATCCACATGCCCCAGATTCTCCCGGTGCAGTACAGAGATGTGATGGTATTGAATACGATGTAGCATGGAAGCGCCACACTTTCACCATATTGATTAACTAATAAGCGGGCAATGGTGGCAACAAGCATCACCGGTGCAAGTGCGACCAGTTTCCCAAAGTAGAATCCAGCGCAACCTACCAACATCGTTGTAATGAACGAGCACGCCACAACAGCTGTTCCCGGCGATGGCTTGTTGGGTACGGAGCCTAATAAAAAAATGGCAGTTTATAGGTTTATAACCGTTAAGATTTTTGCCTGCATTTAAACTAATAGCAAGCAAGTAATGACAGCACAGTGTATGGAGTATACTATCCAAGGCAGGGAGAATCAAGGTGGCAGTTTAATTTTTTCTTTAATGATTCAAATCAAAAACAGTCCCAGTAGTATACAGTTTCAGCTTGAGTTAAATGAATTTTGAACGACGCTTTTAGCGCAATGCATTGCTTGACATATGCGCAAATTTCTGTTTTCGGTGTTGAAAACGCTCAATGTTAAAAAAAACGTAGTACTTGTATTGTGTAAAGCAGTAAAGTGGATGGATAACCCTCGACGAATAATGCACATTTACAATGTAGTAAGCTAAACTCCTGTAATAAATTTACTCAAAATCCGGACAAAAACAAATGCAAAAATCGGTAAAGCAACTAAATTATTAAAATTGAATTAATGATTTAATTTCCTTATGAAGATTTACTTAATTACTTGGGAAGATTTACCTAAATTCCTTAAGAAGATTTACTTGATCTACTTAATTTTAGACAGATATATAGGTTTACCGGGGACTGCAGAAGACTTGTTTAGGGGCGGCCAAATTGGTATAAACTTATGAAACCACACCACATGCTTGTTATTTGCCCGTGGAGGCCGCCAGTACCGGTTGACAAATGCGAAGCACTCCAAGGATAGAATTAGAATGCCCGTGGCCGACAGTGCGGTGCAAACACCAGTGAAGCCAATACTGCTGTCAGCATCGGAGGGTGGAAGTGGTACGAACGATTCATTGCGGCACACTGGATTATCTAACTCGGTCCAATACGCACAAATCCGATCCCAAAAACACCCCTCCGTCTCCTGCGAATACAAAGCGCCGAAAAAATTTCTGTCAGCATTTTATGATGCGCCTAACTATCCAATAGAAAATGCATACATATCCAAGCAAAGACTGCGCCATATCCAAAACTTGCGCATCCGGCTCGGCACGAGTGGAATGCCATTGCGGGAAGAAACGTGCTGATATATAAATGCAGACCTGGCTGGCTAACCATGTGGCTAACAGTGCTTCCGCCACAATATCGGAATACCACCATAATGCGTTTCTGTTCAAAAGATACTGAAGGAAGCAAAGTGGCTTCTGCATTTTAAGTTCACTGCCACGGTCAACAAAATTGTTAATGTGATATCCGAGTTTGGTGGCGCAAACAAAGTTGGACCAACAACACCTTAACTGCTCAATAATGCAAAAGAAAAGAAAATGATAATATTTCAAAGAAACACTGCATCGATAACATTACGTAGTACGTACGTGTGCATGTACAGATAAAACAACTGACATGGCAATGTACTGCTACTCACAAGTAGCTGCGGTGGACTGCGCATGGATTACCCTATTCCAGAAAAATCGATAGAATAGCGGCATAGGGAAGAGCATGCAGTCGTTTACTCTCGTGATTAGCGGCGTACACTCGGCTGTCCTGCAGTGTCTTTGGTTCCATGACGCTTGGGATCTACAAGCCGGACGAGAACGCAATGAGCATATTGTACATACGTAAATGCAGCGAAATTATAAATTCTCGGTTTACGCCAATCTTCATGCTACGGCGCACCATGCCACATTTTAAAATACGTATCATGCATTGGGCATGGCTGGTCTCTGGTTCATGCCCGATACTGAATTTGTAAATTCCACATAAACTTTCAATTTCGCAGACTTCAAAAACTTTATAAAAGTACGCGCAATTGTTGTTGTATAATTATTATTATACCGTTATTACCGTACAAGTAAACTGTCTGTATGAGCGGCTTTAAAATCGTTTCTGTGAAAATATGTCCCATACAACTGACAAAAAGTTTAAGCGCATTCCCGTAACCAAGTGCATTTATTAATTAATAATTAGGTGTACTTATTAATTGAGTATTGTGAAAGGCTTCTGTAATAGGCCAAGAAGTTAAGTAAAAATGCTGGCAGTTTTAAAGCACGTTCATCCTTTCTAGCATTTCTCGGAAATTTAAATTTTAAAATGAAGTTCAAAATTTTTATTATGGGATTGTAGCGGGCTGTCAGAGCGCAAATTCTGCATGTGTATTACATTTTATTATAAATTTACAACCACTGATTAGAAAGAGTGCCTTTAATAAGCAGGTGCGAAAACTGGCGCCTAGTACAATTAATACTGTACAAGTAGACATACTGTATATGTATACGACATTATATACATCCTCTAATATACAAATTGCATATACTGTTATACAGTATATACGCCCTCCCATAAAAACACTTTCCTCATTGATTTATGATATTGGGTAACATATGATTTATGATTTGTCGATTTTTTATATGACATAATTATAATTTATAATTTTTTATACACAACCGTGTTAACTGTTTGTGCGCGCAGCATCCGGTTAGAGAATATTGCTGGAAGAGAATTCTAAAGGGTTTAAAAACAACCACGTATGCCAAGATTCTCATTAGGACTGATCACCTTTAACGTTTGCACCAACATCCATAGTAGGCAGATCGACTATGCACGAAACCAGAGTTGCACTATTTTTTCGGATTAAATTTACAAATTTTGGGATTTATTTAAAAATTTTGAAAACCGTAGACCTGGTGTGATCCAATTTAAGACTTATGCAATCCCGATATCCTAGAAAAATTTTAAAGTGCAATTCCCTGTTGTCCCTGCTTAATAAAACCCTTTTTTTACCCTTTATGTGTTTACTGTTGTGAATTTTGATTAACGTTTGAACGGGGAGACAGTGCATCATAACATATAACGCGCAAAAGACCAAGTGAACATGTCAAATTATCCATAATTATTCAGCTTCTTTTCGGAAAAAGTTTGACGCACCGTGGAAACAGACAAAGGAATCTCTCTGATTCCACCAGAGCGCTCAGTGCTTTGCTTTTATTAACTTTTCAATCACTGGTTACAAACTGTGCGCTTAAAGTTCTTCTTAGGGTCGACAAAAAACAATGAAATCATAACACGGAAGATATTTAATTGACTGTAACGGCGGCACGCTTTTAACACTCAGGGCCAACGTGCTTAGTATTGTCAACTGCACAATCATTGTCTTTAGGACACGCGAATTTTAGTGCGAACAGTATGGCTAAAACACTTAAAATGTGTGATAATACGATGTCGTCGCCAGTTAATCATGAAACAACTTTGGAAATGCACTCACGGTCAGTATACTAAGATATCAATCAGAAACGAAAATAGCGAAAAAAGTGCACTCGTTTACATACAATATTTACCTAATTCAAAATAGGTTTCATAAACATATTTTTCGGTATCCTAAAAGCGAATTGTCACGTGCACCTCCCTTTGCACATGCATCTGTTCTCGATCGTTCAATTTTATTTTAGTAGGGCTAAAATACAAATAAATTTGCATAAAAAGAGGATAATAAAGAATGCTAGCGGTTAGAATATCAGCTGCTATCCATCGAAATGCATATACATGTATCGTTCGCCGTAACGTACTAGGTAAAATCTACAATCACCGCCCAAATGTTCAAATTGACAATCCAGGGCTTTTCTCACTGAGAAGGTAGAGGAAGTTTAAAACGTAATGGCACAATTTAAATTGAAAAATTTCGCATCAGTTAATGATGATTGCCATTATAACACCTCATTTGCGCACTTTATTACATTATGTAAAATATCACGCCTTTTGTAATACTCATCTTACATTTAAATTTGTTTGAAGAAGACACATATCCAGAACGCTTATTCCCTGTGATTCTGCATTTTTATTAAAAAATTGCTAATTATTAGCTCGAATATCCGCTTTGCTACGGTAGTATGGGTCAGGCGGGAATATGATATTCGGTAACTTAAGTCACGGGTGCCATCGTTCCAGCGGACTATCGCTCGTGTTCGTAATGTGGTTAACAACCACCGCTAGTGTCTGTATGCGACTCGGTCATTTGCATATACAGTAATAGGATTAATTTTGACTGAATTGCGGTATATTGTTACAGAAGGCTGTATATAGCGGTATATTGTACAGAAAGCTGTATATTGCGGTAAATTGTGCAGAAGATCAAAGTTATGATTTTACCTAATCAAGGTCAGTCATGCTAAAATTCATCCATGATTATATTGCAGTGCAGCAGTACCACCGTTGCTCTACATTCTTTCATACAGTTATAAATAGACAATTCAGCCTGCACAAATGCAGCAATAATAAATACTGCACTGGTAATGCTAACAAAATCTATGAAAATGGCAAAGATGTCATTCCAACGTTGGCTAGCTGATAAATCCTAATGATCGATTGATTTTCTAGTCGATCAATGACCGTATTTTGGAAAGGTGAGTACCTAACGGAGCCAAAAAATTTTCTGAAATTGATTTCTGTGTTATGGTATATCAGGTTACCTTTGTTAGAAAATGCTGCAATGCAGCACTAATCTCTCCGTAGGTGTCAAGTAAATATGTACCCGTAGCACCTCATAAAATATGCGATTTATCTGATTGATGCTGTCATAGTTTTCAATGCCACCAATTAAGAACAGTTTTCATTTGTTTTAAACGCGGGCGGTTGTACCATCACCGCGTATTGGTCTGCAATTCCACTGTACTTCTGCAACTTCTAGTTATCGCGTGTTGCGCTTCCGGCGACGTACTGGGCAGTGCACGTTTGGGATGTCTGGTCACTACACAGATCATCAATATCTGCAGTCACGTAATGGATAGTAACAGCACCAGCATCAGCATTACTTTTAATTGATAACAATTTAAAAATATAAAAGCAATTAGTATTATAGTAGTATCATCTTCACACCGCACACCCTAATACATACTTTTCACCGAGCGGCTAATTTTGGACTGTAGCAGTTAACGAAAGAATGAGCAAAAGTACCGCGTATTCTCATCACCGTTCTAAAACAGTGGGCGCTCAAGAGTGAGCGGTGAAGCGTTTGCTCTGCTTCTGCTCTCTTTCAGCAGCAAAACCGGTTTACAGGTGCACTCGCACGTGCGCCGCTGATTTATGCATATATTGCGGATACTGTTCTTACAAATACCGCTGACCGTGTAATCAGTAAGCACTCACTACCAGGTACCGAACGATGCACGAGCATCATCGATTTTCTGCGAATGCGACGCAGCAACAAATACTGCAGTTATTAAACTGTTTGTCTTCTTGGCGTTACTGGCAATTTTTCTTCTTCCTATTTTTCTTTTTTTGAGCTTCCGCAGCTCTAAATTTCGTTTTTGTGCTGATGTGTCTCTTTTTCGCTGATATCTTGTGTTCACGAGTGAGTCTTGCACAGAAGGGTAAATCGCTTTGCACTGATTTTTCAGTTACTAGTGTGGGAATGCTGCATGTGCAAAAGTTTCTGCAAACGGAGCTCACAACAGGAAAGTTACTATCGGACTTCGCATCCAATTTCGTCGGGATCGGATCCTCCGGGGTTCCGCGTACAGTCCGGTGAGTTCACCGTGAACTTTAATGTGTCTTAACAATCGCGTCTGCGCTTCTGCATTAACTGCTTCTGAACGATGCGATTCCTCACATAAAAAGCGTTCGCGCGGACTTGACATTATATTACATCAGATTGATTTTGTTATTCTTGCCGGTACTGGTAGTCCGCTTTACGCGCGTGTTTTCCAGTGATACGCTTTGCGTCATCCCAAGCCGAATCGGAGAGTTCAAACCCGCTCTCACCTTCGGGTAACTGACTGAAAGAGTTGTTTTCTCTTTTTGAATGTTCTTCCCCACAGAAATCGGGAAAAAAATTATGACAGCGACAGTATTTTCTGTTGTCTTGTACACTAATCATTGCTGCAGATGAGCGTCAATAAAATTAAACCTCGGTGTAGAATAAACGTCTATCGGTACCGGTATTAAATTGTGTGAAGTATCAACAACGCCGTGAACGATAAAGAGTATGTGCAGGCAAGAAGCACTGAAGCAGGCCGTGCAGGTAGAAAAGATTAAAGAATACTAATAAAATAAAACTCATGAATAACTGTTTTTGTTAGTGTATGCTGATTTTCTTAGATGTAGTCTGGTACATGTTTCTCAGTCACAGAGCAAGTACACGCTTGCAGGATATTTTTTTCTCGTTCGATTCGCTTTTTCCAAATCGTATGTGCACACTGTGAAGCTTGAACATCATTTTACTTTGAGTATCGTTTAGCATTCAAACCATTTGCTTGATACTGAAATTGTCGTAGATCCCTACAGTTTCCGTCGCAGTTCTACGGAGATTCTGGAGTCGACGATGCCGAGCCTGTTCGTCTCTTCCCTGCACTGTGCGTCCACAATCGACAATTACTGGGAGGTCAAGGAAGCGCGGAATAGTGCGCTGGAGAAGGTTATTACGGGGGTAACGGCGGCGTACGAAACTGCCTATGGCGACCAGATTGCAGCCTTTTCCACATTTATGATTTCGGTGTTGCGAGACGGTCTCGTGCCGGTTAGTTGCAAGTCTGGATAGTGCTCGTACTAGTAGTCTAGCAGTGCTTCCCGTACTGCCGGTAGTCAGATCGTAAGACAATCAAACCTGCGCATCACAACTGATACGCCTGCTTGGTCAAAGGGAACTTTAAAGCACTGTAAATCGACTCAGTAGAGCGCGTGCGAATTGCACTTTCTGCTACGTCCAAACATTTGTTTCAGCATCAACCGCAGACCACACCGTCGCGTTGGCTCAAGTTGGTCGCTACATTTATGAATGGAACAGCCGAACGTTTCTCTATCTTTGCCTCGTTACTGCCCGGTTTTCGCGATTTATCCCAAGACGACCAACGGATCTTGCTGGTGGAAAAGCACTTGATGAGCTGCGTGGTATGTGTGGTTTTGAAGTGTTGTTGCTCCTCTGCGCTTTCCTGGTTTCACCCCCTTCAGTATCCCCTTTTGGCTATTGTCACTACCTTTCATTTAACATCGGCTCTTTTCACAGTCAGTTCCAACAATGTAAGACACGCGACCTACGGATTAATGGTTGTAAATTGTTCGGTATTCTGCAGCAATAATATTATCTTCTAGTTTTAACATGGCACAAGAAGATATGAAATGATTTAAACAACCGTCAGATGCGTCGTTTTGAACTGTTTTTTCTCACCACATTCGGCTTACATGGTTCGATTTGCAGAAATTACAAAATCGCAAAACAAGACTTTGATGGGATACCTGTACGTGCTGTACATGGACGCGTTGTACTGTTCCATTGGGAAGCTTTTGAACGTTGCCGATCGCGAAGTAATCTACGCCAAAGTGAAGATGATTGTCAGCCGATTCCCGCTTGATCGACACAGTCTCGGTGAACTACTTTCAGAACGTTGATATGAATATCGCTCCGGTGCGTGCGCGTTCACTTGGCTTTAAGGACTGCCTGTAAGGTAAGCAGCGGCTACAGACGCCACCCCCTTGGAAAGTTTACTGTATCCAATCTGCTGCGATGCTCGTATACGAGGGGAAGTCAGTAGCGTACCTAGATAATCCCTGTACTTGCTGCAGTCACCGGGCTGGAGTATGACGTTGCGGCAGCACTTATGGCTAATTCTGGCGCGGTATATAAGCACCATGCGAAACCACAACGTCAAAGTCCAGCCGGGTGACGGCAGCGAGACCGAGTACTGGCACTACTGGTACAGGGATCATTTAGGTGCGCTACCGACATCCAGATTGCTCACGACAGCGTTGGTGATGATCTTAACGAAGAAATTCTGCGGTTTTTGTTTGTTTTAGCACTTTTAGTACTGCTTGTTGAATGCAGCACTCCTGCAAGGTTTTTTTCATTTGCACTGTCCCAGTTTACGCACAAATGCGAGGCCATCAAGAAACGCGACCCCATCACCAAAAACGACTGACACGTTTAAGTAAGAAGTGAAACGCCGGAGGCACTTAGCATACAACGGTACACTACACCGGTGTGGTAACATGAACGACATCTACGGGAGGAACTGCATAGGCCGTTTGCGTGGCCGTGTATGCTTTCCGAGTGAAATCACTGTACTATAAAGTTGGAACCATCTGCACTATGTCACTTTCTACACTTTTTCTACGGGAAAATAGAAAATTTTATTGATTTTTAGTTGAAGATATTGTAACTGTGAATAAGTTTATTGCGCTAGCATTTGTAGTTCTTTTGGTTTATGTTGGCCGTTAAAGTAAATTTTTTTGCATCGCGCTTCACAGTGCCGCGCCCGAGCCGACCAGCGGCGCAGCAGTACCGGAAAACCGTTCGAGTAAACCGGTTTCCCTCATTCTGTTTAACACAGATGGGATCCTGCAATACGAATACACCTGCTGAGTGCGTGATCAAAATTTATTCATATAAATGAGACTGCCCGGTACTTCCACTCTTGCCAGCGTAAAAGAAAGAACAACGAAACATCCGCTCCACCGCGAAAAACCTTTTACATGTTTTGACATTGAGACAAAAACAAACGATGGATTCAATACACATATCCACAATCATTTAATGTTTGAAATTGACATAATGATTTGGTTATTTAGTGTTTTGATTATTCATTAATACTGGCCCTCGTCCATGTGCCTGAGAGGCACATTTGATCAATCAGAAATTCATGAAACGCTACACTGGCAGTTGACATCTTCCTAACTAACCCGAATTCCTTAAAAAATTTGTTTGCTTTTCGCTTATTGAAACATTTGGTAGAAATAAATGAACTGAACACTATGAATTCCAACAGCTTCCGGTTGGGGAACAATTGGCAGCCTCCCAGTGTCGCAGCGTGATTTGGCTGCGAATTTTTTGCGAAGTCCTCACTTCTTTCCGGATTCTATTAACCGGTTCAAAAGCAACTCTTTCTACTTGCGTGCTCAATGAAATGGAAGAACGAAGTGTAAAAAACATTTTGCATGAATATCAGAACGTTCTAAACCAGATTGGAACGAACTCATGGGCTGCGCCTGCGCGGCACATAAGAAAACTCTGTGTAATTAAATCATAGACGAATGTGAGTGTTAAATCTGCGGTCGTATTGATTCGTGTACGTACTTTCTCCTGCGAAAATTTTCCGCCTGATTAAGTAATAAACCGAAATTTTTACCGAGGCGAAATTTCCACTAGCCCTGGAGGCGAAAATTTTGCTACTACCGGGACAGCTGTGTATAATCCACATACACGTCGATAATACGTCCGAGGTAATAATTATGCAGTATATTGAAGTAATGCCACTTTCCTCAAGTGTTTTTGTCTCTCTACTCTGTAGTTGAAAAAGAGAATTCGCTCGCTCGTTCAACTACATATGTCGAGATTCATATTCTGGACCCAACTCCCTTTTTCTTTAAGTTCTAATGAGATTAAAATAAGCTGATTGATATGCTAAAAAATTCACAACATAGACTTTATTGACACTGGTGCAGCTTAAAACTTTGACTGTTTATTTAAAACTTTTGATAAAGTAATAATGATGTATATGCGCGCGTGTTCCAAGAAAATTCACAGAGCATAATTACAAAGAGGAGCAGCATGGTAATATTAGCGTTTATGAAGAAAATTTTATAAGTTGCAAGGTTTAAGCAGAGCTGGTCGATTGTGGCATCATGCCGGGATTATTCTTGTTAATGAATTTACAAACAAATATCATGTAAACACGTTTTGGGCCACGGTCGATCTCTTGTTGGTAACATTTTTTTAAACGTATTGGTTAGTGAGATCTGGGAACTGTGGGAAGGCCGTAAGTACCATAGATCTTTCTCCTTCTTATATTAATAATAATATTCAATAGGAATAGCTCTAATGGTAAGCGCAAACGCATTTGTGCATAGTCCATACTGAATAGTAAATACTGCTGCTTTTGTGGGCGGTAGGCTGGCAGCCTACGAAGTGCGCACACTCACTTTACCTGCGAGTGGCGGCGACTAACACGCCAGTTCTACGTAACGTTGATAAACGAATTAGTAAATAATTTATTAAATTATTTTTGTTTATTCAACGTTGAAACCGTAATATTTACTTACTTTTTACTACTGCGGCATCACATTTGCTTACTTTTACTTATTTTGTCTTCGAAACCTTACTATTTAGTGACGTTGATATTTGGATTTATCTTTGTATGTTTAGTCCACAATGTCAGGCTATACGGAATCAAATTTTGCGGTGAGTAATTATAGGCCGTAGGAAAACTATCATTAACTATGCAGCATACGTAGTCTATGCCCGTAATTTAAAATTACTTTATACTTGAATGTCTTTGGCGTCTTTTTTCAGAAAGCTACTGGTCGTTTTGAATGCTTCATTTGCTGCGACACCGGGGGACGAAATTTGCGTCACGATAATAGAATTAAGAGCTGAAAAAATCCGTTAGAAAAAACAGAAAACTTTCTGTTGTTGTTCGCAATAATCCGTAGTGCCCTGTATGTGGCAGGTTGATACTGTACCTAAAACAATGCAACAATAAAATCCGAAGAATTCTGGAGACGTCCGATTGTAGATATGGACGGCCGGGGGTACGAATTCCTCATGTATCTGTGATAAAATACAGCAGGACACGTTGGTCGCTGAACTGTTTTCCGCCGGGCACTCTGGTCAGAACGCTGTTTCTGCCCGGATACTTTTGTCGTTATACCATCGTAATGTGCTTTTAATAAAATCACCGACGCACCATCAGTTGCATGTTTCCTGATACATACATACTGTACATATAGGTAGTATGCTACTATGCACAGCTGGTTCGAAATCTATTTTTAGCCAAAACCGAGTTTTACTGCAATATATTAATCCACCCGATGCAAATACAATGTGAAACTGCTTTTCTCAAATCAGGCAAGGTGTAAAAGGTGGCAGTGGCATGTGCCGTTTTGCGAAATGGCACTTGCCACTGCCAGTGTCAACTGCCAGTGGCAGGTGCCACTGCCACGAAAACTAAAGAAAACAGTTTGCTCGAAACGAAATTACCTGCCACACTTCCGGAAAAATCGCAAACATTTCTTTGCCACCTTTCCACATCTTTTGCAACATGCGAAAATGAGTGTTCTGTGCATTATGCTTCCTCCCACGCCATTGGATGAAAAAGCCCGTTTCACGAAGAGGTGATCACTGCATTTAGGCGCGACGCAGTGAATAGCGTATAGTAAGGCTATATTTTTTTCAAGGTTTCTGCAAAAACTTTTCACGGTGGATGCAGTGACGGCATTTGGCGCAAAGCACACAGTCTGTTTCAAACTTAATTAAATTTTACTGTTACGGGTTACCAACCTCACACGGTCAAACTGTAGTAGCCTTAACGCACAGTAACGTAACGTGGTGAAGCACCTCGAATGTCTCCAGCCAATGCTTATCAGATTTCAAGGTTATAGCGCCATCTGTTCGTGAAAGTTGAAACGGGCTTGTATATCGCTTACTCCACTCTTCGATAACATTTTATATATTTTTAGGGACTGAATGTTTTGTGAAACAAATGTGAAAGAACGCTCTGTCCGAACTATGGAACTGGCTTGTAATGGTCTTTTAATGCAACTGCAATTAGAAAAATTGCCAGTAAGTGGGGCTTTAATGCCGGCGCTTGTAGGCGGCAGAAAGATTTACGGGTTAATGATGTACGATCAAAGAAGCCGCGGCGGTGCATTCTTTTCTTAATATTACTGTTCGCTAGCAAGCCAACCATACAACTAAAATCTAAATTCATCAACAACACTGGACATCACTAACCTTTTTAGGAATACGTACTACGTACATATACTACAACAGAAAGGTTCACCCAGTCCGGCTGATAGGTTTACGCATTTTCTGCCGTTTCTGCAGAAAGGTTAATGCGGTCCTGCAGAATGGTTCACGTAGCCTTCCTATACCTTAAAGCCGAATTTTAGCAGGAAGGTTCACGCGGCTTCTTTGATCGTGAAGGATTAACGCTTAAACCTTTCTGTCGGCTACAGGCGCGCACATCGTGTAAAGGCCAGTACCATTTGCGTTTCGAACTACCGAATACCGTAATTATCGAATTATAAGCCCTGGGTTACAAATGTTGGATCGCCCTACGGAGGGGCTTCAATTACGGGCATGGGCTTGTATTTCGGGGGGGGGGGGTCTATTATATTTCAAATGTGTTTTATTGGCAAGGGCGTAAAAATTACATGATAAATGCACCGGTACCGGTACATACCGATTTCCGGTGCTCAGAAATTTCATTTTTCCGTGAATTTGATTAAAGCCCAGGGCTTCTATTTCAGGGGGGGGGGGGGGTACAATTTTTGAACCACTTTGAGCGGGGGCTCCAATTACGCGAGGGGGGGGCTTCAATTGTAGGAAGGGGGGCCTATAATTCGATAATTACGGTATTTTCATCCAGGCGTGCGAAAATTAGAACAGAATTAACTTTGTATCTAACTAACTTTGATAAAAATCTGAGTTTTGCTTATAAAGCGTATTGAAGCGCTTGCACGAACATACAGGTTGGACACTTCTTATCAGCTATAGTACTTAGGTAAGCCGACCACTCGATTGCATTTAAACCGACCGTTATTGACGAGGAACGCTCCCAACCGCTCCCTGTGAATGCTTTTGCGCATCCGTGAATGCTTGGATCGTTCAGCGTATTGCCCCTGCTGACCCTTTGGCAGAGACCTGACTGCAATGACAACCGTGCAAATTGTCCACCATCAATTATCGGAAACATCACGGAAGAACGTACATGTCAGTGTGGGTTGATTACACTGAGCCGTGTTGTAATGCAGCAATAGTTTCCTGTATTACAGGAAACTACTGGATGATTTCAAGGAATAGCTCCCTTGCGACCCATTTGATTAGTAACATTGTCCCAGTCGTGCAATAGTGTTGCCGAGGTTGCTGGTTGTTCATTACACTTCCTTATTTGAAAAGAGCAGTACACCCTCGCCCGACTGCTTTAAACCGAAAAGAGCAAAATCTATCGATCCAGAAAACAACCGGCTGTGTCGCCAGCGCCACGAGGCTTTGCTATGTGTCCTCAGTAAGTGGGGAGGCGACTTTTTCAATAAAAACCCTTGTCACTTCCATTATACTCAATTAAAACAACCATAATTTTGTTCGATCTAGGCTTAACGAGCACCACTGCCAGTGCAACTGGATCGTTAAGGAAATGATAGCAATAAAACCCTTCGTTTCATTTGTCGACGAGATTTAGCCTAACTTGATGAGGGCTACGCCGCCCAGTCAGGTGAAAACTGTGGCTGTGCGCTTACAAAAGATCAATAAAGAACTCACATGTACCTGCTTGACTGTCATTAGCTACCATTACTACAGTAGGGCATTTCCCTAGAGCGTAGTAGCCGTTACGTACGTATACACCGATGGCGCCGATCCGTTCATACAGGCTACCAGATCCGACCTTGTCTAACTTATGGTTAGCTTTCTTTACATCAAACAAGAAATAGCGCATATCACGAACTTAAGCGCATTTCATAATAACGACAGCCCGAAAATGGCTGTGTTCGTACTGAGCGTGAAAGGAAAGATTCAGCCGCATTGACTATCTGGTAATTTCATTAGCTGTCGCTCGCAATGTACGGCATGGTCATCCAGTCCATGGCGGCATGTCTACAGCAAACTTATGGCGATGTGCTGTATCAAACGATCATCGAATGTGCCGGTATTCCGGTGACTTCCTTCAATACACACGAAGTGTACCCGGATAAATATGTGTGGGCTCTGGTACAAACCGCCACCGAGGTGTTGGAGGAGAATAAAGAACCGGAATATTATTTGGAGATTTTCGGGAGGATGTTCGTCTTGGTAAATATGCTATGCATCGGATTATTAGGATTACGACAGTATTGTGTATGCTATGATTCCCTTCCAGAGATGTAAACGCTGGCATGTAAACGATTGAAACATGTAGTAGTCTTGTCATATTGATCGGTGATACAAGTTGTTGATCGCATGGTTTTATTGATAAGAAAACGCTATTGCTGTGTAAGTAAGGTGTTGTCTACAAAATTAATCTTGATCGTCATGGGATTCGTTATGTAGTGACTTGTTCATCGCGTATAAAAGTGCCTTCCCCAGTTGCCGTAATATGTGTCAAAAACCGATATACCTACTTGTAAGCGCGGTTAAACCGGTTCGGTTCCGTTTGGCGCCAGCCTTTCCGTAACAGAACGTTTTTCTAACCGAACCGTTTAGATTAACTAAACGTTAATTTGATTGGGAAAAAAACGGTTAGCGGTTCGCGTTCCGCCTTCTACGTATAGTCGAGGATTAAGTTGCCATATTTTCGTACAGTATTCGAGGCCTATAGAGAATGCACCCACTCCACGCTCACAGAGCATAATATATTGGCTGACAACTTGTATCCGAAGTGACCCATCGGACTGGCTAAGATTCAAGTTTAGCTGCCACTGCCAGCAAATAACCGCGTGTCATTCTGCATTTATTTTTAAAAAATCGTGAATTTTTTTAAATTTTTAAAAAGCGTAGTATCGTTTCAGAATATTTAAAAGCAAAGTCTTAGATTTCCTTTGAGTTGTTTGGAGATTACTCTGTAGTACGAGAAATTATGAAGTACTTATTTCTTAGTTTTGTTGAAATTTTGGTTTTCAACAGCGATGTGATACTAAGTATTACCATTTATTTTTCCGTATATCATGATAATCTTTACAACCTTTTCCTTTTAATTCCGGTTGTAGTCGGTTGGTTTCGGCAAAAAGTCACTAGCCTCAGCGATTTTTACCCGAAAGTTAAAGTCATTTGCCTTTTGAGAAATATTGATTATGTGTTGAAGTTGAACCGCTTCTGCAACAAATCAGAATTGGTCGATTCGTGGACACCTTTAGCTGCCCCATATTCTAGTCGAAGCGCTTTCCGAAACTCATCCTTTGAATTTATTATGTTTTCTGTTTGGTCAAATAATTTTATACGATTTAGGGAAATCAGTTATGGGACTTACCATGAAACAGAAAGTATCGTACTTATGTAAACATGTTAATAACAGTAATAAAAGTTTTCGTGATTTAATTGCAGCATTGCCATACATATGGACATGACAAGGTACGTCAGAACGTTTTGAATGTATTCTCAGGAATGTTTCAACAAGCGTGATGCAGATTCTTCGCGTGTCTGGCCGCCATTTTCGGGATTTAATTCGCAACATGAACCATCTTCATCACTGCATGCGCTATAGTTATCCCCGAATGACCCATCCATCTTTTGTGGTTGTCGCTGAGGATGTGTCCGGTATGGTTCTCCATTATGAGTCGATACGGCAAGGCTTTGCTCCTTACGTTACCGGTCAGGTAATCAAAGAAAATTAAATTCATTGCCGTTGCTTGACACAACTACGAAGTTTTCGATTGGAACTCCGAAAAGGCGTTCTGTTTCCGTCATATGCAAAAATTAATGACGGTATATTACGGAACAGTGGATAAAATTACATCGGGTAACTTGATTACCATGAAACCAGCAAAATGAGTGGCTGTAGGTCGCAGTGACCCCATCGAAGTCACTTTCATTGAAAAATAATATTTATGTATACGATTTAACAACGAACTATTAACCCGATACGATTCCGATAACGCTACGATTTTGCTCAAAATTTCCGATACGATAAATTTCCGATTTCCGATACGAAATTTCCGGTTCGATAAAAAAATCTAGAATTTTTAAGTGAAAATTCGCCTACCGGGGCATTCTACAAGACTGATTTTACTATTTTAAGAAGCAGGCTGCTGTCTTTTGGCTGAAGGGCGTTTCAGTAATTTCGTTAAGTCATTAAGTGAGGCACCAGCATAACAATTCGGCTTCTGACTCACGTTTTCCTTTAAAAAATTCTTCTGAAAACTTTAAAAATATCGAATTTTTGCATTTATCGGGCGAAATTTCCGCTGTGCTAAAGATGTTGACCGCTACGCCCGATCAGCACTTTTTCCGATCCGCTACGATACGAAGTAAAATATTTCCGATGCCGCTTTTTCCGATGGAAACACTGGAATTATCGGAGTTATCGGACATAGCGGAGGCCTCCGATGTTTTATCAGCTCTAGTTCAAGTACAGAAAGATGTGTGGTGCACGATATAATTATGTAGAGTACAAGGTCATCTCATCTAGAATTTTCGTATACCGAAGAAAGAACGGTGGGAAAGCAATTACAGCACACCACACACATACAATTATGGCAAAACACATACAAGTAATTATGCATATCTTTTCTCGGACAGCTGAAAGAACTAGCCACTAACAGCAAATTCTTCAACAAATCGTATTTCAATGTCTGTGTGATGGAAGAGCGGGAGCTGTTACAGCGTGGATCTTATCTGACAGTAATGCGGTTAGATTTTCCTAATAATGGATATGTGGGCTCAGTGACCGGATACAATCACCACCTGACACCCCGGTTCTCTGGCCTTAAATCGCAGACGTTTTTCAAAATCCTACCCTATAGTTTGTGTGAGTTGTATCAGTTCTGGGAATAAATTAGTCTGCTAGAGTTGCTGTGGCGCACAAGATTTCACAGGGCCAACACATTATTGTCCCGTCGGTTTAATCCGTTTTTTTCAGGGAGTACAAATTGCATTTGGTGTCTTTTTGTTACAGTTCTGGATGAACAGTTGATCGTTAGGATGTGTAGCAGCCGGCTGCAACGATTGTTTGAAGAAAAAGTTGCAGGTCGACCATTGGTGGAGTTCTTCCGGCCAGCACAACCAACTTTTGATTTAACTTTTGAAGAGGTGCGACAAATAACTTTTTATTCAAAACAAGGGCATTACAGCTTAGGATGAAATGGTGGCATACCCAACACATCCATATTCAGTACGCATGCAGCGCAGTTCACTGTATGTACAACCGAGTTCAAAATATCCGGTTCGCACAAGTGCACTGCACCGCATGGGTATGGGGTTATGCGACCATTTCGTCCTAAGCTGCATGGCTATCAGAGTTGCCCCATTTCTGAGTTTCCCATCCCCATTCCCCTTTCCATTTTTTCTTTCCTTTTTCCCCCATTTTCCGCCCATTTTTTATCAGCTATTACCATTGGCTATACGAGCGTTTTTGTTGTTCGTAATTAACAGAACACAGTTGCTACAGAGGTTCTACAGTAGTAGCAATATTTCGGATTTCCTAAATTATGTAGTTACCTGTATTGGCATTTAAAAAGAAACGTCATCTCGCTCTACCAGTTGCTGCACTTCCCTTTAAAGCAGATCGACTTTCGTTTTGCCGGTAATATGCAGCAGAATAATTTAGTCGATAGAACACTGTTTCTTTGTAGATTCTACATTTGCAAGATGTCGTCTAGAGCTGGAATCAGTGCCTACTATTCGCGTAGAAAATCCTTACACCAAACAGAATTTCCGGTCGCCTCATCGACTCTTGCTCAAAGGACAATTCAAACAATTTTCCCCGCAATGGGGCGTATTCTTGAGCTCGACGCCAACGTATGCGTCAAATTACCCCGATGAATTAGTGAGTTATTGGTGTGTTTTTACAGATTGAACGACCTATCCGATGTAGAGCGCATCGGCTTTTATTTGAGTGATCTGCCTCTTCACAGCTGCTCCGCGGAGTTAGCCGCTAGTGTATGGCATTCTCAGCAGATAACGTTCCGTCATTTCAGAAAGAAGTACGTATTTGTACCTACAGTCAACCGGTTGATCAGCTAAAATAATGATTCTGCCTAGGCACATAATCGAAAAAATGACGAACACCGGAAAACAATATTTTTGTGAGGTGAGCTAGAGAGCAACAAGGTATGTTATTAAGAGTGCTTGCCTTTTGTCTTGGTTTTTGTAGCCGTACGACGCCGTCACCATTATGTTCGTCCGATTGTTTGCCTTCAACGTGGTTTGGTAAGCATTCTTCATCCAGCGTTGGTTTGCGTAAACAAGCATCTTAAAAGCAAAACACCAATCAAATTTCTTCAAATACGTAATCGCAGTCGCACGTGCATCCAGATAATTGTGACGTATTTACAGTGTACTCAGCACAGTGCCCCCCCCCTGCAGTTTCATTCCGCCGCAATAAAAAAGAAAATAGTTTTGCGATGGGTTTTCTTTCTAAATGCCTTCATTCCCAAATATAGTCAGGATGTCATTTTTAAAATTTTCTTAGTCCATTTGTTCTTAAAAACGCAAACCCAAACCACTCGACGGAACAAGAAAATATGCGTCTGCTCGCGTATATAACATATATTAACTTCTGATGTGTTATAGCAACATTTTATAATTATAATCTAAATTTTCCCTGCGCTGCAGTTCAAAATTCCGCCGACAGAAGTGATCAAAGTTGTGAGTGAATGCTGGAGTGCGCTGGACACGGTAACTTGTACTTCTTCTCCGACTCCGATGTTTGAAATTTTTTATTTGCTGCAAGGAACACATATTTAGCTTTCTGATTGAGTAATATTAGCTGTTTAATCAGATAGCTACGACGTGTTGAAAGTGGAAAACCGAGGTGAAGAGTACATGGTATGTTGTTAACGGTGACGTCACACCAATCAAGCTCGTTGACCGCTTGCAGCTTTCTAAGCAACCTGTGTCAGCAGATGGACAATCCCGGCCCGATTACTTTTTGAATAGGTCCTAGTGGCATCCCAAACAGACATGGCAACCAGCATGCCAGTGAAACCGCCAGTCTTGCGCTGCATATAATGCAGACGGTTATGGACATGGACTTTCCCCGATTACCCGACCGAAAGCTGCAGATCCGGATCGGGATTAATTCCGGTAAACCCGTCTTTTTAGAAAGCAGTTGGAGGCTATGCCGAAGCTGTACTTTAAGGGCTTTTTAGTTGCTCACATCAGTTACATGCATGATGCGACAATATATGCGTCTGTATCCAAGTTCACGTATACAATATTTAGCACAAAAATCAATGCTTGGAGTTGAAGATCAGTGCTAACAGGGCCTGTGGTTGGGGGTGTTGTTGGACTGCACTTGCCTCGATTCTGCAGATTTGGCGATACTGGTAAGAAAACAACGATACGTTACAAACATGCTCGGGTACATAGTACATACAAGTTTAGCGGGAAAACTGTAAACTGTCGATTATGTACAGGTGTGTAAATCTCAGGATCTGCCATTCTTGCCACATTGGGATTAATTTTCCCAGCATAAAATCTCGAATAGCTCGTAGCAACGTGGTTCCTCTACATCAGTTTTCCAGATTGCTTGTTTCTGGTACGAGTACCTGTACTGACTTTACATGTAAATATTGTATCAACGATGGGACTTATTGCCTGTTGCAGTGAATACGGCATCGAGAATGGAATCATCCGGCATTCGTAAGTCATCCTTAGCTAAATAATACAGCGCAGTTTAAGTACAGCTTTTAAGACCAACAAGGAGTGTAGTTGTGTTCGTAAATCCTAAGCGCATCCGGCATGTAAGCTTTTCCAGACGATGCTCGAAAGTTTCCAGACCAGAAGTGCAACGGTTGCGTATTATTAGCTGCATTTGATTCAACTGCTTCTCGAATTTTCTGTTGGTCAGCGCCCGCGTAGCGCCATGTACAGTACAAGTCATTTCGACTCCTACAACGTTGATTTCTTAATATAATATCATGGAATACCAGGAAAAAAATTTATTTACTTAAATTTCAAAAGCAACAAATCCTAACACGATAGGAAGAACCGACAGAACCGACAATCCCAGAACGCGACGCTTTTCAAAAGATAAATTTTTTTTTGTGTACGGAAGTTTTACGAAACGAATAGTGCGATAGCATTCATAAACAAAACAGAATTTGTGTTCTGGTCCGTCTTCGTTGAGTCAGATTTACGCTCTCGAGCTCTAATACATATTAAGGGATTCGGCCCAGTACATATTAGCACTATGTTCGTGTGCATTGACGTGGATGTTCGCTGTCGCGCACTCCCAAACGCTATTTTGCATTGCTTTATGGTATTTTGTAGCCAAATGATTGAACACAGAGGCTGAAATGTGTTTTTGCGCGCAACATCCGGTTGCAGAGGTATGAGGGTAACTGAATTCGAGGTTGTATGCGTTCGGGTGCTCCAAAAGTCACCTTTTAAAACGATCCCTTTCAAATTTTGCACGTAAATGCATAACCATGAAGATAGTTCATAAACTGATTCGGACACCCACGATTTTTTTCCAATTTTAAAATTAGTTTTAAAAGTTTGACGTTCATTTTAAAATGTGAACAACACGCTAGAACTTTGGATCCGTGTAAGAACGATCTGCACGGCTATGCGCACTTACATGCAAAATATGAAGGAGATCGGTTCATGATGAGACTTTTGGTACACCGAAATGCGTTTAAACTTTTCAGAATTTTGTTACTCTCATAACTTTGCAGTCGGGTGTTGCACGCGCAAACTTTATTTCACACAAAGTTTGGGCTATGTACCGGGCCTAATCCCTTAAAGCTATCATTTTGAACCGTGCTCTATGAAGTGTTTCCGTCTTTATGAAATGATTCCACTTTTCGTAGCTTTCCGGATTCAATGCAGTGAGAGAACACGAAACAATCTCGTAACAACCGGGAACTTTGAGCTGAAGATACGTGGGATAATGAAAATCAAAGTAATTATCCGTGCGATGTTTTTCTGTAGTAATACACGCAATAATTATAATTGGTTGTATTTGGCATCTGGTTGCAGGGAAAAGGTGATATGAGAGTGTACTGGCTCATTAGTGAATATGGATCGGATTTCAGTATTGAAACTGAAGACTAAACGCTGTTTTCGACTCTTTGTGGCGACTTTAACGCGATACAAAATTTGTTTGAAGCGTGCACTTTTTGCGCAGGCAACAGTGTTTCCCCATAAAAATGCAATGAAGAATGGCTTTAGTCAGTCATACGGGTATAATTCTGAACTTTTAATAACTTTACGATTGCTTTTATGCGGGAAATAACCTTATAACGGCCTACTGGACAGGCAAGCGAGTTTTTTTAATTGGTTACACAAATGAACATTGGTTAAACGCCAAATCAATCTAATCTACACCTATGGCACGGTTAGTACACGATAAATTTTTCAGGACACTCTCTAACGGATGTATCCATAGTATCCCACAGTATGCTTACGTATGCCACCTGTATCCCGTAAGCGACCTTTATGTATCCCTACCATTCAGTTTAGAGACCCCGCTGTACCCGCCCCGTATCCCACAGTATGCGTACGTATGCTACCTGTATCCCGTAAGCGACCTTTGTGTATCCCTGCCGTTCACTTTAGAAACCCCGCTGCACCCGCTCCGTATCCCACAGTATGCTTACGTATGCCACCTGTATCCCGTAAGCGACCTTTATGTATCTCTGCCGTTCACTTTAGAGACCCCGCTGTACCCGCTCCGTATCCCACAGTATGCTTACGTATGCCACCTGTATCCCGTAAGCGACCTTTATGTATCCCTATCGTTCACTTTAGAGACCCCGCTGTACCCGCTCCGTATCCCACAGTATGCGTACATATACCACTTGTATCCCATAAGCGCCGTTTCTGTATCTCCACGGTTGTTCTGAAGGACCCCGCTGTGACCGTTTCTTATCCTGCAGTATACATACGCACGCCAGTTTCATCCGTCTTGTGGGTATACCGACCGCCGGTACCAGTGCCTCTGTTTTTTTTCGAGACATCGTACGGTATGCCTATAATTTAAGCTACCTCTGGTTCGGGAAGTGTTTAAAACCAGGTTAAACGTAGGAAAACTAACCCTGGAAAAAATGCTTGGAAACGAAAGAGGAAACAGAATCTCAAAAGCGCCAATTAAATACAAAAGTTAACTTATTTTGTATGCCAAAAATTGATCTGTCGGTCCGCGTTCGTGCATAAAATCGTCGTATATACCATCTCGTACATATATACATACATTTTCCAAATTTTTTCCGGTAGTGCAGTTAAAGGACGAACATTGGTCACGGCTTCAGATAATCTGAAACTGTACATACCGTATTTATCGAATTAGAAGCCCAGTGTCACAAATATTTCAAATGACCCACGGGGTGGGCTCCAATTACGGGCATGGGCTTGTATTTATGGGGGGGGGGGGCTTCAATTTTTCAAACCAGCTTTTTGGCATTTTTTAATATGGGGTTTATGGTATTTAATTAAGCCCATGGGCCTCTATTTCGGGGGGGGGGGCTTATAACTTTCAAACGACCTTGGGGTGGGCTCTAATTACGGGGGGGGCTTGTATTTGGGGGGGGGCTTCAAATTCGATAATTACGGTAAGTAAGCATTGTACGATGTGCATTGTGCGTAACACTGTAAAAGCGCAGCACCGATCGCTTGACAGCAGAACCAGTGCGGCATCCAAATGTAGGGAAACAACTTCAGCAAGGAGACTGGGCAAGATTCTAGATCGGATCAACCATTGCGGCAACATCGTAAGGGATTCTGGCCACTGTAGCATCCACGCTGAATTTAAATCCTTACAATAAAAACAAAATTAATGGACACAATATTCCAGCGAAGATAGATTAGCCCTACCTTATGCCTCGGAGCGATATATAGGATACTGTACTATGAGAATACAGCGATACATCATAGGATACTACAAGAAACAGCCTCGGCTTCGCCTCAGCGTTTCTTGTGGTCCGAGTCTACGGCCGGTTTATTCAAATGATTTCGATCAGCTGTTTAGTTAACATCTTATTCCTTCAGCAAAACAAAACGGTCCGAAAGTAGCGCTAAAACGCAGACAGGATAATAAGTGAATTTACGGCTTTGTGCACTCATTTACATTAAACTTGACGCATTCACATTGACTCAGAAAGGAATCTATGTTAACTTTTCCATCCCGACTCTGAGTCTACGAGGTAGAAAATTTCAACGTAAAGAACGATTGCAATAGATGCTAGTGGTAGTTCGGTTACTCGTTCACCTAGCGGGCCGTGTGGCGTGTGCTCTGGACAGCAGCGATAGTTCGGTCACTCGTTCACCTGTGCTCAGATGATGGAAACGGTTTTCGCTGATTCTACACGGGAAAGCTGGGTTCGTGTATCCCTTTTTTTGTAATAACAGAGATCTCGAATGTGGATACCGTATTACTATTCCGTTATACGGAATAATTTACGGTCTGTATATGCTGATTAATTAATTACTGTCCTTAGTTTTGCTCGGACTGCAGTGAAAGGTCAGCCCGTTTGAACGATTGCGATGGTCAGCTTCTTTTACAGCTGCCTTCAGGTGGCTTTTAACGAGCGTTCTTATTCTTAACTCATGTTTTTGAGCGCTTTAAATTGTTAACGATTTATTGAAACGAACCAATCCTCTAGCAGCATCGTTTGTGTTACTGCTAATATTACTGGTTTTCTAGTTTTATAGGAGCAAAATTTTAAATATTTTTTATTTGCTGATCTAAAAAGGTACCAGTTTACATTTACTGATTTTTTCTCCATGCAACCGGACTTCGAAATTATTTTCAAAGTCACCTTGAGCTTTCAGTTCTACCGGCACCGGCACGGGGCACGGGAGCCGGAGCGAATAATTTTTAAAACAAAATGCATGTGACACAGTTTCCAGACATGCGGAATCGAATGGCGTTATCGGTTTTTCGATTAATTTTTTGGTTTGTTCTGACCAGATCGTACGGGGTTTTACGTTATAATATAGATCTTTACCTTGATAAGATTACAGCATAGCATACAGTACATGTACAGCGATTCAGCACAGCTGCGGTACTGATACAGCGGTACAGAATAGGGTACAGTAAGGATACAGTACTCTGGTGAGGACCCGCAATCACTTTTCGGGTCCCAACATCTGGATCCGGTAGAATACAGCGCGCTGGTATACAAGTATGTATACGAGGGGATGTCAGTAGCGCATGCCAGCACTCCCTGTCCTTGCTGCCGTGAACCGGCTGGAGCTTTACGTTGTGGCTAAACATGGTGCTTATGTACCGCACCAGATTCAGCCATGTGTAGTGCCGTAACGTCACACTCCAGGCGGGTGACAGCACCAGTACAGGGGATTGCTGGCATGCGCTACCGTCATACCCTCGTATTGCAGCTACACCTGTGCCGTAACTGAGGTATTGTTAGTGCACGGAAACAGGAAGGATTTAATTTAATTTCGTTGATGTAACGCTGCTCTGACAGTATGTCGGAAGGTTGTGCATTTTGTAATCATGTTTTAAAGTCTTTCCCAGTAAACTGAATTTGTATCGAAAACCTAGCTGCACTGGTGCCGGTAAAAGTTATTACACCTACAACACACAACCAGATACTGATCCGCGATTTAAAAGCGATTTAAACTGAGACGTTTCCGCTTTTGGAACGGCGAATAGATGACCCGATACGGCCAGCTGGTGCTTTACTAGTGACGTTGCGAAAACGCGCTTCTGGTGGCAGTTGCTTGTCGCTCGTCGCTTTTATCCAGTCTGCGCTCTATCTCTGATAGACAGAGCACAGACTGGATAAAAGCGACGAGCGGCAAGCAACTGCCACCAGATGCGCGCTGCGCAACGTCACTACTGTTTATATAATGGACGACAAAATTTGCTTAACCTCGGAACCGGTTTTGCGGCTTTAGCTTTAGACAGAGAACAGAGAGAACACGGCTGCCGCGCTTCTGCTCAGTGAGCTGCTGTAGCGACGGATATGCGGCGCTAATTCATCGTGTGCGCTGTAAGCCGACAGCGGCTAACGGTCCGGAGTTAAGTAAATTTTGTCTTCCATTGTACTTCGGTTTGCCGAATAATCTGGTCGCTTTAAGCATACGTTTTCCTATGGCAAATGATTAACAGGAACGAGACCGAATGCAGATTTGTTCGTTGTAGTTTGTTTATTAATCAAGTACCCGTAAAAAAACCGATGGCGAACAACCTTTGTTCCTCAACCAATGCACGCAATAGTGCGCTTTCCAAGTTTATACCAGTTGAAAAGGCCAACCTTTAAAATTTTAACTGCCACGTGTACTACGACTCCGCTCGTAGACTGGTCAAACCTTCTGTACGGGTCAGTACATTGATCACCAGCCCCTCATGCGGCGTGTTACATGATCCGTTATCCTAAATCTTGTGTTACAAGTTTCCAACTTACACTTTTAATTTCTATATTGCATTTTAAGTGATAATGAATAAACTGAAAGTCCGGCGTAAGGTAAAAATAAGCGAGATTCCGAGGTTTCTGTGACGTTTGTGCGATTGGTGATCATGTTGGTTATTACTTGTTATACAAGTAATGGTACTTAGATTGGTAATTATCATAGCGTATACTGTGTCTTGGCAAAGAGAATAAAAGTTGAATACGTGAAAGGGATAGAAAATAACTTTTTAAAATCTCAGTGAAGTTGAAAAATCATAATACATGGGTGATCAAAGTACTGACCCGTACAGTAAGTTTGACCAATCTACGAGCGAAGTCGTAGTATTGCGTTTTTATGATACTGAGATATTCCTTCCTTTATGGATTTTCCTTTTCTGCGCCCCTTGTGCTGTCGAGGGCACTTACGGTCTTACCATATATAAATGCAGATGCTCGCGAAGACCATCTGCGACTTAAGCAGAGAAAGCGGAATTAATTGGATTACACACACGGACTTCCGGAGTGCGTTGTGCTGTAAACATCCTCACCGGGCAGAAAGTGATCACAATGTCCATTAAACCTTCTGCACAGTGTGGATATATTCCAAACTTTAAGTTATTAGTGCCCAAAAAACTGATAAATCGAATAGAACATGTTTCCAGCAATTTAAGCCAGCATGAATAGTTTCATAGTTGGCAATCTGACTGAAGCTAACGTGACCACCCCGAAATTTGACAGCAATCTAACCAACATTACGTGGAACTTTCCAGCCGGTTTCAGAGTATTTACCAGCATTTCCACCTTTATGCTGAATATAACTGCTTGCAGTGTGCTGATTCTGAAAACAAATCAGCACCGCTCGTTTTTCATTTACCTTATCAGCCTGCTTGCGTCCAATATTCTCTACTTGATTCTAACCGAATTTTCTGATATAATTCACTGGCTCAAGCCAAATTGGTGGTCGGGAAATGCGGTCTGTAACGTTTACTATTACGCTATAGGAACTATAAACCCGTGTATGATCTGGACGCAAGTTCTCATCACCTGTAACCGAATAGCAGCTGTGACCTTACCGCACTATTACCGTATGTATCACTCGACGTTCTTGGCCGGTGCGTTATGTGCTTGGATGTGGATACTGCTCCACGTGGTAAATCTGCCTTTAATGATTAATGATTCGCTTTATTATCGCTGTTCCGGCGAAAAGTATGGATGCAACTGGAATTTTGCGGCGCAGGCAACGTACGCCCAGACTGTCGAGATCTGTATATTCGATTTGCCGATTGTGATTGTTCTTGGAGGTTACCCGTACCTGCTTTGGAGAACACTCAAATTAAGACGCACTAAACCAGCAGGTTGGGAAATAACCGGAAGAGATACAATCAGCAGCCGAAACGCTTTGAGCAAAGAGAACAGGACAGCGTTTATGGTTTTAACGCTGCTGACCGTTACTGTTGGTGTCAGCTGGACACCTTCTTCTATTGGGTTTCTGGCAGCTGATTTCGGGGGGTTCTATTTTCCTGACGAATTTTACCATTATGCAAACTGGATTGTGGAGTCCCAGGCAGCTGTCGATGCGATCATCCTCTTCATAAGCGTGAAGGAATTGCGCAATTTCTGTCTGACCCTCGTAGGACTGCAGAAGAACGGTAACAGCGGGAGGTCGCGACAGGTAACGGATACCGTACAGCATCCTCGTCCGTCCACGCGTGACGCTGAAAGATCTGGTGCAACATAGCAGATCGATCTAAGATGTCTCGATCTAAGAGACCTTTTCAAGAGTTTTATTGGCCAAGGCTTGTGAATTTGTTTCCTTAGAGAATCGGATCCATCGGGCGCCATGCAGTACTAAAAATTTTCATTTTAATTTTCGTTCATGCAATACTTAAAATTTCCATTTTCATTCACTTCTAAAAATTTTCTTTTTCACAGCAACCAACTCAGGTGATTGCCAGATCACCTGAGTTTGTTACTATGTGCCGGGCAGCTTTCTAACAGTCTGTCTGAGGTCGAAACCTAGCAGTCTAAGCGGTTGAATAGGTTACTTAAATATTTCGGAATGCTGCTGCTCAGTGCGAGATCACACAGAAACGGTTCGGTGTTATGTCAAAAGTAATCGTACCGAACTCTTATACGTATCTGTAGCGCATGCATACTTGCGGCTGGTGATCGTTGATTAGAGCAACCCGCGGGTAGCACGACAACTCTATGACCTTCATTTCGCTGACCGACAGTTTGATGACCAACTTGTTGCTGACTACCACAGCTTGCTGACCGACAAATCGCTGACCGACAGTTCGCTGTTTTACAAACTGGCTGACCGACATCTTGCTAAAACTAAATGTCGGTCAACAATTTAGTAAGTAAGCAAGTTGTCGGGTAAACATTCTGTCAGTCAACAAAATGTCGTCAGCAAATTGTCGGTGTCAGCAAACTTTCGTTCAGCAAAATGTCGTTCAGCGATTTGTTGTTTCAACAAACTGTCGGGTCAACATTTTGTCGGTCAGCAAATAGTCGTCATCAAGTTGTCGGTCAGCAAGATGACCGTCAGCGAGTTGTCGGTGTGCCCAACCCGCGGACGCGACGCTCTTTGAGGCGGCAGATAAACTCTTTACTCTGGAAAAAAAGCCCAATGATATCTTTAGCGCTGAGCTAGACGCAAGTAAATTTCATTTAAAAGAAAATGGTGTAATGAACCATAGTGGATATTCAATCACGTTCAGAATGCTGGCTCGAGGGTACCCACAGGAGAACCTCAACCTGAATAATAAAACATAGCTGTTGTATGTAGTGTATGTTTAATAAAAGGGAAAGCTATGAAAATTACAGTATTGTTGATGTTTCATCAAGGTAAGGATGTGGATGCTGTGCCCACAAGGATCTAATTTCTGACCAGTGGGACTCTCCGGGCGTCGGGTGTTTTAATCCTTATCGCAGATTACGTGGCTGTTAATGTAACATTCAGTGACACCTAAACTCGAAAAAACAAGAACGACTCATTAATAGGCAAGTGCTGGGTGCTGCAGAGAAAGAGCTTTCTTTCCAGAGATTTGAGTTCATTGCTCGAGTCAGCCGGATATCGCATCCACAAAAGAATATCGGAATTTCACAGTATTACTTCAAATTACACCAACGCAGCCGTCCTTAAACTTGACACTTCTTTTACTGGCACATCGTAAAATTTCCTTACTGCTTTCACAGTAATTACGAACATCACCACGTTTCTGATGAAATCATCTGTTGGTACCTTCCAAATGAGCTTTAGTCTTGTGCAGACGGGCCTGGCAAATTCCGTGTACGACACTTGCGCGGGTGATATTTCCGAGTCAGATTTTACATAGGCGTATGTAGTGGTACAAGCCTTTTGAGCTCCTGCTGCGTTTTCTCAGACAATTTACCTGCTCACTTCGTATCAAAATGTGGAAAATTCATTTCTCTACAAATTGTTATTAAAAGTGTCCAAGAAAAGCTGAGGCAAGCGTTTCAAGGAGAGCTTCACCGAAACGATCCAAATTCCAAATCTCCTGTTATACTGCCACCACCCTCGTTTGGCAGTACGATGCCGTAGAGCAAAACAAGACTATTTCCTTCAAACGCATTTTAAAACGTTCATAAGATTAGACTTGACTCATTACGTACATACCAGAACGTAGAGAAATTAATCCTCTAAATGCAACTCTCTGTCTGACAGTCATAACCACTTCGCAACGCGGTATAACAAACGCAAAATTAACTCCGGCATTAGAGCCCATGCAATCATTGACTCCGAAATATTAGGTGCACATGTGCACTGCAGTGCCCGCATGCACAAGTCTGAACTACATTGGCATAAAAACGCGGTATAATGTTTTCAGTTTTCACCTGATCAGTTTTCAGTCGCAACAATTATTATGTACCTACTCCTCATCAAATATTACAATTCCATTGTTTGACTAGAACCTAAAACTGGTGGGCTATGATCCACCAGTTTTACGTGATCTATGATGTCTTCCTTTACGATAACGGTGTATCACCATAGATATGGATGACTTCGTACACGTATAATTTTTGAGACATGTTTTTTTGCTTGTACCGACGGTATCCCGTCGTTTCCCACGGTATCCTTACAATTTTCTCACATCTGTTCGATTGCTGCCGTATCTCTGCAGTTCAAATGTATCCCACATGAACCTCTTAAAAAACCTAATAAGGAATCTAAGAAAAGCTATGAACACTAAGAAAACCTAATTACGGGATGCACTGAGAATACGCAAAGGATATCGTGGAGATACTGCGGGATACGCTAATTGAAAAGAATGACCACATCAACAATATTTGCAACACGTGCAGAATACCCACTAACCAGGGAACATTTTCGTCCTCCAAATTCAAAAAATTCTCATGTATTTTAAAATGATAGTGTACTATTGTAGTATGCTTAAAAAAATATTTCATCTGCCATCGTCAAGGGGCGTGGCCAGACAACAGTTAAAAGTTTGCATGCTCTCACATACTGTGTAATGCAATGCAGAACAAGTATTACTCGTAATTTTATTATTGTGTTAACTTTTTACTGCAGCACCGCAAACTTTTGCAGCTGTCGAGTAATGATGTAAAAGTACCCCACGTGCGTTGGCTCGCGCCATTGCTGCCTGAGTACTCATTTTCAAAAATTTATCATCGATTTGTGTTGTAAACAATAAGTCGTGCAACAAAACTCTTTCGTCTAATAAACAGTTATGTGCTTCATAACAAATTTTCGAAAAAGTGTACTCAGGCAGCAGTTGCGCCTGCCGACGCACGTGGGCTTCTTTTACATCATTACTCGACAGCTGCAAAAGTCCACTGTGCTGCAGGAAAAAGTTAACGTAGCAATTACGAATAACTTACCTATACTGCAATGCATTACACAGTATGTGATAGCATGCAAACTTTTAATTGCTGTCTGGCCGATGGCAGATAAAAATATTTTTTTAAGCATACAACAATAGTACACTATCATTTTACAAAACACGAGAATTTTTTGAATTTGGAGGACGAAAATGTTCCCTGGTAAGTGATGTAGCCAGTATCCCACCGTATCCCACAGTATCCTTTCCTTCATGTGTCCTGCTGAATGCGGGTTTAAGGGGCATCAGTAACTGCATTATCCCAACGTATCTTAACGTATCCTTACTTTATCCGTCGAGTATCCGGACCGGATAACGGCAGGGGGTAAAACGTGGCAGTGGCCCCTGCCAGTGGCACTGCCAATGGCATGGCAAGCGATAAAGCCTGGAGGCTTTGGCAACTGGCAGGCGATAAAATGCGGCAGATGCCACATAAAATGTGGCACCATGCATAAGCGGATCGGAGATCTTTTGTTACCGTATATTCTTGAAACCCTTAACAGTAAATATTCAATTTTTCCTTCAAAAAGTTAGCAAGTATTGGCCATGCTGGCACATGCACAAAGTTCGTAAACAAGCTCCGGCATATATGATTTCAAAAGGTCATGCAATTTGCTGTCTGCTCAACGTACCACTAATGCAATACAAAGGTTAAGAAAGGGCATTTAAATGCAATTGAGACACTTCCGGATCTAGCAAGCACACGGCTGGAATATGCCTCGCGGTTCATCATGAAGTTTTAATCGATTAATTAAATGCAGCTGATCGACAAGTCTCACTGTCAGTTTGCATCGTAACTAACACCAAGTCACGAAGTAGTCAAAGCTTCGTCCAGCCCGGAGCAAACTGACACGTTTGTTTCGAAAATTGTTAATATAAAAGTTCAAAACAGTTTTACTGGTTTTTAAGCTATTTTAGCACTTTTTAAGGAGCCGTACTTCAGCAGTTTAGCGCACCATAATATGTAAAATTATGCGCGCACACAAATGGCCCACCGACATTTCATCGATTCGTCGACTAACACTTTGTCGACCGACACAACGTCGACCGCACTACGTCGACCGTCCCAAGAGCATATGAAAACGCGACTAATATGAAAACGAGAAAATATCATAAAACATAAGAAAGGAAATATAAGAAAGGATAAAAAAAAAGAGACGGAAACATAGAAATACTCGTATGTGTATAAGAAAATTTAAGAAAACTAGGACGGTTTAGCTAAACACCAGCTCGACGCCGTATCTGTTCGACAAAGCGATGGTCGACGAATTTTCATCGTCGAAATGGCGAGCGGGTCGCGAAGACTAATCCCATCCTAATCCCAAATTTAATTTTATACCACTGCCACTCTCCTGTAAACTGCAGTAATAATTCGGAAATGAGTTCATGCTGTATAACGCTCACGTTGTACTAGAAAGTGGCAATGATTATCCCCAAAACTGCATTAGTAATTTTTTGCACATAATGCAATTAAATTATGTACTGAGGATACAGTATAGCGATAATAATATTTTTGCACTGTATGCATTACGTTGCTTACTGTATTTCGCCTAATATAGATCGATTTTTTCTGTGATTAGGCCAGTCGTTTCTGCTGTTTGATAACAACAAACTTACTGCGATACTAATACTGCATGCTTAAAAATAGAAACAATACTCGTAATGTTAAAACAGCAATTAATGGTAATGGTGCTAGTGCTCATACTTTTGCAATCCTTAAGTGAAAAATTTAAAAAAATTGAGCAGTATAAATGCTAATTAAACATACCCAGTAACACTCTACGGCAGGCCATCAGTATTATACACAAACAGTTTCGGACCGGGAAGGAAACTCCAGTGCTATAATCGTTTGTCAACATTACGAGAACATGTCTGCAAGGAAAAAGACTGTTGAGTGAAGCCGCGTTTTTGCGAGTGTTTCGACTACAGACTACGGGCAAATGCCAGTAAGGTGGCAAACACTAACAAATGTAAACAGTGTGTCATGTTTTAATTTTTTATCTAGTTCACTACAATTCCGGCTAGTCCCATCTGCTCGGTATCTTGCATGCATACTTGCACGTGAACTTCACTGTTGTTACAAAAAACCGGTGCCAAGTACAAGCGCGCTTTTACATTTACAGTGTAACTCCACAAACAGCTAACCTTATCTTCTTGTTTTGCTAATTGATTATTTTGCCCGTTGCATAGAGCGGCGAAAATAAGCGTGTGACACAAGCAGATGAACCCGAGAGGTACGCAAAATACGGTATATCCTGCTGTGCGGTGTGCGTATGCTAAAATGAGCATTGTGATTCTAATTTCTGGCGCTAGTTTTAGAGTGGCTAACAATACCGGCACCTGCCGCTGCTGTCACGTTCATGAAATGTGGACTCTATTAAATTGGCTAGGAATTACAGTATCATAGTGACGCGCGACGTCAAAATAAACTCGAACTAGCCTGTATCTGCGTTCACGGTATTTGCGACTATGATGCCGGTTTGGGTAAGTTGTGTAGTTTAATTTGTTGTTCCACCACTTTTTGCTTTAATTATTATTGACATTTGGCAGATTTTTCTTTAAAGCTTCTAATAAGTCTGAAAACACTACTCTGTACTATACATTGTGTACTTTTATTATGCTTAAATATAAAATTTTGATGGTTTACACGTTAATTTAAAAAGGTCATACATGTATTACCAACAAATTTCGTACAGATATGCTTGCATATTCAGTACTTGCACATTACAAGCGTCAAGTTCAAAACGAGGACTAGATTAATAAATTATCAGCGTAACTGTGTGCTGTAGGTATTATTTTAAGTTAGCTAAGGTGGTAATGAGTTTGTCGCAGCGCTGAGCGCTGCATAACATTTAAGGAGATGCTGTGGTTTAACCACCGCCCGTGACTTATACCTATTATTATACAAATACTTTTGTACTACAAGCATTCATGCTGTTTATATGTACATAGTATTTAAAGTCTAAACTTGGGAACACACTAAAAATATGTAAACATTTAGACGTATGAAGAATATAACACGTGCAACATAAGAATAGCGTTTTGATATGAGCAGCGCAAGTTGGTTTCTTTCTGAGATCGTACGTATATTTTTAGTCTGAGAGTTTTGCTACCGGATGCCAAACATCATACAAAAGCCTCCGTGGCAGGTTGCGTTGCGTACTTCGAAGTTCAAAGCCATAACACAACCTGAGTTTTGCTACTATTGTCACACCGGCACCGGTAAATATCTTGCAGTTATAATTGTAACACCGTTTTTTATGACTTAGGGGGTTCTACAGAGGGTAGAACCCAGATTACAGCCTGACGCATCGTGTATCATGCTGGTACTGTACCATTGCCGCCTACAGTAATTCTGACTGTTCAGTCGGAACTATTGTAGAGCGGCAATGACTGTATTTAATACTCTACCGCACTTAGGTAATTATCGGTATAAAGTGCCACGATAAAATGCTTTTATTCCAGCATTGTGCCTAAAGGGTGTATCGAGGTTGTATTTTTAACGCGGCTTTTCGTTCTTTTGTTACGGTACTTCGTGCAAATAGCAAGATGCAAAGTTGACCTTTTGAAATGTTATGAAATACCGTCTGCACACTTACGCATTTAGTGCACGGCACATGAAGGTAGCACTTTTCAGGAAAATTGACTGTGTTCTGATAAGAGTTTTAAGTATACACAATTCACGAAACACACCGAGCCCGCTTATACGTGGTGCCACATTTTATGTGGCATCTGCCACGTTATATCGCGTGCCAGCTGCCAGATACTCCAGGTTTTATCGATTGCCATGCCTTTGGCAGTGCCATTGGCAGGTGCCACTGCCACGTTTTACCCCCTGCCCCGGATAACACCAAGTCTTACATTCGGGATGCACATAAGGATACTGCAGAGATACGGTGGAATACAGCAGCAGCTAAAACAAAGTGCACAATTTGGGGGATACATGAAGGATCCGCGGAGGATACTGTAGATACTGTGGATACAACTTAAAACACATGCCCGAAAAATTTAAACGTGTACTATTTGTGCCATAGGTGTATCTCCAACCTGTATGGGTTATGCGAGTTTTTGGGCAACCTTTCCCCACCATGTTGAAGTGGTTCGAAGTCATGCGCGAACTCTGATTTTGACTGGCTTCGCTTTCCCGATTCTCACCACTGTCGGGGCGTATCTGTATTGTTATGGAATACAACTAAACAACGTCGGGTACGAGTTGCCGGCACTTCACATCAAGCAACAGACACAAAACACTCAATATGTTCCGCTAAAGAGACAACACCACTGTTATTACTAATTCGTCTCTTTCAACCCTCGCATTGCTGGTTTTCGGGGTGTGATCATATATTTAGCTGTCGTTTTGAGGTGTTTTTGCTTTCCCGGGAGAATTTTACCAGTATGCAAGCTACCACCGGAAACGGAAACTATACTTTTACTCAGTAATATCTCATCAGGCGGTGTTTTTCAAAAAGATCACGTGATTTTTATGACTAAAGATCTGTATAAGCCTTCTTTAGGTCCAGTTTACTTTCTCCAGAATCCTTGATTTTACTTTCTATGCTACTCAAACTGTTTTAAAATAAAGAGTGTGTTCGTTAGGTCGGGCGCAATATCCAGATTACAAAAAGCTATAAATAAGCAAGTAATCAATCAGTGAAAGCGGTTCCGAAGATAACTAAAGGTAACCATGTTAAGGAAACTAAGGTAATATTGTTCAGACAAACCCCAGCCGCCACTGCCGGTCGCCGCGCAATATGAATCTTTCATCCCTTGTAAAATTTGTGGAAATACTCCTGCTGTAAGGTTGCGTTCCGCAAAAAACGCCAGACCTCTACTGAATAGATGTCACGTTACTGCCAACGTATACGGTTGGCCTTTTTGGTTCTCGTAGTGTATTTAAGCGAGAACGTTTCCACCAAGAGGAGCAGTACCGCCGAGTGCTTCCGAGAACAGCCGGCAGTGCTTGGCGACGGGTGCAGTACAGCGGACCGCTTCCGGCCAGAACATACACTGCTTTGCGAAAGGTGCAGTGCCGAGGTGCAGTGCCGAGTAGCGAACTTTATCAGCAGTTGTTGCCGAATGCCGTCGGACTGGAGAGAATATACTGCTCATGGGAAATATTCTTAAAAAGCCAGGAAAGCGGCTTGACAGTCGATCTGGCTAAAGTAAAGTTGCACATACAGCGCGAACGGAAACTGAATGCTGTAAAAAAGCATGCCGAGCCAATGGTCTCTACAGCAAAGGAAACAACGGGAAGTGCAGAACACGGTGAGGAAGAAGTGCCGATAAACGGTGAGCCATCTGCAGCTCATCAGGACGACTACTCCTTGTCCTTGAATTTTTCTTCCGACTTCGAGGAACTGGAAGACGAGCCTGTTAATGAAAATAACTGCGGAACCCATTAGGTTTCGTTGCGTGCAGTTTTGATTTCGGACTCCTGGTGTAATTCACTCGTAACGGTACTTACTGACATATACTACTTAACAAGTATACTACATGCGTCAAAGCAGACTTCTTTGTTGTACAAGTGCGGTTCGGCGGGACGTTACGCGTGACCTTTGGAATATCACATTTTAGAAATGAATGTGTTATTTGAGAAGAACTAAAGGAACAATGTTGTGCTAGGAACGTGTTTTCATAGGCTACGATTGGCTTAAAGTAGGTATATCTACAAACATAAACTGCAACCAGTATTTCTAACACCAATCACATCACTTCCTGTTCCCATTCCCACCACACGTCCACCTGGACAACCCTACGAATTTTGTTGAAGTTCAGACGAGAATCTGATGATTTGCTTTCACATGGAAGCCATTTTCAGGAGAGCAGTTGCGCTTTTCAGGAGAGCAGTTGCGCTGCCATCCCAGATATGCTAAGGTATACACTAACACTAAAATTTGTATGGCGGATCATACTTGCTTTATAAATACGCTTGTATAGCTTAAATTTTGAATTACCTACTTCAACTGTCGAACACCACTCGGCCGTTAATCCAAACGCGAGTGGTTTTGTGGCTTCTTCAGCCGCATCTCTAGAATGTCGATACATCCACACAGTTGTTGTTGATGCGGGCATGACCTCTGCAATAATCTGCATTAGCGGTCAACTGGTGAAAGCTTGCGGTAAACGAGATGGTAAGTCAGTTTTATTTCATTCGCCCTCCAGATTTTTTAGGTGCAGAGGACAATAAATTCATTTAAACAGGCTAACCCAATAGCACCAATTCCGTACAAAAAGCATACTAACAGCACAAAATCCGCAATATCACAAAAGTCATTCTTGACCAAACGGTTCGAACACCAAATATTCCTGCCGCAGTCATTTTGCTACCAAAAACAATGAAAGTTATCTAGTAAAATTGGCGCTTAACACTCAGATCATGACAAGATAAATCAACAAAATATTAATGCAAAAAGCGGTGCGTGCTACGCTAGAAAATGGAGGAGAAAAACAAAGGTCGTCTAACTGGACAGTGCCATTGTTGGTTGCTCTAGGTGGAGTGACGGGTCAGCAGGAATCCACCAAAAATAATCGGATTGACCACCGAAAAACTCATTCCTGCAATTTATTTTCCTTTTCGTAGTTCATTTGCTGGTTTTACTAGAGTATCCAAGGGTAAGAAAATTCATAAAAAACCAATGGTATCTCGTTAACCTGTTTTTCCTGGCTTATATCAAATTCGATTTAATTCACTTTATCTTATTGCATGCTTTTAAGTTTTTTCAGCAATCGTACTTCGTTTATGTGTAAGTTTTCTCATTTGCATGAGAGCAGCGCTTACCGAGACAAAAAATAATGGTCATTGTTTGAGTGGAAATGCTCCACTGGAACAAATACCCCAACATTCCCACATAGTACGGGACTACAGTGCACGAGAACACGGTTAAGTATGCTAATGTTACCAGGAGAACTGCTTGTAAGGAATACTTCGGGGAAGACGGTATGTGTTAAAGTCAACCAAATAAGAAGTTTGATCTGATCATTACGTCGTAGGTGAAGTGTAGTTTGTAATATTTTGCAGCGCCAAGTACTATTAATGCTCTCCGATTGAGATACCTACTACCCAAACTTACTCCAGCAGATAACGAAGCTGGCAGCCGTAATGAAAGTCATCCACAATGATATCTTCCGGGTTTTCTGGTACAGCCGTTTACCCTTTCTCGTACTGCTCGGACGCAGCACCGCGCTATTTTGCTCACTAGACAGGGACGTGCTGGTTTCTTCTGGATGACAGGGGCACATTCTCGAATTAACGGCAAAATCTAGAGACGAAAAATTAACTAAAATTTTCCACTTTGCCAAAGAATTTCAGTAAAAACTGACAGAAATGCATTCGTTGTGCCTTATATAATTAACCGATATTTTAAAAAACTAACTCCAATATAGTTCTTTCTAATTACCCCGTAGGGTTGCCTAAATCTTTACTGATTTTTACCGGAATTTCAACACACAATTATCGGCACAGTTCTAATGCGGCTGTCTATCAGATTCGACTGACCCTTTTCAGCAGTAGCAGCAGCATTTGCGCAAATATCTGTCACAGTAACGAAACTGACGTTGGAATCTGTGGATGATATCAAGCTCACATAATTTATATAGGATAATAATATTAGGGTGACACTCTAGCCACCCCCAGCACCCCCGTGTTTCATAGCCACCCTTAAGTAAGTGCAAATTTGTACGAGAACTTAACACGTTAAATTCGGCTTATTGCCATGGTCGCTTGACTATAGAAATCAGCACCTTGATACGCGTTCACTGCATCGCTGGAAGACGAATTACATCTGGAATGCGCCGAAAAAACCTTCAATAACACACAGCCAGCTGAGGAAACCAAGGAAAGAGTAAGCCAGATACCGGAAGCACTGTGCCTGCTCGGCCAGTCAAGACTGCTCGCACTCTCTGCAAAGCACGCAAGGACCACGCAAACGTGTGAATTGGTGCAGAATCAAAATTCTTAGAAATATCACGAAGATCACGCGTTGTCCTAAATAAATCAGAAATCTTAAAAATGACGAATTAAATGGGTGTCTATGAAGAAGCACAATGGGGTGTCTTTATTTAATTAATAGCAGAAAAGTGTGGCTATAAAAAACAGGGTGCGAAAAGGGTGGCTTTAGTAATTTCCAGAATAATATTGTATATTATTATTGTTATTGTAAGATAGGGTGTCTGTAACAAAGAGGGTCCGAACAGAGGCGTCTATGTAATTAGCGACGGTAAAAGGAGGTGCACAGAAAGAATTATTTTTTTAATTCTGATCGGGTGAAAACTGTGAAGATGCGCAGTACTCAGGGACCGACCGGTGTCTGTGTGTGGATCACGAAACTGGCGAACCTTTTCCGCTTCCGTTTAGATAAACATAATAAGCCGACATTATATTAGTAATATTAATAATTAATAGATAATATTATATCACTGAAGTTGAATTAATATTTGTCTCGGTTGAAATCAACTGGATTATGTATCTTGCATTAATAACAGCAATGCCCACAAAGTACGTGCTAGTTTCTAAGCAGGACAGTAACCAGCATTTCTCAGTTGACAGTAACCGAAATCTAATGGACCTTGAGGACAGTAATTCAAGCATCCCGGAATCGTAACCGGAAAATAGTGTGGATCTGTTTCTTCAGTTAAAATTGACCTACCAGGACTCCCGGCCGCAATCCTTGATTCTTTGGTAATAGCCACGGAAATGACCAAATAGCAGACAATAATAATGCATAATGGAACCAAGCACATGACGATGAGAGTAGCTAAGGCGTAGGCTAGCTCTTGATCGGCTCTCGAGTAGAAGCCGTGCGTAACGCACTGATAGAATTTGACGCAAATAGGCGCGCGCTCCGTATGAAAAATCACCGCCTGCAAAAACGCCGGATGAAGGACATTCTTGTCATTCTTTCCCACGGAATTCTAACCAAGAAATACAATAACATAATTATTACCCGAGTGTGGGTTTTATTCGACACATTTAGGCGTCATCCAAGTTGCCGCTTTTGAAAATTTATTTAACGAGTGTATGTAAGAGTGGTGACCCATGTCACGTTGACTCGACCCAAGCCCAGCAAAAGGCGTTGTGACCTTTTGCAGTCTCCGTCTGTTTCTTATATTTTTATACAACATAAGAATGCAAAAAACAATCCACCATATGACAAGAGGTGCCTTATAAGGCAACTGTTATCTTATGCTCGATTGTTTATCTTATGCCTCATGTTACCTAAACGCTCCTTGTGTCGCCGGACGCCTTGTGCATTCGGTCCTCTTACACTTTACAGTGTATCATAATATGACTAAGCCTTAGGGTTAAATTTTAAGTTTAAGGTTTAAACCTTAAGGTTTGGTACTACTAAGGATATACGCATGTTGTTTCATAACGGTATGTAATGCTATTAATTTTTATCTATCGGTCCCTACCACTGCTTTCTCGAATTTTGCTTTTTATGCTTTTCGTATCTTTTTCTGTTTTTTTTGTCAAACTGATGTTGTTCTTAGGTTTTCTTATTGCAAATTATACTCTTCTTGTTTCTTTGATATTTGGCTGAATAACTCGAGAAATACGAAATACTCGTACATATAAAATACGAAATACGAAATACGAAATACTCGTACATATAAAAGCAATATAAGAACACGAAGCAAAAAATGTTATATGCATAATATCAGAAAACATAGCCGCTACATATGTAGACCGTAAGAAACGTACGACACATAGGAATAACTAATAAATAACGTAAAAGTAATATAAGTAAGAACAAACCATATGTACCTCTGGATTTAACCATGGCCCCCTCGCCGGCTATGAGTTCAGAAAAAATAAATTTTCGTATTGTCTAGAAAGACAGAGGAACGTTAGACTAAGCATAAAAATGATTTCATCTGCCATCGTCAACGGGCGTGCCCAGAATAAAATTTAAATGTTGATAATTCTACACTGTATTGTAACCTGTGGCGGGCTGCGGGCAATGCAGTGCATCATGCGTAATAAAGTTAATTAACAGCCTGTAACCGGCCATGGCAATTCACTTATTCCAAAATTTTATCTGTGTTGCTCACTTACGGCGGTATACTACTTTATACTCGTACCGAGTCGTATGTGTAAAACTGTAAGTGACAGTACACACATAAGTATTTTACAATTCAGCCGCCTGTGAAGCGCATTTGAAAATGCTCAGGATTAAACTTGTTCTGCCGAGATAAGTACATACAGCCCTGCGCCGCCAAGATGGGACACTTCTGAAAACAAATTATCAAACATTCTTTTTTGTCGTCTTCTGTCGCTGTTTGCACTTTTCTGGTATAACTTGTTGTTATGCATCTGGCAATATCAAAATCCGAATCTTTTGCTACGTCGGTAGAGAGACAGGGGCAAATTAAGGGCATGGGGTAGGGGATAAATCGGACCGCTTATATCGGCAACTCTCGTAAAATCCCCAGTCAGGGTTTTTGCGTGAACTTTTTCAAAATATTTTTAGTGACCGACAAGGTTTCGAGGACGGGTTAACAAAACAGTTTTACGCGATCAGTGCGCTAGGCTAGCTTTTTGCATAGCAAAATAATTTAGAAAGTTGCTGATTATCAAAATCAATCATAAAAAATTACATAAAATTTTTTATTTCAACGGTCGTAGAGGAGAAATTTTTGTTACTGCATAGAACTTGGTGTAGAAGGGCTGTACATCGGTACGCGCTTGTTACTTTGATGTTGTAAAGATTGGAAAATTGTGAACTCAACGGGAAGTACTCTGTTGTCTGTAAGAAGCAAATACGCCCGATTCATTTCTACTTAGAGAAATACTTAATTGTAAACTCTACCGTCTCCAGAAATGGTGAATAATTATTGTAAGCAGACAGCACAGAATAAAATTCAAACGACCGAAGTTAACATGGTTTCGTACAGATCGTTCGATAACGTAATCCCTTATAAAGCTATGATGCGGTGAATTGCCCATTGGCTATAGCACAGTTCAAAACAGACTTCGCTTTAATTTTTGTTCTGGCCACGTCTCTTGGCCATGACAGATGAAATATGAAATTAAAATTTTTTTGCAAATTGGGATGTTCCTCTGTCTTCCCGCAAAATTCACAATTTCTCTGAATTAACAGCCGGTGACGCGGCCCTGGCAAGCCACGTAGATTATGTACGACTGCAATGTAGGATACCTTTCCGGGAAATGTTTCAAGGCGGGTGTGTTTTTTCACGAAAAAATAACAAAAAAAATAAAGATAATGCAACTGGGCTAGGCTCTAATAAAAATCGACCATTTTCACATCATTTTTAATCGCTACAAATTTTGATCCACTTAGAAGATGCGAATATTTTTCTACGATGACCATGTCTTCAACAATCCGACACGTCAGTCTAGCGTCAGACTGATGAAGAGTAGCGCGCTTAAATTTGACCCCCTTGATTGCTAATTCACCAGCGACAACGGCTGTACAGATGATTCCGCAACCGCTAATTAATCTACCTGCGGTACGCTGCACACCGACGAGACGATCCAGGCGAATCCGCTGATGACTTTTACCCGCGACTGACTCTCCACCTTACTGGATTTACTCAGCGGAAAGGTCACAGTAATGCAGGTCTCAATGCTCATCCCGGTGAGGATTAGGTTGGTGGCGTATAAACTGAAACATCGTTATTATACGTAAATCAGTGTACTGTAGCAGATGATATACAGTGGAACCTCCCATCTTGAACACCTCTGAACCCTGAACAACCCCGAACCTTGAACAATATTTTTCGTACGCGCAGCTCTCGTAAGCTATAACATTGGGGGGACCTCTGAACCCTGAACACCTCTGAATCCTGAACCTTGAACACTTGGCTGCGTACCGTGACACGTTTACTTAGTAAAATGGACCTCCAACCGTGAACAGAGAGCTGCTTTGCGTTGTGTGCGAAGCAGCGAAAGCATCCGGGAAGTGTTGAATGTGATCACGGATTTCATCGCAAGCCAATTATATAGCCGAGAATAACGTTTAGTTCATACTTTACCGATTAGTAGCCTTAGTTTCAGTAAATGAATTTGAATATTAGACATAACGACGGAAAAAAATAGCATAAGAATAACGTAAAATCAACTTAACTATTAACTTCCGCCGGGAAATATATGTAAGAACGGTATATATCCTTTTGTTTATTATTGTACGCACTTATATAATGCATATTACTCCGTCTGGAATTTTATGCGCCCCCCAGGGGCGTCGGTGCCCCCAGGGGCAGCACTTCTGAACCCTGAACACCCCCGAACCTTGAACAAGAAACCCCGTACCGAGAGTGTTCAGGGTCGGGAGGTTCCACTGTACGGTAAAATATGGAAAAGACAACAACACTTCACGTCGTGAAGCATTGTTGGCTTTTCAAATATCAGCTGCAGTAGAAGCGTATTTTGAACTGGACACACCAGCTATCGTTGGTGTATTTTTTATCCCTAATTTTTTCTGAAATGTTTTAAATTGTTTTTGTGATTTCCAAATTAAGAGACGCGTTTTCCGCTGGGATGTGATCTCGATTTCGTCGGTACCACTAACTGAAATTAGAAGCTGGCTGTAATAATGAATGCGGGCATTTAGCGCTGGGGTCTCATGCGAAGAATTTATCTGGCCGATTAGCTTTGTCAACGCTTGCAGCGTAGACCAGCGTGTACAGTGGCATGCAAAGTCCCAGCCGACCCTAATTATGCCGTGTGTAGAAGTTCAAATAGCAGATTCTCGCCGTGCCGTCAAAAGGCCCGCGTGTTTTCCAGCTGAGCTGTAGCGGACCATCGGCGTGCGTGCACACAGTCAATTACTCCGCTCGTCGCGCGCCGGATCATTACGTCCGGGTCCTGCCAGCTGCATTGCACAAACTATCTGTTGATTTTGAATTCCGTATCGTGCGGCACGATACGGAAGTCCAGATCAACACACAGCTAAGTTGCTCGATGAGGGTGCGGTCTGCGGAAACGTGCAGTGTACTGGTGAGATATGTAGTTGAAGAACGCACCTGAACATCTGGCAAAACTTGATGATTCTGCAAAGAAAATCCCCGCCGAACCACTGCATGGTGATGTTCCAAATCCCGTCAGCCAGCAGACAAAACACCGACACCAACAGATTAGCCGCAAACAGCTGCATTGACTGCAAAAAAAAACAAACAAAATTACGCCACTGCAAAGCAGTACAAATAATATTTAATATCGTTAGTCGGTTAGCGAGCTAGTACACTTAATTTTTCGAGCAAAGACCCCAATACAGAAGCGGGGCGAATGGTAGACGATACTGTTAAACCTAAACACTAGTATGACCTAGATTTAAAATGAACCATTTGAAGAAACCACAGATATCTTGAACATACTTCTTGATGATACTTGTATTAAAACCTGCATTGTTATGCAATACAACGATGTCATTAACTGAAACATTTACGCATGATGCAAATACCTAACTGATAATTACAACAAAACTCATTCCCTGCATTCAAGAAAGCCCATTAACTGTATCCCGTGACATGTCGACGATTACCGAGACGCCGCCTCATTTCTAAATTATCAATGTCATTATGTTCATGTGACATCGAAGTGCTCATGTGCAGATGTTACATATTATGTTCTACCGCGTCCTCTCCTCATAGCCGATACGGCAAATGCACGCGCTTACGTATCTGTATAATTATTGTATACGCTGATACGCACGATTACACCGTGGTTAAAGGGCTTAATGTACGCTCGTTAACACTCGCCTCACATCACGTTCGATTAACGCTGCGTGTATTGCTGTGCATCACTAAGGCAGATAGACTGATTCCGTATCAGTATGTTTCCGAACAACGCATTAAAAAATTCTTTCTTTGCTTTCTTTTGCTTTATTGCTACTTCTCGTAACGAAAATCGAAAAGGAAAATGAGACAGTTCTGGAAAATTTTTCCAAATCAAAACCGCATTTTTTTGATTTTTGAAAAAATCGGTTTTCTTGCTTTTTAAATTTTCAGCATACAGTTTTCAGCTAAATTTCAGTCACATTCTAGAAACATGTTTCCGCAGGAGCACATACATGCAGAAAGAAAAAAGCTCGTTTGCGTTATTATTATCTTGAAACGACCATACGCGCCTGTTGGCAGTTCAGAATAAGGCCAGTATTAACAGGAATGGCAGTGAAAAAACCAAACCTGGAAAGCGGTACACATCCTGATTTTTTCGTAAATTACCCATGCTGTTCTTTTTCTCGAAAGTTCCCAGGAATGCTGATGAAGTCTACCTACCAGTATGCTCAGGGTCGAATGACGATACAAGGCACCCTTCAGTAGGAGCGCAATCATGCTGGCATTAAGCACCACACCGAAACCGGCCAAGATGAGCAGAATGCTGATGTAGTTATATCTCTGGGCCAGGTAGCCGGGATCACTCTGATTCACAAACATCAGCACATCCGCCGAGCTGTTTGTTGTGCAGTTCAAACGAGCATAAAAGGCGGCGTCTTCTTCTGTAGGGTCCATATCCTATGACAATTACCGATGTGGCAACCGAACTGCGAAAAAAGGTGTACCAGATTCTCTCGAAGGAGTAGTGAAAACCTGCCCAGAGCGGACTAACTTGGCGATGTCGGTTCATAGGAGTGTATTGTGGAGGTTATACCACTGAATAAGTGAATATCCGTATTACGATTCCTCTCAGGCCGGAATACATCAGCCTACGCTATGCACTGCAAACGCCATAAAAATGGCAGACATGAAAATTAACTAAGTTTGCTGTGGTCTGACCGTCTGAAAGAAATCTTGAGGCTAAGAATACACAAGCAAGGAATGATGTGCATGCTACCTAATAGCAGAAGGAAAATTAAGTGTGCTGTGCCGGCTGCTTGGATTGCAGCGTTCACTTGGAGTTGCGTGTTTGCTGCAGATCGACATATGGGAACTGTTGTGGGATGTGACAGTTTGTTTGAAGCAGTCGTTCCTCTCCATCAGTGTATCCTGTTGTATAGACCAACTGGCTGGCATCATCCATCCCACGCACTGCACAGCCCACCCATCGCAATCAACTAAAATATTTCAATTTGACAAGTTTATTTTACGAACGGCATGGAAGCAAAACCCGAGGCGTAATAAACCAATCACTTTGGTCGACAGTTGAATTCTGCGCCTCAGAATACCGCAATGAAAAAGGTTTTTTTCTTCAATTTATTTGGCAGAATTCAGCTTCATTTGTGTAGCCAGTTTTCCGTATAAACATTAAAACTGGCTAATGCAGGCCATGTCAACTGGTCGCCCGCAGAAGATACCTGTTTCAGGTTACTTGCACCTTTGCGCTAGGCATACACCAGAGAACGGCAATTCGATGTTCTTTTGCTAAACCAGTTTTTTAAACCAGATCTTGAAAGATGGCCGCAAAGTATTTAGCGGTGAAATGTTACAATTTTCTCCGTCTTAACTTACAAGGAAATGCAACTGAAATATATTACATATGTCTTAATTACATATTCACTAGAATGTCTAAGTTAGGACATTAAGGGTTCAATGTGTTTAAACCAGTACTTAGTCCATGACTGGTTTACTTGGTTTAAACAAAGTAAACCAAGCAAAGACGGCAAGCTCCCCTTTAACCACTCACGTGACAGTGGCCCGAACCCAACTCGCTGCACCAGAAGCACCAGAGCACGTCAAACCAATGGTCTAACACAATCGAAACGCCGCGCGCCTCTCCGATGTCTAAAACCTCTTTGTATAAACCAAGTAAACCAACTGAACCACCGGTGAACCTCCATTGAACCACCAGTGAACCACCGATGAACCAAAATATTTCGTGTACCGCACATCTCTTCCTGCGCTCACCCCACTTTGGTTGAACCCAGTAAACCAATTGAACCACCAGTAAACCACAAGTTAACCACTGATGAACCAAAATATTTTATGTACCGCACATCTCTTCCTGCGCTTACCCCACTTTGGTTGAACCCAGTAAACCAAGAGAACCACGGTGAACCACCACTAAACCACCAGTGAATCACCGAAGAACCAAAATATTTCATGCACCGCACATCTCTTCCTGCGCTCACCCCACTTTGCTTGGGCCGGGGATAAATGGTGGCAGTGGCACCTGCACTTGCCACTACGCGTTCTGGCAAGCGATAAAACGTGGCAACTTTTAAAAATTCAGAATCAAAATACTGCAGGAAGGCACCACGTTTCTCGTTATTAACAACTCAAAAAACCTTAAACTCTTGAAGGCGTGCATATGCATGGACCGCCTCAAGTACGATGAACCCTGATTATAAAAAAACATTCTTAGCGCGACTAAGTACGACTGATACCGAACCGAATGCGTACCGATTGTTCGCTCACGGTTTGTCCAAAAAAGATGAACACGAAAACAAACAGAATAAAAAATACTGCACACGGATTTACATCTGTAGTATCTACAGCACAGATACAAAAAAAATTACAACCAGAAGCGCTATTTGTTTGCCAGAATCAAGTGCAGGTTTTTTACCTTTTCGTTGTCTTACAAGTTTGTTGGGCGCAATTGAAGCCTTTGAGGACTTTAATCCGGTGTTTGGCACATGAATGCGGCCACCGTCACATTCGCCACATCCGTCAGTGGACAAAGGCGCCTGCAATTCGGCTTGCATTGCGTCCCCCGTGGCATTGCAGTGTGACTTGTACAGACAAAACATTTTTTTAGCCTTTTAAGACTTATTTTTTTAAAATATTCTTGCGCTTTTTGCGTTCCTTAGAATTCTTAGGGTGATTTGTTCATTTTTAAAAAGCCCAAGAAATCCAAGAAACTAAGAAATCTAAAATTAAGAAGACTCTAACACAACGATAAAAAATGAGCAAGACCCGAATTTTGATAGTCTGTCTCTGGCTTTAAATAGTCAGAGTCAGACTCAGCCCTACGGCCGCGGGCCTGTAGGCCCCCCCAGCTTTAAAGTCTTTTGCCACACTAGTTTTTTGCAGTACGAATACTCACAACTGAAACGAAAACCTGAACGATACACAACGAATTTTGAATTTTCGTTGTTTTTATGACACATACTGGACCTTCGTCCAACACGCTTGTTATACGCCACGCTTATCATGAGTGACAGAATAGTCGGTATGTGTCATGGCATTGTGTTATTCAAAATCAAGCGATTTCTGGAGATCGCCAGCTATTAGTTGAATGCAGGAATGGAACGCTTTTACAGTACTTCACATTACCGCACTTGGATTGTAATCTGTGACAGCTTCGTCTGCTAAACAGCGTTGCAGCACTCATTTACTACTGCATTGGAAGGCGCGGATACAAGACTCAGCTGGGGTGTGCGTCCATAGACAAGTTCTACAGAGTCCATCTGCCAAAACACGAAAATGCTCTCCCTAGAACTTATCGTTGGATGGGAAAATTGTCTCAAGCTGATTCTGAATTTTTAAAAGTTACCACGTTTTATTGCTTTCCAGAACGCGTAGTGGCAAGTGCCACTGCCGGTGGCAGTTGCCAGTGGCAGGTGCCACTGCCACCTTTTATCCCCTGCCCTTTGCTTGAACCCAGTAAACCAGGTGAACCTCTATTGAACCAATCGGGATGAAGTGGGCAGACATTATACGTATATATATCCGTATAGATGGGTATCTGCTTAATATAAGTAACCGTATAAGGGGAATCTGCTAACTGCGCCGGCAAATACTATTTGCCGGCGTAGTAAGCAGATTCCCATTTATACGGTTACTGCCGTTAACGTTGCAAATTTCGGCAGGGTTACCTGCTGCACTTCGGTGCAGTACCATGGTTTGCAACGCTTACGCTCAGTCGTGCCGTAGGGAACGCCGTACGCGGGAGTACGTTACACTGTCCTGTTTGAGGGCTCTGTTTTGAGCAGTTTATTAATTCTGTCATTTAGGTTGCTCGGGCGGAAACACTGCATGAAAATGACAGGAAACGTCGCACCGTTATCATGGGCGATTCACTAACCCGGATCCATTGCTGGATCCGGGTTGTGCAACGTTAGATCCGTTGCTATTGTAATTCACCGGGCGATTCACTAACCCGTAGGAACGATTCACGAAACTTTTAATTTTAACCACTAATCAGTGGTGTTATACATAAAAATTAGCTGTGTACAATTTCTACACTGCAAGTTCGCTTAAACAATGGAAGACCTTGTGTTTCAACAAAAGGTATTCATTGCCAAGCGATCCATCGTTATTATCATTTTATTATTCTTATTAATATTTTCCCTGCAGTAGCCAACTTATTCAGCATAATCTGATGAAGATATCTTACCAGGCTATTGGAAAATTTTTTGGTATATTTGGAAAATTTTATACTTTTTAATGCTTGTGAGCATTATGTGTTCGGTTCTTCATAAGAAAAGGGCAAGTTCTTGCAGTTCCGCAAGCTAGAATCGAGCCCACGTTTGACATAATTATGTTCGGGAGTGACTGGAAGTCAGGAACGGCAGCTGGCTAGGTACTACGGTGGCACCTGGCTGCGAAGTTACGGAAAAAATTTATTCTCAGTGGAGATGCTACCGGAAGAATGGAGATGCTATTCATAAGTAAATTGCTGTAAATGAATTTTTATAAATGAATGATTACCGTATTAAGTGAAACACGTGCACTTCTATACAATAATGGTGTACGGGAAAGGTTCGTGAATCGCCCATGTTCCACCGGTTAGTGAATCGACCGGTCACTTGCGTAAACTGAATAGCGAAAATACAATGTGCCATTCTAATTTTAAAGCCATTGCGCACTATTGTTCGTTAATCGCCCTCTGAACCCGTAGCACCAGACTTTTTGCATCCTTACTTAGTTTGTACTACGGCATTCTGAGCGAACCGAACACTTTTGGAATCGAACGCTCCATTTTAGGAGCAACGAATCGTTGGTTTATACGGCAAAATTTCCGGTTCGTTGTCAGTCGTTGAGAATTTCTATGTAGCTTATTTTGTAGGTAATTAAGCAGCTATTGCGGCCTGAGTGAAGGTGACCATCAATAGTCAAATCATTTTTTTATGTTTTCCAAAACCTGCTATCGTTAACCGAAGCATCGAGAAGATGTACAACATATGTATTTCGAATATGCCCGTAATTAAAGTAGCATACTCAGGTTGGCACAAATACCTACAACTCTACAATACTTGTTATGATTTATCACCACACTCTACGAGGGGGATGAAATTAATGAGCTCGATGCGCCCGAGCAAGGGGTAACAGAACTCCTTATCCGTCAGATGTGTGACTTGTGTCTTGCACCTTTCGAAATCAGACCATTCAACCTACAATTCAAAACAATAAGAAAAATTAATAAGATTTTCGATACCAAATGACCTAATATTAAGGATGACAGAGAAAAGTTATCACCATTTGTTTTTCTCATAGACATAGCACACGGTCTCGATCCACGGTCGGGTCCAGACTTCACGCACAAACTCTGTGCGTTGTCGCCGGTAGCAACAACCGTTAACGACATGCTCATGCCCAGCGTGTAGTAGTGGTCAGAAGATTAAATTGCGCAAACAAATTTTTAAAAAACAACTGCCTAACTAAACGCTCCGCCTGTTTAAATTTTTTCGTACTACCTGACACGATTGTTTGCTGTGGTACTAAGTTGCACAGCACGTACTTGGCAGTTGGCAACTCTTGCTAGTTTCGTCGGTCAGAACATCATTACACATAAAAGTTTGACAGCCACCGAAGTCTAAGAACAACTGAGGCCCTTTAATTTGTATAGTTGTTTAACCGAAGTGCTCAATAAGTTTGATGTGCTCTACTCTGAGTGCACATCACAAGGTATTGAACCATGGTACTGCAACCAGAGAGCTCTCAGCATCCG